AGTCGAAAGGTCCATTTGTCGTAAGGCAAGTGATTTTTGACGGTCATATCTTTCACCATGAGTACTTTCTGACCATCAATACAGTGGTTTTTATTAAAACAGTACGTTTTCTTTCAAGTGAAGTCCCCATGATAGTACTTAAAATATAAGTAAGTAAAATATCATTCTAACTCTCTGAAAAATTAGGACCCCCACCTTCGCACTTTTTAAAAATGTTAGGCTCATTTTCTAAAAAGAGGATCTTGTTTTTCTCAATTTAAACATACACTCCCCTCCATAAGTTTGGCAACCTTTTTCCCCCATTGAACTACGTGTTAAGGCCTCTTTACCTTTGAATTTTTATTTACTTAACCTGCGATGAAAATACTTATACTATTGATGAAAACGTAATTTGACTTTAATTCCAATATCTCCAAATTTTCTCAATTTTTTTCCTCAATTACAATAGGTCGAAAATTGATGATAAATTTTTGAAAATCGACATTCCCATGTTAACCAATGGAAAATGGTAGGTTTGCCGCAAGTCATATGACAGAATATCTATCCATCCGAGTCCTTGCAAAAAATACGAGTTAGGCAGGCAATTGAATTTGCTAATTTAATTTAACAAAAAATTGATATGTTTCTTCAGGTTTAACAAAGTTATAGGTCTTTAAAGTCAAAATTGTTTTTCAAAAAACCTCTCCCATTGAAATAACACAGGGGGCGAAAAATGATTTTCAAAAATGACTTTGAAGCACTTTGAAGCGCTGTAACTTTAATATTCATCAAATAAACTAAACACTTAGTGTTCAAAAACGTTAGACATTTCAATTTTCTATATAAAAATAATTTTTGCTGAATCTTTTACTGAAAAGATATCCTGATTTCTGATTTACCCCGAACCCTCCATTTCCCATTGGATTACATGGGAATGACGATTTTCAAAAATTCATCAAAGGACATTTAATTCCAGAAACTTAAGGATAATTGCATTGCTATAGTTCAATATTCCTTTAAAAAAAATTTTGGCAAAAAAACATGTGAGGATGAATACTAAGCATTGGTATGAATTATCGCTTATTAAAAGATACCTGTGACCTCTAAAAGTTAGTTTTAAATAAATTCACTATTTTTGAACAAAAAGTCCTTCAAAAACCACTTTTTGAAATTAAAAAAAAAGTTTCACATATCACACTTTGATAACATTGGGTAAGATGTAAGCCAAAGTGGTTTAAACTTTATATGGGCCCTTTAAGTTGATTTTGTTCATTCAGAATAAGTTAAGTTAATTTGGTTCATATATAATTATTGCTTAGTCATAGAATTCCTGGTGTATGATGATCATGGAACTGTACCAAACCTGTCTTCCTTCTTGCGTTATTTGATGTAAAAATTGGAGAGGTTAAGCTACCGTATAAAATCCAAGACGCAACTTAAACGTATCAATCGGCCCTATACAAATACATGTAGAGTTCACACATAAATAGCCGTTCAGCTCTAGTGTTTGTTAAAGGCCCGGTCACACCGCCTAAACGTTGCTGGAGCGTTCCTTGAACGTTGAAAAAAATCATCAACGCTCGTGAAAGTTCACCACCGTTTAACAAAAGTTGGCATCCGTTAAAGCAACGCTGTAAACGCTCGGCCAACGCGGATGTTTCTCGAGTGGCCATCCTAACGCTCCAAAAGTTTTGAGCTGCTCAAAATATTGCGAGCGTTGAAAAAGGGACAATTTTACGCCCTGGCAAAGTTTATCACCGCTCCACCAACGCCCAGTCAAAGTTTGGCACCGCTAGACGCAAGTTCGTGGACGCTTGAATCCGCTAGACCAACGCAGAAATCTTAAACGCTGGACCACCGCTGCTTCGCCAGCGTTGCCCGGGCGGCGATTAAACGTTGCACAAACGTCGGCGGAGCGGTTGTTAGCGTTTTATCAGCGTACATGGGGTTGTTGGAACGGTGTCGGACGTTGTCGCAGCGTTCCATGGCGGCGATGAACTTTGCTTTGGCGTTGGTATAGAGGTGTCGGAGCGGGACCAGAATCTGGCTATAAATACGTGGAGAAATGCACCACTGTGTAGAACACTGTGGAGACACTTGTGCATTTTACATTTGATATATATTCATGTCTGGCATTTCAATTTTTTGCATTGTAAATTCCTAAATTAAGCGCTCAAAGTTTGTGATTTTGGATTTTAAAAAGGTGAATAATGCGATTTTTGTTTTTCATTATATGTTAATACAAATAGACTTTTACTGAGACCTTTATTCAAATATAATATATACCTAGTGTTTTCACGTCAAGCAATTCAATAAATTATCTGTGAATTTTCTGCGCAGCTTGTAAAATGTTGCACTCGTCATGGTATTATACAAAAAGTTGATGCGCGCACAAACAATGCAAAAATTTGTCATGCGTCATGATTATTACTTTGCTGTAAATGTTATTTGACATTGTTAAAGCAATTTGAACGTAAATCGGTTCCAAGTAATGGAAATGCAACGATTAAATTGTGATATGTTTGTTTGAAATGATATGAGAGATTATAAAAGAAAATTGTAATGTTATTCATTCTTAATGTCATATTACATTAATAGAAGCACTTTAGATTTAAAACATTTCTTCTTTAATCCTTGAAGGACTTTTGTTAAAGTTACAAATTCCAATAAAGGTCTTTACTCTTAAACACTTCCCACTTGAAATAATTTCCCAGTAGTCAAACGCGATATGCTGCTAAACCAACGCTGCTGCTATTTATACTCCCGCCGAGACAACGCTCTCATGCGCAGAACGCCGCTATACCAACGCTCGCATTACCGCTAAACAAACGCTAGCTACCGCTCGCAACCGCTTAACCAACGCTAAAGCAACGCCGGCTTCAGCGGTGCACCGCTAAGCCAACGCCCGTGTTTTTGTTTTTTCCCCATTTTGTGCGCGTTGACGAGCGTTGATGAATTTTTTCAACGTTCAAGGAACGCTCCAGCAACGTCCGGGCGGTGTGACCGGGCCTTTAGACTACACCATAGCTTGTAATGATTACATAGTATGCCATTGATGAAGTTCAATAGCTGGTTTTCTAATGCATATTTTAAACGAGCTCGTTTCGTAAGATTATTGGAGTTAATAATCTTCTTCAGAAAGAATTATACTTTGCATCGAAATCAAAATTGCAAGGATAGTATTCAACAGACATGAGTATAATGATTCCCGTTGATAGCAACGTGGAAATTTAAAATCTCCCGTTCTAAACACGCAACTTTGAAGTTGAACGGGTATCTGAAGTAGACTAAAGCGATACAATCCTATGTTGATTCAATGTACTTTGCGTTTACGTATACGTTTTAAAAAACCGTATTTGCTTAACCTCTCCAGTATTAATGTTGACCGTTTACTAAGACGGGCCCTCGGGGACGGGCCTATGATCCCGGGCCTTTGATTTCATTTTTAAACGAATCAATAACTTTCAATAAATACAACACTACAGGACTCACTGTAGAACACCATATTATATAACTAAAATTTTAAATAAGAATGTCACGTGACGTTCGTATCTTATCGTGGAACTTGTCGTGATCTGCGAATTTCTACGACAGACTTACGATTTTTATGGAAACGGATCTGTCGTAAGTCTACGACAGTCGTAAGTTTGTCGTAACTTTCCCCATTCCTACGACTGTCGTGGAGTTACGATATCGTAAGTCAACGACATTTTTGGAAACGACCCCCAGCTAAATCACTCCAATAATCCCTAATGATAGTATTTACACAGAAAAACATCATACTTTTAAATATTTATACGTTCAGAAAATGACAAATGGACTATAACTAGAATTTCAAAAGATAAGGTACTATGATCTGTATTACCTACTGTATTGGAGGCATACCCTGCGTGCAGAGTCTAGTTAAACGGAGACGATGCTCTCTTTTAAGAAGTGAAGTCAAACGAATGCAAAGGGTATTGGAGGCATTACCATTTGAAATATTATCATTTTAGGATTACTAGAACTAATTAAAAGATCAATGCAGGGTCTACTTGTTAACGTTACTCGTGTTGATTCATTTATCAATTGCATTTAGCCAGGATTTTGAGGTAAGTTGAGTAAAATGTCACCTTCATACTTATTGATGTCATCGGTCAACCAATGTTTACTTCGTGCGAGATTAGATACTAGATAGTGAAACTCATGAAACTGACAAACTAATCAAGAGTAAAGTCCATAGAATAACAAGCCAAATGCTTATGCAGGTCAAATGGTAAGTATTTAATGGTTGTCAAAGTGACAGCTTGTCCTGCAAAAGGTTTCCTTGAAAACATATCATTTTAGGTCATTAAGCGATATTGATAGAATATTTTGCAATGTGTGAAAGAATTTAAGCCCAACGCAATGCATTGTGGAATTGATTCATTCACCGTGACAGGCGTTGTTAATATTATTATAGCAGTCGTATTGTGTGTCTCTTGTCCTCATTAATTAGAAGAAGTTATTCCAATATTTGTATCTATTTTAAATTTCACTTTTCAATTTTCCAATGTACCTGGTACATTGTATATGATTCTAAAAAGGCCCTTATACTGAAGTGGGAGGATCGGTATCAAAGTACATACACTGTATGCTTAGCACTTATACTAAGGTGGTACTGTTATATCATTTATAGTTGCATCATATCATGGTTACTATAGGCCTAAAACATATATCCCGGTACTCGAGTGAACAATCTCTTCACCAAGTGAATTAGTCGAAGCCAACCCCCTGATTTATATAGGAGGCTACATTGAAATCGAGTGATCAAGCTACAGGTATCTAGCTAGTGAGCTGGTTGAGCCGGCGGAGCTGAACTCAAAATATAATTTGAACTAATCTAAACGTGGAAACCTTGATATGTGGAGTGACCATTTTAAGGATATAATCATAAAATAATAAAAAAAATTGATTTTTGATCTGTCAAAACAACGAATCCGTTTGCTTACTTGAAGTGTATAAAAACACATTCGTGATATATTGAGCTATACCATTGTCATCGGAAACATGCCCCTGCGAAATGGTTGGTCTAGTGCTAGGCTTATCATAGTGACATTGCTGCACTTTGCCTCGGCTCTATGTGGTTTCGTGACAGCTGTGGCGATGGGAGTCTTGATCAACCGATTTAAAGGGTGCATCTTATACGCTGAGATGAAAGCTGAGATGAAAGGTGATATCGTTCTTCATGGCAATAAATCAACATGTGATTTTGTTGTTTCGATGAACGCCGTTGTAACGATTATATTTTCATCCGTCATAGCTGCCGTCTTTGTGTTACAAATGATTCGAAAGATAAATTTGGATTTGACTAATTTCGTTCTCGTTTTTATGATGACAGGATTTTCAGGATTTATTCTTCTCCTAACGCTTATATCTGCTGGGATATCAACTGCAGGATACCGTGCTTATTGTTCTTCTGTAGGTAAGATAACAAATTACTAGCCCGTGTATACGAAGGGTTTACTCCGTCTCTCTTTCTGTATCACGTGTCCCCACCTAGTTATAAAGAGGTTCCGTCTTTAAAAACAAAATGGATTAACTTCTGTCGTACGGAATTCTTATTTTCATCATTTTCACAAAGGAGCTGCCGGAAATATTGCTCGGGCCTGACTACCTTTTCAGTAACCGGATGTTACTCTTAAAATACGCTAAAAACAATTGGGTACAACTCGACCTCCTTCTTGATGAAAACGATGAAAAAAATCTTCCGACGGAAGTTCATCCATTTTGTTATAAAGACGTGACGTCTTTATAACCAGGTGGGGACCAGTGTACTTTGTTTCACTTATTGTACGTTTAATTGTTTACAGTGAGACAGAAGAAACAACCCCTAGGGTGCTTAGTATAGGCTTCATTTTTTAAATATAAAATATCATATACAAAATTTAAACCAAAGATCATATCAAAACAAATTACATGAAAATAGCATAAGTTTATAGTCATGTACTTTTAGAACGCCAGAAAAGGAGCTGTTCGACTATAATTTGGTTAAACGATCCAAACGAGGTTTTACATGATTTGAGAACGCCAATGAACGCAGTCATCGCGAGCTCGTGGATTATTGTCATTATCTGGCTCATTATCTTCGCAAATGGTGCATATGGCCTATATGCTTATCACAAGAACAGGAATTTGGACAGGAACAGGAATGCGACCAAGGAGAACAACGAGTCGGAGCGATACTAACTTTCTTTCACAGTTATAGAACTAAATAAAAATTTCAAAAAAACTAAAGCTTGCTTGCTTGGGCTTGCTTTTTAGAACTTTTTGTTGGTACTATTACCTTTCATTTGTAAACGCACCCATTATCAATGTACACATGTAATCGTTGGAACATGATATCATCAATACTGTTGCATAAAAGCACCCAATCAACACACCTTAGGGTTCGTTTAAGGATTTAAGCCCTCCATGGACTCAGCACAATGTGGACTTATCAGCATTCCTCAAAGATGGTGTTTCAGACTTTGATGCACGAGATGCGTATTATTGAAAAATATTTTCAAGTGTCATGCACTTACTTTTGAGCACTTACTTTTGAGCACTTACTTTTGAACACTTACATTTTGAAGCAGATTCATACACTTTATTGCCCTTGAAACATCTACCCATCATATGGAACAAGTTTATTTCTTTAACCCTACATGTAGAAGCCCTAAGGTAAAAAAAAGTTACACGAACACCTAAGGGGTAAGGGGGGGTCAAAAGGGCACCCCATTGTAAATTTTTTATTAGTAGAACTAGAGATGTTCAAACTTTCCCCAAATATACTTCATTCAATTCTCTACAACTTGATGTAATAACTTTAACAACCATGATGATGTAACCATGATTCGTAATTTTATTCTAAAGACAACACGGATGGTAGAATTAGTGCTTGCTTTTTTCCGATTTTGTCGATTGGAGCTGATGATTACGTCATAATAAATTCATAACAAACTAATAAAGCTAGGATGTTCAAACTTTCCCAAGATATACTTCATTTAATTTTCTACAATTTGGTGTAATAATATTAACAACTTTGATGATGTAAGATTGCGTAATTTTATTCAAACGACAACAGTATTGTAGAAATGGTGCTAGCTTTTTCCGATTTTGTCTATTGCAGCTGATGATTACATCATGATAGTCATTTTGACACCCCCCCTCAGGGCTTCTAGGGTTAATGTGTATCACACGTCACTTTAAAGCTGTCTGCATTGGAGAAATTAGTCTCTATCTATGCATTTGATTCCCCTTTGTCTAAATCAGTCATACAGTAAAATAAGTAGCCAACAAAATGAGTTCACTATTTCATAGTGGATGTTCAATGCCCTTCACTTTGTACATCTCCTGCACTTCGTACACCTCCTTCACTTCGTACACTTCCAAAGAAAAATTAATTTCTCTGAAATCTTCCAATAAATGTGGAAACTGAACTGTCTAGACGATGTATAATGATTATCCTGTACTCTAATTATTATTTCAAGATGGTTGAGCTGGTATTGTGGAAACTATGATGATTTTTTGTAAAAGAAAATGGTCAATTTTCTCCAAATAGTGGTCATGCTTTAGATACGATTTGAAAAGTTCTCTATCCCGAGAAATTAGAAAAAGGCTCACATTCTGTCAAAACGCCGAAAGAAATGAGTACTTACAAACCTCCGGGCTAAAAACTGTGGAACATTTCGTATACTTCCAGTGCTACGAAATGTAAGAGAATGGAGTACGTGCGCCAAAAACTGAAAGAACAAAATGCCTCGGAGTATTCTCTCTACAGCTAGATTACACTGCCATCTTTTTATGAATATTCTTTTTATACTACCATAATTTAGGAAGATCCAAAGAAATCAACGATTGTGAATATGTCATCTATGTTCGATATAACTATACAGGTTTCAATATTGCAATTTAAAAAACGCTGTATTTCGATTTACTGATGTCATTTTACCCTATCGGTATACGTGTCTAGTTGTAGTTGGACGTAGTATGTTTCTAGCTGCACGACCAGGCTGTTATCCTCAGCATACATGGAACATTCTGTATGGCTCACACACAAACGCCCTCGGATGATGGAAATAATCGCAATTGTTCGCAATACAATGATGAAATGATAATAAAAAATCATATTTTCACAATGCTTTTCAATGTTTCAATTGAAAGCAATAAACACTATTGAGAGCTGGATATTTTCAATTTTTGATTCTAAAGCAGATTATCATGAAGTTCTATAATAATGGGCCATAAGACAACCTACATGTTTCAAATACATGCACAAGTATCAATTGAAAACAATGGGAAGTTTTCATGTTTCATTTTTTAAAATATCGTGAATGTGTAGGTAGGTCATTAAACATTCAGTTTTATTTAGACTCTTTCACTATCAAATTGAATAGATTTAGTAATTAACGATATGTAGTCCTGGTATAAAACGATACTTTGGTCCGGTGGAATTTATCCATCGAGGACCGAGACTGCGCGTACAGTAGCCACTATCACCGAAGAACACATTGAGCGAAGATGCAATATCTGACTTGGTTCGTCTGTTTCGTCGTATTTACTGTTGCAGTGACACCGGGGTTGGCTGGTAAGAAGGGTAAAAGTAAGTAGGCCTACCTACCCATTGATATATAACATTAACCAAACATCGAATGTTGTTTAATAAGTGATTAAGTAGTCTTGATTTTAATATGATTATCAAAACTGTTCTGTAAAAATGACTTACTGCCGTAAAATTTGAAGCGTTCTTACTGAACTTTAACGTATTTTCTATGAAATTTTGAAAAGAAAGTTATCCGCAAATGATATACCCATTGCATGGTGTATTTAATTTCCTTTGGTATACAAAACCTATGGGTTAAAAAATAATTCGTGAAGTTTTCTTAGTTTAAAAAATGACAGGCTCCCCAAGCCGAACAAAATTTTCGATGACAACTCGAAATTACTGAATTTATGTGCCTTTGAACGTTAGAATAATTTTTAATTCATCTACCATATGCGCATGTGTGTAAATTGTACAGTGTAAGAAATGAACAATGATAGTATTCTATAAAAAGCTCACAATTTAAAGAATTGTGGGTGACTAAATTCGTTCATTTCCTTTAAAACAGCCTCAATTAAAGCCTCGATTGTGAATCGACTCCTTAAAGAATGTCAGTAAAAGTAATTGTCTTTTTTCAGAGCCACCCGGCGTCCTACCACCCAGACGACCACCGAAATATGACACGTCAGGTGAGTTCCACTATCTTTTGATTACTAGTATTTCCGGGAAAATGTAGTCTAATCTTTTATATCTCAAAATTAACGCTAGGGCCATACTTTCTTATGATCAATGATTTTGTTCTAAGAATAAGTTTGACGTACACCAAAGCAACGTAAAATGACGTAAAGCAAAGTGGGATCTCTAAAGACTTGTCGTTGTGAATGATCTCGCGATCGATGGGAGTCCATATCACGGGATCTTTGTGATTCAAATTATTATTATGTTGTTTTAGACATATTTCCCGACCATAGACAGATTTAGCCCGTATTACGAATTTGTTGTAGGACTGGAAAGAACGGTTGAGAACTAGTTTGATGTGATACAGTTCTTTATCTAGAACAAAATGAACGTACCAAAGGGGGATGGGCGCTACGTGTATTAACATTTTAACACGCTCGAAGTTCTAGAGCACCTTCCTGTCCGAGCACGTTCATGAAGTTCATGAAAAAACATAAAAATGTCAATTTTGAAGTAGTTCGTTCAAGCCCGTCTTCAGTCAGTTTAAACTTTAATTTATTGAATAGAGGGCAGTATGGTCACAGGTTTATTGTTGATTGAGATTGGTCACATATGCAGTAAAAATATCAATGTTTCTGCAATTGTTTATTTTCGATGAAGTTGGGGAACTGTCATTCTATAACTTTATTTGGTCCATACTCAGTCATCAAGACAGAGTGAATGACTAGTATTTTTGTCATCGTTTTGACCCATAAACTTTCATTGCAAGATCAAAATAGAAATTATCTAATAACCTGCCATGTTAACTGCCCCGAATTAGCCACCTAGTGGTGAAACGGATAACCTTGCTCGCATCTGGGTTATTAACAGGACCAATAATGCATCGCCTTGGCCCTGGTAATGTACTTTTACATTGTTTAGATTATGAGGACAATAAAAAACCTTTAACCCTGAAAATATGTTTCAGCAATACAAATCGAGAAAATATCAAAACATATTACATGCTCTTGCAATACGATATTGGTAATAATATTTATAATATATGATTTCAGAGAAAGGTGACGATCAGAAGGAGGAGAAGGAGCCGACCCCAAAACTGATATCGTCAGCACAAGCAACAAAATGTGGATACAAGATGTATACTCTCACTTCTAAGAACGCTGCTAACTCAAAGACCGATGCTCTTTTCTCGATTCAATTTTGGAGATGGGTTGGACCGGCTCCTTTCAATTGGGCCAGTTCAAGTTGGATTCAATTCGATAATGTCGGCGATGACAAAGAACGTGGGCAGTAAGTACTAGAACAAAACGATATCTTCATTTGTCCATGAGTAGCTTTAAAAATCAAGAGATTTCTTTTAAAAGGGAGAATTGTCAGATCAAACACAAGAAACAATACCAAATGACCCCTTCCTCTACGGCGAGATAACTATTATCTCAATCTCACATCTACACTGTATTGTACGGGGTGGCCGGAGAAAAGGAGACCATTGAAGTAGGCAATGTCTCCTTATCTAGACAAATGACATCAATAAAATCTTTCGCACAACAGAACAGTTCTATGGAAATTTGCCCCTGAAAGTTTCAGTACAACCAATCAACTGGTTCAGGAAATGTCATCATTTACATTACACAATCAACCCTTGTTATGCATCCAATATACAATTATTGACCTCTCCAGAGGTTTACTGTCAAAATTATATCCCGAGATTGTAAACCGAGACCGTAGGTCGAGGTTTACAGTCGAGGGATATAATTTTGACAGTAAACCGAATGGAGAGGTCTATAATTGTTTTGTTAGTCCGAAGAATATCTTAGATTTTTCTGACCCTTGAAGTTGACTTGAAGTTGGATCCAGACCCTCGAGACGTTCATGTTGTATTTCAGTATATCGGCAGTTCACTCAATGGAGTCAAATTACTCTCCTGGGCGAAGTCCACTAAAAGCTTTGTACAAAGTTTTAGATTTTTCTTCGTATTTTGACTGTCTTTACTCTCTAAGAGACTAATAATATCCTCATCTTCAACATTTTTGAAACGGCTAGTGCTAACGGCGGCCATTTTATCGTCTGATAATGACGTCATTTTAGTGGAATGCTGGGAATATTATTCACCGGCAATGCATTGCGCGGTGTACAGTAAAAATTATTCACCGCTCGTTGACCAATCAAAATCGAGTATTTAAACTGAGGTACTAACAATAATAATTGTTCACCGCTAAATATGAAATTATGTTTGTCACTCCATTACCAGCAATTTTTTTGGACTTGGTTCCATAATTTTACTAGATGCCATTAAGAATGACTCCATTGATTTATAGAAGACCTTTATCATAAAATTCTCTCCAAAATATTGTATTATATAATTATTTTCATTCAATTTAACATGTATGTTTTCAAAACATTATGGTGACATATTGGCTCTTTCACAAGTGCTTGTCTTTTAAGTTCATCATTTCCATTCCAAATAAATTTGACAATATTTCCATTTCCTTCTTTCACTTAACAATCGGCGGTCTCAAGAAAGAACTAATAAAACTAGATTGTAACAGTCCTAAGGTTTTTTACTATCTGTATTTTATCTTATACCCTCAAACTTCTTCTTCGCCATTAAGGCCCAATACTTTCATCGTTGACCTAAAATTCTTCTCTGCTTTTAACTTTTTATCATCTTAAACACTCCTAAAAATGCAATTACTTTTTACTAACCATATTTAATATTATTGGTTTTCTCCATAACGTATTGTACCTCTAAATATTACATATGATAATACAGAAAATGAAGAATATGATTGATAAAGCATCATGCACCTTTTTAATTTTTTTTTTCTTTTTTTTATAATTTTTTTATTTCAAAGAATAAGCATGTTAAAGCAATTGCAAAAAACAATTACATTTAATTTACATATTAGGTAAATATACACGGGTGTCAAATAAATATGTTCTCCCCCTTAATTTCAAGAGTATGAAATTTTGTGCATCTACTTGAGCTAGTCATCTAAAACCTCTTGTAGAGTTGCCCCATTAAGCCTAGTTTAAATGTGCTAATAAGAACAATTCATCAGATATCATGCAGACAAAAAGTTATGCAAAATAATGTGGATGTTAAAGTTAAGGGTGAGAGCAAATTTATTTGACACATGTATAAACGGCATACTATATATAAGTTATTCAATGATTCGAGTGAAATACAGAAAATATTCTTCCGATGAGGTCGTATTTCACGATGCGCTAGCAGAGTGAAATACAGACGTTCAAATCAAATCTGGGGCGTTGGGATACTTGACCGTATCCCCACGCTGGCACGCCATTTTCACTATGTATTCAACGCTTAGTGGAATGTGCGTGTAAATACAGGATATACTTAAGTCACGTGGACCAATCAGATTGCAGGGAATTTCTCCATCATGGAATAAATGTATATATCTTATTAATATGACTGACATGCCCATTGGATTGTTTTTTAGATGGGACTTGTATGGGCCGTACATTTCAACTGGCCTACCTGCGGATTATTTGTATATAAAGCAAACATCATCAGGTTCTGATCCTTGGCAAGTGAAGAATGTAAGTACATGCGTACATGCGTTAAATTCTACACTGATGCCAATACATTGGCGCAGCTAGCATACACAATTAGGCAAAGTCAAAGGCTGAACCAGGCACATTTCTCCCCTATGACTTCAATTCTACTGTTTTATAAAAAAAACGTCTGCAAAAATATGTTAAGCAATTTGAGCCAATTGCCTCGCCTGTCTCATGACTAGCTACGCCAATGGGAAACTCAAAGCACAGTGCATGGCGTAACAGTATAACAGACATTCATATGGAATAGCTGCGCTGACAAACTTAGTTGCACGTTTCAGACATTCATATGGAATAGCTGCGCTGACAAACTTAGTTGCACGTTTCAGATATTCATCTGGAATAGCTGCGCTGACAAACTTATTTGTACGTTTCAGATATTCCTTTTGAATAGCTGCGCTGACAAACTTAAAGGCGCACTTTGGGGATTTTCAACATTTTTGGGCAAATAAAGACTTACATTTAAATTTCATAGTATGTCCAATGTGTTGATAAAACCTTATCTTTGATTTGACACCAACAACAGCTCAAATGGACCACATCAAAGCTTACAATAAATTATCAAAAAATATTTTCGATCTGTCAAGCTTTATATATTAAATTTTTATCAATGTCATTGAAAGATGGCAGAGTTGTTTGTATTACATGATACATTCATTTTTATAGAAGTGTCGCCATCTTTTAAACCAATAATAATTTAAAACATGCACTTTGTTTAACATGTGCATGCATGTCTAATGATCCCTGAACTACAAATGCTTTTTTCTATGTGAGTTACTTTTCCCTTGGTCCAATATTAAAGCAAATCAAACTTTGTGTCATAATTGAGCTAGTGTGTGGGTAACACGTTTCAATGATTACTTTTTTCTTCTAAATTAAGTATAGTGCAGCTTTAATTACACGTTTCAGATATTCATATGGAATAGCTGCGCTGACAAATTGTATATGTATTTCTGCGACAACTGTTGGGTTACGACCACACCGACGTGGATCGCCAGGACATACCCTCCATTGTAATCGGACATTGTAAAACTCCTGGCGCCTGTATAAACGCATAATTTTGCGCAATATGAGTCGATTACTGCATTCAATCAGATTTCATCTGTAAGTTTTGGAAATTGGAAAAAAATTATTGAATCTTGTACTAAAATTCCAAGCAACTTTTACCTTTAACAAATCTTTGGCCTTTTGTAAAATATCGTTGTTCATCTTCAACCACACCGCCGCCATGCACCAATATATTCTTGGAATATTTTAGACAATATATGACAATCTGTTAGATCTATTCATACAAAGCATTCAAATAAATTTGTTATAACAGGTTGGGTTAAAATACCTCCATCACATTTGTGATGTTCTAATATCTCTTTAAATAAGCCACAACATATTTTTGCTTAAAATGCAATTTACGAGACAATTATTCAAAATTTGAAAATTAAAAAAAATACAGCAAGATAATACTGGCCAGGCATGAACATCTCGATGAGCACCCTTGTAAATGTATACAGAATATCAATATACAAATTATCAGGATTTGATGTATAAATTATGAATGAAATAAACAGATGAAACCAATTTCACTGTTCTCTTCTTTAGTACGTTGCATGTGTTTACACGTATTTAGTACAGTATGTTAGCAACAGGCCCATCAAAACTGTATCAAGATCACTGGTAGATATCAAGGTGCGATAACGGCCGTTACCTTCTCATCTAAGATGGCGGACGAAAAGTGTCGATTTCGATATTTTTGTTTTCATCGAATTAAACTAGTTTATAATTGACGTAGTGCGTTGATAATTGAACTTGATAAGCCTTATATATCATGAAAACTTTGGGGTATGACCATTTGTTCTTAAATCATACGTGGGAGCCATTATTCGACTATATGTTACACCGCTTAAGGGAAGGTAACTTAGATTCAGATTTTGGAAATGCTACGGTAACTGATCTGTGGTGAAGCGGTAACGTTATGAGAGTTTACAAGGGAGAGCCAATTCACAATGCGAAACCTACTATATGACAAATGAGGGCTCACATTATCTTCATTCCCAAGATCTCAATTTCAATTATTTAATCAACATCGTCCCATCGACTTTAGCAGACCCAATGTACCCTTTTAAGTAATTAACACTCCTCTTTCCACTGTTCGACCTAGCTAAATTTTAAACATATTCGCCGGCCTTATAGTTTTACAGTATTTATACAATCGGTTTATTAACTTCATACAGTAACCGCATCATCTTGGAAACCGACGTGTCAGTTATTGCATCATGCACTTCCAATTACCTTCCCTTAAGCGGTGTAACATATTTTTGAATTGTGGCGTCCACGTATGATTTAAGAACATACTCCAAAGTTTGCATGATATATACGGCTTATCAAGTTCGAATATCAAAGCATTGCGTAAATTATAAAGTAGTTTAATTCGATGAAAACAAAAAATATCGAAATCAAGTCTTATCGTCTGTCATCTTAGATGAGAGGATAACAGCCGTTACCGCATCTTGATACCTACCAGTGAAGATGATGGGTATATTTTTCATTTTTCTATTTTTAAGTGAGAAAAAATATACCCATGGCCTAGATTTTTTAAGCAGTTATTAAAATGACTTAGTAAAGAGAGTTTACTTAAATGTGAATTTTAGTGAGTTGCTGCCAAAACAAATCTCTAAAATGGTATCACTTCTAAAAATGTTGGCCCATCGACATTATCCTAATCAGCTCCCCATTCATGTTGGCTTATATAGTTCAGCAGCGTCTGGGCCAATTGGTGGTTAAGTCCATAACCAAAGTGGGTGCCATCGAAGCTGAATGAATGGTTAGTCAATACATGGGTATTAAATGTTGGAATATTGTATTTTGATAGAAATGTTCGCATTTCAGATGTGTACGTTGTCACATTCTTAGTCCCTTGGGTATTCCAATATCGGGGACTTTTCATAAGACCAGGAAGGTGTGGGCTCATAAATACCATTCTTGGTGTGGTATGATTATCCATTTTGTTTCGCTTAAAGATTTTACTACCCAATGTTTCTAAGTATTTGTGCAAAGCTAACTTTGTTTTTGGTATATCAAAATTGTTGTGAAGGCCGTTAGAGAAAAGAATAACCTGCCCCTCCTTTTCTCTGATGAAATTGACAGAATTCTGTAAAGTTGGCAATGAGTAGTCATATCTTAAAGTTAATGTGACCGTTGAATTACAAATCTTTCTTCCATGTTGAATCAGTTGTCGACAAGTTTTTTCTTCAAACTGCGCATAGTTACCGCACGACTTTTTTTTCTCTGAAAAAAGAACATTTTAAGACTTGATCAAATTTTTAAGATGAACAAGTACATATTCAAACTACTTTTATTGTTAAGGGCATTTTTAGAACGGCTTAGTTAAGTACAAATACATACATGTAACGCATGGGCCTGCTTTACAGGTTTATATTCTTACAACCGATCTGTAACACATTCACGAATCCTTATTTCACTAAAGTTAGTTCCTAAAGAATCAACGCCATTTGATGATACTAGGCTTTAGTGTCCTCTGATACCGCCTTAACCAAACCGTTGCAATTCTCAAGTCAACTACTTTAATGTTCAATCAATCGAGGGCCAATACTAAATGATAATACTAGGTAAGTAGTAGCAAATGTAATACTAGGTATAACTAGTAATGCTAGGTATAAGTAGTAATACTAGGTATAACTAGTAATACTAGGTATAACTAGTAATACTAGGTATAAGTAGTAATTCTAGGTATAACTATAACTTAATATTAAGGCAACCTTAGGCAAGGGTTGGGATTGTCTAATTTTAAGAAGACCCCGGATCATCATGACATTATGCAAAGAAATAACAATAATTTCGCACAACTTAAAAGCTGCTTCATATCCGGTGAAATAAACCAAATGTCTTAATACTAACAGATTGATTTAGTTTTGCAATATTTCGATTTACTCTTTAAATCTTTTTCAAGCAACTGAAAATTTTTCCCATAATTATAAATGAATTTGTTCAATCAATTTAACATAAAAGTTGTTATTTTTTATAAATAAAGACCGAGATTTTATGATTTATGGCGTGATATATGACCGAAAATTTCATTCTGTTTATTGTTAAAAGACCGAAATCGCGTAGCGATTGAGGTCTTTGGCAATGGCCAGAATAAAATTTGAGGTCACATATTTGACATAAATTCTTTGTTATGATTCTAATATGATAAACAGACAAGAAACACGACTATTTGCATTCATGAATTTTATCAGTCATACATACTCAAATATAGACCAGAAAATCAATTGTTCTAGCTAGTGTGACGTCACATATCATATTAGAATTAAGAAATATAGACCGAAAAGCAGGGGTTATATCGTCGAATACACCCCTTGGGGCGAGGTCTATAATACGATTCGAACATGAAAACTCGCCAAATTGTTTCGAATATTCATCATGGTCCGCCATTACTACGACCCATTGTTATGACGTCACACATTACATGTATTAACTGGGTTATTGATCTCGAATATAACCCAGCTGAAGCATTGACTTTGTTTACAGTTTATAGAAGGCGTGAATACAGTCATGTTCGAATTTAACATAAAAACAACAGTTACTACTTATTTTGTTACTACTGATGAAAACACATTTTCTTTCAAATATGTGCGCCCTCGTTTTGTTTTATTTCAAACAAAAAAATCTTGCCTGGAGCTGTTTAGTCCCCGGGAGCAAATATCAAATAATAGAAACTTTTTGAAATGAGGTAGTATGAAAAGCACACAATAAACACAAGCATTTGAATGGGTCTAGCATTTATTATCCATCACTTCGATTTCTTTTGTGATGTGACTGCTATACTTAAGCCATAGCCAAGATTTTTCAAAAGAGTTCTACTTTTGCTGAATTTCAATGGACATTTGTAACGCGCGCGTACACCTCCATATACAGGTTGACCCAGAAAAATTACCCTCTCATTTTAGTATAAACTCAAACATGATTTTTTAATTTATCTGCGTATATAGACTGTTTAAATTCAAAGTTTTCACATGATCACATTTTCCATCCAGGTATGGTCTAGTGATATTGTCCAAAAATGTTGAAAATGCAATATTCTGAAATTGAGATTTCTGTCTTAGCCATTATTTGAGCCATTTCTGGATTGCTTTCATACATATTATGAATAGTGTGTAAAATCTACCCTTCAAACAATTCAACAATCTCGTCAAATATGATGCACTGACTACTTATTAGGTAAATTCCAATGATTTATGCATTTAACTCTATCTACACAAAAGTTATGAAAAGTCCTTAAAACGGAGATATAGTTATTCCCAAATTAAGGGGTGACGTTTTTAGGGTCACCTGTACTTGGACTTGAATTTGAATTTTGAATTTTATATTTTATATTTTCAATTCAAAGAAAGAACAATTGGGTATTTTCAGCACTATAGTAGGTGTCTTTTGTTGTAAGGCCTTGCAATATAAAAAGAGGTTTAATCTTAGAGCCTACGGAGTACAATAGATATCGTGTTATTTCAATTTGTTTAGTTTGACAAAACGAATTATCAACTGCCACTTCTATCGTCAAAGAGTATTCACGTACAGGTAGCTATAAAGACTTTTATGTACGCCATGATTAAATAAATATTTCATTCTTCGAAAATATTTGCTATTAATTATTCTTCAATTTAGTCACTAACAGTCAAGCCACGAATCTCTTTCACATTTGATCAATGTAAAAGTTGAAAAATGAAACTTTAGATTGAGATATAAATGCATATACCATTAGCCATGGGGTTTAAGAAGCGTTTCTCAAAATATTTTTATTACCTTGTGCATTAAAACGTAAATATACTCTTAAATTGCTGGTGTCGATGATGGTGCATACATAGGCTTACATTGATTCATGTTTCAAAATTAATTTTGAGTTTAAAGATAAACTAATGTATTGAGTTTGAATTATTTAATCACAAAAATAAATTGCAATAGTTGTTGTTTATCTTAACAAGAGAATTTTATTAAGATAATCATTGAAATACATTGTTTTGAGTTTCCCTAAAGATAATTAATTTCAAGATCTTGTTTTCTAAGCTACATATATAATATGCCAAGTCAATTCGTCGATCGACAAAATGAATGTACAAATTAGACACGCATGTCTTCTTACATCAAAATACAACATTGTTACGAATAGGTCAATCACTCCTCCTTGTGATATTGAACAAATATTTCACTCTATTGAGGTGAATACCTGTACATCTTTCACAAGTGATATTCCACACGAAGCCTGAAGGGACTAACTTTCATCGGAAAGTTAGTCCCAATCAAGTAGTACCTGACCTGCGTTGTAAACTTCAATAAGCGAATCTAGGCAATGTAATGAAAGATGATGTAACAATCTAGTAAAAATACTAATCTTTTGTAATAGCTTTATTTCTAAACAAACCATCGTCTTTGTAATGCTTATATTTCTACGATCTAAATGGTATGATTTTTGAAAAAATTGAAGCAATACTTCCAAATCCAGCTTCCTAGAAAATCTGAAAACCGAAATCAATGATCAATGAAACTCATTAAGAAACTGATTTTACTTAGGTTCACAGATGAGCGATCTCATCTTATTGAAAACTGGAATGTCAGTTTAGTATAAACCATTACAAATTCATGGTATTCTTTGTGATTTATAATTGATAAGTTCCCTCTCAACTCCATGTGAATGTCCAGTAGTGATTACTATGTTAAATAGGTTCTACTTGCAGTGTCTCCCTCGCTTCAGTGATTCTAGTAATACAAATGACGAAATCCATGAACTGGGTATTTCTGCTCTGGTGGTTGCGGTATTAATAGGATAAAAATAGACTGACTGGCTTAATGTAAACGTTTATATTTCAACTGTTTTTAAATTGAGAATTCCCGTTGATACCCATACTCGTTTCCCAGTTTGATTTTCAATCATATGAAAACATCGTACAGGGTGACCGGAAAAAAAGGAGACCATTGAAGTAATCAATTTCTCCTAAACTAGACAAGTGCCATCAATGAAATTTTGCATACACTGGAACAGTTATATGGAAATTTGTTACTGAAGGTTTCAATACAAGCATTCAACTGGTTCAGGAGCTATGATCATTTACATAACATGCTCCAAATAGGCACAATTGAGACCAACGCAGAGTTGGATTCATATGGCAAACTACCCTTACATGTTCTGCCCTCTATGGCATTATTATGGCATTACATATAGCAGTGATTGCCTTCTTTAGGTCAACAATAGTCTGAGGATTGTTTTGGTATAGATTGTCTTTCAAATATCCATACAAAAAGAAATCAGCAGGATTCAAGTCTAGGCTGTAATGGCAATGAAGGGTTATCTGACATGTGGTTCATCATCCTGTTGCCAAAGTGCTGATTTACCCAATCTTAAGAGTCACTTTAGGTATTGGGCATAGTGCCATGTTACTAAAACCACTATATGGCACAATTAAATCCCATATGGAAACCAAGGGCTGCCCAAAACCTCCTTAGGATGATACTGTAACTGAGTGGGACCACTGAGTCAGAAGCCATAGGTCAGATAAGCTTCGTCTCCATACACCTCAAATTTGAATCCACTTGATTTCTTTTTGTGGGGCAATTTGAAAGACAATGTGTACCAAAACAATCCTGAGACAATTGCTGACCTAAAGGTGGCAATAAATGCTAAATGTAATGCCATAACAAGGTCGGAATATGTAAGGGTATTTGCCAAATGTATCCAGCTCTGCGTTGGTCTCAATTGCGCCTATTTGGAGCATGTTATGTAAATGATCATAGCTCCTGAACCAGTTGACTGCTTGTATTGACACTTTCAGGAACAAATTTCCATAGAACTGTCCTGATGTATGCAAAATTTCATTGATGTCACTAGTCTATTTTAGGAGATATTGCCTATTTCAATGGTCTCCTTTTTTTCCGGTCACCCTGTACCTTGGAAATCCAAGATGGTCGATACCGTGGAAACCGACGTCTGGTTTGATAGTAACTTGTTGACCAGCAATTATATAGTATATGTATCTGATGTACTCTCGTCTTAACCACCAAGGCTAAACGTATATTCTTGAACCACATGTGAAACAACCAAGTCATAGTCCATTTGTCACCCCTATACTTCCAATAGTGAACCTAGAAATTGTTAAAAGTACGATGTTTTATGGTCGATTTATGATAATAAGGGTTTTCTGAAGTGATTTAACTGGGTTGCCCAAAAAGTTTGTTTGGGGAAAAAATTATATAGGCTGATTAGGGAGGGGTGTAATCGCTTAACATGGCGTTGACTATTGACTTAGCGTTGGGATACCACCATATACCTGGTATGTTACCGTAACAGATACAAAATTTTTCCCCAAAGTTATTTTTTGGCAACCCAGCTAAATCACTCCAATAATCCCTAATGATAGTATTTACACAGAAAAACATCATACTTTTAAATATTCATACGTTCAGAAATTGACAAATGGACTATCAATAATATTACAGACACGGCTTGCTATAAATGGTTCAACCATCAAAAGAACGACCTTGTCGATAATATTAAAGACAATATAACAGATAATATCACAGGCATGGCTTACTTTAAATGTTTTAACTGTCAAAGAACTGCCATGTCGATAATATTACAGGCAAGGCTTACTATTAGTATGTTAGCCATCAAAAGAAAGGCCTTGTCGATAATATTACAGCCAAGGTTAAACATTTTTTCTTTTTCACAAAAATGGTAAGCGCCGAGCCGATATTATTATCAAAATGGCTGATTCCATTTCTAGAATTCACCTAAATGCATACACACGAATAAACCATGGTTTGCCATGGGCTCCGTAGAACTTACAAACTCACGACGGTTCATAAACCCTCATTTTACAAACAGGATAATACAAGCACGAATACAAATGTTAGTTTAATGAATATATTTGTTACTTCCACATAAAAATTTGAAAATTACTAAAAAAGGAAGCAGAAAATTTATGACAGTACTGTACCTGGATTAGTGGTAGGATGCATGCCTCCAGATTCTAGATTACCGCTTAGAACTATTAGAAGCGCAGTATGGAAGTGCCTAACAAGTGAATCCCCAACACATATTATATGTTTTAATTTTCTTTTGGCAAACATATTACATGCTGACGTTGTGTCGAAATATGTTATAGGACACTGTTTCGAGCCTGGTTGCCAGACGTATTTCTCGACATGAAGATATGTTCTTAGGTCAAAACATCCTTTACATTGACACTGGTCGATTGTCATGGTTTCACAATGATTCTTAGAACAACATGCTTTTTTAGAGGTAGGGTAGCAAAGTGCACGACGGGGAACAGTTGCGGTCCTGTTGGTCGTTTCTCTGTCTCCACATTGGCCATTTGCTAGCGTCAATTCACCCTCACTAGGCATGAAAATCATTTTCTCCATTTCCGTATCCTCTCTTGCTCCTTTGACCCATTCACCAATTGACAGACAATCAATGTACTCCTGTTCTGTCATGTGAAGCGAAGCAGAGTTCGATTTGGATCCAATTGTATTCCTTGTAAGCTGTCTCCAACTCAATCGGTTAAAATTAGTTGTTGGTACCTTCAATAAGTTCGTATTCATTAACAGTATGGTTCCAAAACTCAATAGTGTCATAAAGGAAATACATATTTCTAACCGTTTCCATACCATACTTTTAGTACCAATGTATGTTTGTACCTCGAATGTTGACACTTAATGATTCTTATTAAAACAATGATGCTGAAGTTATTGACTTCTAATTTAAACTTTTTATATACAGCACGGTGTACAGAGTGACTCAGAAAATCAAAACGTTTCAAAAGGGAAATGATCTATTTAAAGATTCGCGCAATCTTTATCCAATCAGCGTTTGCGATGCGAATCGGCTCACGTATAAAAGGCGAATCCAACTCCGGGTCCATGCAGGGGTGTATGAGGTACTCGAGTGGGAAAGAGCTCGTAAAATCAGAATTTACATGCACATGGTAAGTGTTTACACATGTTTCGAGTTATTGAAGAAAATGTGATATGGGGGTGGTTCCGAATTTGAAGTCATTGCTGGAAAACATGATTTTAATACGTGAAATTCAGTATATCTATAAATACAGCACTAAAAATAACAGTACGCATGAAGTACATGCATGATAGTGCCCAGAAATGTTTGAAACCCTTACGGAAAATTCTGTCTACATTTTGTCACCATTGCTCTTTCTTCCCGCATTCTAGTGCTATTTGGATGAATATATTTATGAATGTATTTCTAACTAAAATATATCAAATTTTTTTATAAACCACAAACATTTAGATTATAAAGAAAATCATTCAATACTTGAGTGAGCACGATATGCAAGGGTTACTAAGTTAACACAGTAAATGATTGAACAAAAGGTAATTTATTGTCTGCTAATACACATTTGCTAACACCCCTCACTTTCATAGTGAAGTGACTTCTAGTAATTGTAGTCCCTGATCTGATTTCCAAAAGGGCTCTAGAAAAGGGGTTTTGTTGTCTGGTACTTTCCCACATAAAATGATTGTACCGTTTGAAAGAACAGACTTCCCTCATAAATAAAACACCTCTTATATTGATAGAAACAGGGGCAAAAGGCACCAAAATGGGCATCGCGATTCCAGAAAAACCACTTAACAGATCCACTTCAAATTTTCACACATGTTATATGGTAAAACGACCTAGACCTCAATGGTTTTTCAGTGGCCAACTTGCATTCTGGTGGCAATTTTGGAAGTTTTAAGATAAACCTTGTCATCACGATTTCAGGAAAACCAAACAGATTTACTTCAAATTTCCACACAAGTTAGATGGTAAGAAAGTCTAAAGGTGATTAACTTTTTGGTAGCCACCTTGCATTCTGGCGGCCATCTTGGACGTTTTTGGATAAATCTTGTCATTGTGATTCCAGGAAAACCCCTTAACAGATTTACTTCAAATTTTCACACATGTTACATGGTATGAAGTTCTAGAGCTGATTAAGTTTTCGGTTTCCACCTTTCATTCTGGTGGCCATCTTGGAAGTCTTTAGATAAATCTTGTCATTGCGATTCCAAGAGAACCACTTAACAGTTTTACTTCAAATTTTCACACATGTTACATGGTATGAATTCTAGAGCAGATTAACTTTTCGGTTGCCATCTTGCATTCTGTAGGCCATCTTGGAAGTTTTTATTAGATAAATCTTGTCATCATGATTCCAGGAAAACCACTTAATAGTTTTACTTCAAATTTCTACACATGTTAGATGGTAAGAAAGTCTAGAGGTGATTAACTTTTTGGTAGCCATATTGTATTCTAGCGGCCATTTTGGAAGTTTTTGGATATATCTTCTCATCGTGATTCCAGGAAAACCCCATAACAGATTTACTTCAAACTTTCACACATGTTACATGGTATGGAGTTCTAGAGCTGATTAACTTTTCGGTGGCCATCTTGCATTCTGTCGGCCAACCTGGGAGTTGTTATTAGATAAATCTTAAATAGATTAAAATTCCTCAATTCACTAACCTTTTATAGCATTACTATCTAGCTTTCGACAACTCCTGTTGCCTTTCTCAAGATGTCTGGATTTGGCGGGAAACTGGTAGATTTGACCTTGACTTGATCTTTGACCTAGCAACCTCAAGTAGACTCGGGGAAACCTTATATCCTAAGTCTCTGTTAAGTTCAGGTTTATATTTATGAATATGTATCGCTTCCTTTATCTTTCGATCAAAGTATTTAGACTTAGGATATAAGGTTTCCCCGAGTCTACTTGAGGTTGCTAGGTCAAAGATCAAGTCAAGGTCAAATCTACCAGTTTCCCGCCAAATTCAGACATCTTGAGAAAGGCAACAGGAGTTGTCGAAAGCTAGATAGTAATGCTATAAAAGGTTAGTGAATTGAGGAATTTTAATATATTTAATCATACACCTAACCAATGAACAATTTTGGATAGATAAATCTTGTCATCGTGATTCCAGGAAAACCACTTAACAGTTTTACTTGAAATGTTACATGGTAAGAAGTTATATATAGAGCTGATCAACTTTCCGGTAGCCATCTTGCATTCTGGCAGCAATGTTGGAAGTTTTTAGATAAATCTTGTCATCGCGATTCCATGGTCAGAAAAAACCACTCAACAGATTTGCTTCAAATCTTGTCATCGCTATTCCAGGAAAACCACTTAACTGATTTTCTTGAAATTTTTACACATGTTACATGGTAAGAAGTTCTAGAACTTTTCGGCGGCCATCTTGCTTTCTGGGTCATCAAGTCCACACTGCTATGTTATAGGTACGATATCGTTCACCATGTGCCTTGTTTACTCTGTGTTTGTACTTTATACCACACAATAGATGCATTTTGTGTATGACATCAATTGGTTTTTGGAATTTATAAAGGTCTCTTAATATGGTGCACAGTGAAAGGTTGTCCATACATACTAGTATAGGCCACATACATATATTTTCTCTTAAAAGAGCTTCAATTTCGTAAAAAAACTCATCAATGCCAATTAAGCATACATTTCACTCTAAAAAAATCACTGTGCATTGTTGTATTTCAAAGAAATGTTTGACGTTTTCAATAATCTTTTTTATTGATGAAAGGTAATGTAGTTATGTATTCTAAAAATCGATTGATGTCAAACACAAAATGCATTTGTGTGGTATAAAGTACAGAAACAGAGTAAAAGGTTATATTTCGAATATCACCTTGTGTTACCCCATTAAAGCGGCAGTTGTCCATGTTTATATTAATATAGAAGATTATATCATACACGATATGCATTTATGTCAAATTATTACAGAAGCATAGTAAACGTTGTCTTTAGAATACCACCTTGTGTAACCTTTCTTTACGTAGTGCCTTTCGCCCCCGTTTCTATCAATATATCGAGGTTTTAAAAATAATTTGATACCATAGACGAAATATGCACTTAGTGAAAAGTTGTTGTCTTCAGGGTTGCTGAATTTTAAGTCCATTCTTGGTTTAATATTCATAGATTTGTGAATATATAAACAAACACCACCTCCGATTGTATTTCGTGATTTAAAGTAACCTTTGTAATTAAGATAGCTTTCATATTTAGATTCATCTTCTGTAAAAAGCCACGTTTCAGATAGTGCCACGACAGAAATTGTTTTGTCAAAGGATTTGGGCATACTATTCAATTTCCACTGTTATTTGACAGGCTTCTAATATTAGAATGCAGTAATGAAAGTTCAGTACCAGTTTCAGAGTTCATGTTATTGTTAAATGCTGATATTGTTTTATATTCACACTTCTTTATAAGGTTATTTGTCTCAACATCATATTCAGGGGTATTTTCAGTAGTATGGTTCATATCTAATGGATTAAAGCACTTAATATTTTCGAAATTTGAAATAATATCACGTGGCGGTACTAATTCGAGTAGTTCATTTTTGTCAATAATACTTGCAAAGGGCAAAACAGACCTTGGCACTGACACAAAATTTAGATCACCCTGTATCGAGATTGCTAAGTAGGATTTTCAATCCTAAAAGATACAAATTTGTTCAACATTTTCTTTTTGAATGAAGGAAGATCATCTGTCTGGCCTGGAGCTATACAAAAAGAATGTTGCTACTTCACAAAAGGAGTCTGAATACTGTTAACCTTAGTAGGCATATAATATTCAAGTTCAAACTTAATGGTAAAATAAATGTATGTTTCTATATACAGGTTTGAAAAAGTGGCATGCATGAATAGGGCCTAGTATGTCTATATAGTAATACAGAAATAATGAGTTTGTTGCTACCTAAAGTATACAGATACCTTCATACATTATGTAAATATGATAGGAACATAAAACAAGAGAGTTCAATATTTACAACTGATGATTCCAGTTTTATATGGCGTCCATTTCGACCTACAACCGGCACCGGTACTTGTGCACCATGGTGCACCGGGCGTGACGTCATAGGCCACGTACAATGGAAGTGACGGCATGGGTAACGTGGCAAGATGGTCACAGTCAATAATTCACAGATGCTGAAAAACTAGACCCTATTATTTTCAAAATCAATGAGAAATTAAATATTTCTCATAATTAACATAATTAGAAAAATGCAATCCTGTAAGCAAAAACATGGACCAAGCTCATCCAGTACCTTATCGGTCAAAACGGAACACGAGTCATATGCTTCATCAGATGGGCAGAATAATGGTATACAAGACAATAACAAAATGGAAGTGAATAAAAATTCAGTTTTCAGGGTTGTTTTGATATTTCAAAAACAAGAAACCATAAAAAGACGTGTTTTATTTATTGTTAATCAGTGATTTTTGCTCTGCAAGGCCTACATATACACATCAATCCCTATATGAAAAATTTAGTTTTTAAAAATTACTACTCAAAAGTTATGAAGACCTAAAATTCAACCTCTGAATTCTCAATATCAGCGAAAATGCAATTCCAAACAATGTGGAAATAATGGGCATATATTGTATGGTATAAGATTCTGTATTTTCAGTACTGATGTCTCAAGCAGAGACAATTTGGAATTTTTTATGATGCACACCGTATACAGATCATGACCATGACAAGCCAAAATCATATATATATTTCTATCTTTAATGTTTTCACAAATAATCATTTTACCATTATCTGAATTTTTGTGGACTGGACTGCAATGATAAAGAAAATTGAATAAATAGCAAAATGTTCCAATTTTTATTGGCCCACTCTGTAAATCAGCAAGGAAAATTGTTAAGGCATAAGTCATGTTTAGACTAGATTTAGACTAATATTGATTACAGTATCCAAGCAAGAATGCTATCATACTTGAATCAAGGTGCATCGAGATAATGGGTTAATTTTTATTTAATATTTCAAGTACATTTTTCTATAAAAAGTGAGGGTACATACTCATGCTTACATACTTTTTGAATAGTACTTAACATGGCTAGGTATAGCGAATCTACGAAAATGTGAATACAAACAAGTGCCATATAAAACTACATGTATATCTCCTATATCTTAAACCATTGGCAGATCGATATTATCCTTAATCAGCTCCCCATTCATGTTGGCCAATATAGTTCAGCAGTGTCTGGGCCAATTGGTGGTTAACTCCATAACCAAAATGGGTGCCATCGAAGCTGAATGAATGATTAGTAAATGCATGGGTGTTAAATGTTGGAATGTTGTATTTTGATAGAAATTTTCGCATTTCTGTTGTGTACGTTGTCACACTCTTAGTCCCTTGGGTATTCCAATATCGGGGACTTTTCATAATACCGGGAAGGTGTGGGCTCATAAATACCATTCTGGGTATGGTGCGATTACTAGTATCCGTTTTGTTTCGCTTGAAGATTTTACTTCCCAAGGCTTCTAAGTATTTGTGAACTGCTAACTTTGTTTTTGGTAAATTCAAATTATTATGGAGGCCATTGGAGTATAAAATAACCTGACCCTCTTTTTTCCTGATAAAGTTGACAGAGTTCAGAAGGGAGCGTCAGAAGGCGACCGCCCCTCCCCTTTCCCAGATTTTTTTTAGATTTGAAACCGAGCCTAGAATTGGAAGCTATAGAGTTAATTAAAGTGAAATTGTTATAATGACAGACATGATACTATGTCAGTATATTGTCTACATCATAAATAGAAGATCTCATTTCGCATATTATATTTAATTCTATACAAGTTATAGTTTCTCAGGTATCCATACGGTATGTAAATACTTTGAAGAATAAGTGCAAAATGTATATTTTAGTAAAAGTCAAAGTTTTTTAGTTAACTCTGATGTTACCAGCCACAATAAAAGTGTGGAATGACATTGATGCATCAATAAAAAGCACAAAAGCTGAGGAGCACTTCAAAAAATTGATAACAAACAGGAAGAAGGTACCAAATTACTATTACTATGGGAAAAGAGACACTCAAATAATACACACAGAGATAAGACTTAGATGCAGCGACTTAAACCAAGATCTACATCTCAACCATGTAAAGGACAGCCCCAAATGTGAATGCGGAAACCCAATAGAAAGTGCCGAACACTATTTCAAAGAATGTACTTTATACCAAAGACACAAAACAATTCTACCTAGGATAACATTGACAGAACTCATCCATGGAAATGCAAGGAAAACAGATGAAGAAAACAAAGCCACATCCACTGCTGTTCACAATTACATAAGAGTTACAAAAAGATTCTCTAACAAGTAGTTTCCTCCTTTCACTCTCTCATTTCTTCCCAAGCCTCCCATCCTGCACAAATAAATAAAACTGTAATAATTTTCTAGGACAACCAAAGGAGAGGACTTAGAATAGGCGAAAGCCTCTTGTCCGATCCATTTCGTCAAATTGTATAAATATAATGTATGTAAAACTTATAGACGAATAAAATATTTTTAATAATAATAACTCTGATGTTAACGCTCAGACACACCGGAGGAAGCACCCTACCCTTTTTTTTCCCCTTTGGCATTTGCGCTTATATATTCCCACATACACACACGCTGCTCAACTGTCCTTAAGAACCTCTCCAATTGAAAGTGAGAGAGTTTACGGAAATGTGAATGAATGAAAGGTTGCTCCCAAAACAAATCTCTAAAATGGTATCACAAGTGTTGACCCATCGACATTATCCTAATCAGCTCCCCATTCATGTTGGCTTATATAGTTCAGCAGTGTCTGGGCCAATTGGTGGTTAACTCCATAACCAAAATGGGTGCCATCGAAGCTGAATGAATGATTAGTAAATGCATGGGTGTTAAATGTTGGAATGTTGTATTTTGATAGAAATTTTCGCATTTCAGTTGTGTACGTTGTCACACTCTTAGTCCCTTGGTTATTCCAATATCGGGGACTTTTCATAAGACCGGGAAGGTGTGGGCTCATGAATACCATTCTGGGTATGGTGCGATTACTAGTATCCATTTTGTTTCGCTTGAAGATTTTACTTCCCAGGGCTTCTAAGTATTTGTGAACTGCTAACTTTGTTTTTGGTAAATTCAAATTATTATGGAGGCCATTGGAGAATAAAATAACCTGGCCCTCCTTTTCTCTGATAAAGTTGACAGAGTTCTTTAACGTTTGTAATGAGGAGTCAGATCTCAAACTTAATGTGACGGTTGAATTACAAATCTTTCTACTATGTTCAATCAGGTGTTGACAAGTTTTATCTTCAAACTGCGCAAAGTAACCACAATTCTTTTTCTTTTCTGGAAAAAAGTACATTTTAACACTCAATCACATTTTGAAAAGAACATGCAGGTGTACACTATCACATTTTGAAATGACCATACAGGCCTACACATTCATATTTCTGAATGAACATGTACGCCTGCACATTCACATTTTTGAAAATGAACATATTGGGCTACAAATTCCCATTTCGAAATGGACATGTAGGTCTGCACATCTACATTTTGAAATAAACATGTAGGCCTGCATATTTACATTTTAAATATGTACGCCTGCACATTCACATTTTGAAATTAAGAAACTGGCCTACAAATTCCCATTTCGAAATGAGCATGTAGGCCTGCACATTCACATTTTGAAATTAAAAAACTGGCCTACAAATTCCCATTTTGAAATGAACATGTAAGCCTGCACATTCACATTTTGAAATTTAAGCATTGCCCTACATATTTCCATTTGCAAATGAACATGTAGGTCTGCTCATTTACATTTTGAAATGACCATGTACGTAGGCCTACACATTCACATTTTTGAATGAACATGTACGCCTACACATTGACATTTTTTAAATGAACATAGTACATATAGGCCTACACATTGCTATGAACAAATGAACATGTAGGCCTGGATATTTACATTTTAAAATAAATATGTACGCCTACACATTCCCATTTCGAAATGAACATGTAGGCCTGCACATTCACATTTTGAAATTAAAACATTGGCCGACGTATTTCCATTTCGAAATCACATTTACATTTTGAAATGAACATGTAGGCCTGCACATTCACATTTTGAAATTAAATTATTGGCCGACGTATTCCTATTTCGAAATCGCATTTTCATTTTGAAATGAACATGTAGACCTACACATTCACATTTTGAAATGAACTTATAGGCATACAGAGTTAACGTTTTAGTGAACGTTGTATCATTGCATTGCATGGTATCACAAAATAGATCTTTTCGATAAATCCTGCCACATTTTGATACATCAGAAAAGCTTTGATATATTGGCTAGCTTGATGATGTCATAGGTTGTATTTTCAAAATTAGTAATAAGTTAATCTTATTTTGCATGGTCAAATTTCTACCTACAACCAAAGACATCATCAATTAAGTCAATATATCATAGTTTTTCTAATGTATCAAAAGGTGGCAGAATTTATCAGAACGATCTATTGTAACAGTATGCAACCAAAGTGTAAATAAATCAACTTAATATTCACAATGATATTGTATTAAATTGTAAAAGATATATTTGAATGATTGAATTATCTAGACAATTTGAGAAATTGTCAATGTTACACATAGGTATTTGAAAATTACTAAAAAGCAGTAAACCTATAAACAGTACTGTACCTGGATTAGTGTTAGGTTTCATGCATCCAAATTCGAGATTACCGCTAATAATTATCAGTAGCGCAGTATAGAAGTGCCTAACAAGTGAATCGCCTACTAATGTTATATGTTCTACTTTTCTTTTGGCAAACATATTACATGCTGATGTTGTGTCGTAATATGTGATAGGACAATTTTTTGAGCTTGGTTGCCAGACGTATTTTTCGACATGAAGACGTGTTCTTAGGTCTAAACAGTCTTTACATTGGCACTGATCGATTGTCATGGTTTCACAATGATTCTTAAAACAACATGCTTTTGTAGAGGTTGGGAAGCAGAGTGCACGGCGAGGAACGCCTGCTGTCATGTTGTCTGTTTCTCTGTCTCCGCATTGGCCATTTGGAAGCGTCAATTCAGCCTCGCTCGGCATGAAAATCATTTTCTCCATTTCTTTATCTTGTCTACTTCTTTTGATCCATTCACCAACTGACAGACAATCAATGTACTCCTGTTCTGCTCCGTGAAGCAACGCAGAGTTTGATTTGGATCCATTAAGTTTACTCCTCATTAATGGTCTCAATTTCAATTGGTTAAATTTAATTGTCGGTATGTTCACTAAATTCGTATTCATAACCAGTATAGTTCCAATACTTAAAAGTGTCATTAAGGAAAAACACAATTCTAACCTTTTCCAAACCATACTATTTATAGCATTAGTGAAAGCTTGTACTTTGAATATTTACAATGAATGGGATGTTTTAATTATTCCTAAATGATATTACAGTAAAACCTCTACAGTGGAACTCCTCTGACGGTCGAGCACTTTTTGGCTCACACAGTGAGCCTATGGGATCGACCAGGCGTCCGTTGGTCCGTCCGTCAACATTGGCCGCACAAATTAAAACTGCTATTCGGATTGAGTCATATCCACATTCATGTTATGCATATCCATAATGCCTATTTGACCTATCATCGCCATTTCCCAAGTTCGCCCAGTTTCAGAGAAATTGCTGATTTTGACGTCAAAAAGTCAAATTTCCTGTAAATACTAGACACTTTGTTGAAGTAGAACTTTCAAATAACTTGAAGTAGTTGCTGTATATGCAACTTATGTTCTCTGAAGATTTTAAAGCTCTTGAAATTACAGTTTTTGGTGTTTACTCTACAAAATTTGACAAAAAGGAGGACTGTCGTTTTCAGGAAATTTTATCATGTATAAAGTCAATCATCATTGGTTGCACAAATTAAAACTGCTATTCGTATTTAGACATATTCACATTCATTTTATGCATATCCATAATGCCTGTTTGACCTATCATCGCCATCTCCAAGTTCGCCCGGTTTCCGAGAAATTGCTGATTTTGACGTCAAAAAGTCAAATTTTCTATAAATATCAGACACTTTGTTGAAGTATAACTTTCAAATTAGTGGTAGTAGTTGCTGTATGTGCAACATATGTCCTCTGAAGATTTCAAAGCTCTGGGAATTACAGTTTTTGGTGTTTACTCTGTAAAATTTGACCAAAAGCAGGACTTAAGGGAGTCAATTTCAGGGAACTTTCTCATGTTCATGTATATCGTCGATGGCAGGTTTTGTGATTGACAAGTTTCTCAGAGTTTGTCCCTATACTTGTTCATTACTTGCAATGAATTACATCATTACTAGATTTAAAATAAGTAATAGTAAAAATAAGTTATTTTTCATCTTGCTTCAATTTGACCAATTTTTTTTTGGGGGGGGAATCATTTACAAGTTTCCAGGAGTTCAAATCTGACCTTAGTTTTGAGATTTGACCTTCAGTGACATTCGAAAGGTCAAAAAAGTTGATTTTTCAAATTGATTATTTGGATGTAAATTTTGGTCACCTTAATCACAAAAGACCTTCTGAGCTCTGAATAATTGTATAAGTAAAATGTTCAAGGTCAAAGGTTCTCATACTAGGTCACAAACTGTGCTATCTAAGTTTCTCAAAGTTCGAGACTACAAATCAAAATCAATAATTTTGTTAGAAAATCAGGATATACATTCCTCTGAATGTTCTACACTGTGTGAGCACAGGACCGTGGGTCCTTTATTCAAAGTATTGTTAGTTACCCATCACCTTAATGTGAAATGAGCCTTTGTAAGTGAACACCTCACAAATGGAACACTATTTGGATGTATTGAGAGTGCTCCGCTGACACAGGTTTTACTGTACTGTGATAATACCCTCATTCTTACCAGTGACAATGAGATAAAACTAAAATATTAGTGCAATATGGAATACTATGACTACATTTTACATCTAGATTAAAAGTACTGGTATAGAAGCACGCATATATTGAGACAAATCGCAACATATGTTCTGTATATCAAATGCCACTCATATTAATTAGTTTAATATGAATATGTTTTTATTCATTGAACTTGAACATAACAAAAAAGATTTTGAGCCTAAAGTTCTTTCCTAGCTATTTCAGTTCTCGGCTAAAACGGAACATAATTGTTGAAAACCACGAGTCACGGTAAACACAGCAAAACAGTTCGCCATATTTAACGAGAGGAGTGCTTTCTGATACTGATTGTTTCCAAGAGAGAAGTATAAATGTAGTAGCTGCAAGCTGGAATATTCCGATACAAGACATAGATTCATCTGTAACAATAACGATCTAAATATATCAAGATCTTCCCATGGAAATGAAATAAATGACGCATGTGAGAAATCGTTGATAAACCCCTCAACAGTTTCAGATCAAAATTTGTTTATTTGTTCATGTGGATAAAAACTAAGAAAGTACAAAGTATTTAGATTTATTAGGTTCTGATATTATGATAGAATTTCATAAATTACAAATCATCCTTTACTGAATACAATTCTTCATTTATCAAACTTTTAAGCAGTAGTAGTATTAATATTCGATAATCCATAAAGCTCATATTTGCCCCTATTTTATGTATCACTAGAGCTGTCAATGTCTTCTCCAAGTACAATAAATACATATTCATTTTTCTCTTCAACAACTGGATCATATCCGATCAGATCAGATCAAAATTTTCAATAATCTTATTATCTGGTTTAATCTCGGGAAAATACGGCATAGGTAAGGAAAATGGTACCAAAAACATTTTCCTTTTTGGATATAAATGTCTGAGGTTTCTGTACAACCTATTTATGTGTATTTTGACGCCCACGAGATCCAGGAGTATGATTGTACCAATGAAAAATACCATTAGGCTTATCTGTACGCCCCCTATGTACACTGCTCCGGGTGCCTCTGCGGGCTCATCTTGCTGTGATTTGCGGTACACAGAAAGTTCTGAAAATAGAAAAGGACGATTCTCGGTTTGGAGAACAGTCTCCTGGGCTAATAATTTTTTTCATGAAAAATATAGAAATATTACCCAAAATGAATATTCAAAAGAGGAGATTTAAATCTACAAGATGTAAAAATAACAAATTGGTCTGAAGCAGGGATAATGCTAAATTAGACCGATTCAATAAAATACAAGTCTCGATTTGGGGAAAGAAGTTCATCAGTGTACTGCGCTAATATTTTTTTGCGAAAAAATCTAGAAATATTACCCAAATTAAATTATGGCTATTCAAAAGAAAACATTCAAATCTATATTATGTAAAAATATCAAATTTGTCCGAAGCAGGGATAATGCTCATTTAGATTGATGAACTTCGTTCTCCAAACCGAGAATCGTCCTTTTGGGAAGATGGTGTTTTCTGTGTTTTTTTGTCTTAGATTAATTTTCGCCTAAACCTTCAATATATATTTTAGAAAAATGACAGATCCTATTATTAGCTTTATCCACAAAATAACATCAAACCTCTTTTGTATATAATTACTGCATCTTCAGTGGACATAGACTGTGTTGCGACCACTGATGACGTTGTTGGTGACGATATCGAAAACGCTGTTGAAGGTGATATTGAAGATGATGCGGCGAGCGGTGCTGTAGCTAATATCGAAGTTGACGCATCTAGTTTGACAGTTGCAGACGTTTTCATTGAAGTTAACCCATCGAGTGATCCAGTTGAAGACGCTAATGTTGAAGTAAACACATCGGGTGGTATAGTAAAAGACGTTAACATCGAATTTGACGCAACGAATGATATAGTGGGAGACACTAACATTGAAGTTGGTGCATCGAGTGCTAAAGCTGAAGACGCTGATATTGAAGTAAACACATCGAGCGGTAAATTTGGAGACGCTGACATCGAATCTGACGCATCAAGTGATATAGTTGGAGATGCTGACATTAAATATGACGCATCGAGTGATATAGTAGGTGACGCTAACATTGGAGGTGACGCATCGAGTGATATAGTGGGAGCGTCTAATATCGAAGCTGACACAGCGAGCGAGATGGAAGGCGATGCTAACATTGAAGTTGACGCACCAAGTGACATTACCGAAGACGCTAATATAATTGTTGGTGTATTCAGAAGAAATGATGAAATCGATTCTGAAAAGAAACCAGCGGTGTCATGAGTTAAACTAGTTTAGTAAAAATTCACTCATAATACTTATTATATATCTTTTTAATTAATTATCAATTGTGTATTACTCTTAAATTTTATATTGATTCAGCCAAGCATATTGAGTGCAGCTGTGACTGCAATATGGAGGGACATTTGGGAATTTTCACTTTTTGATTTTTGGTCGATCATTACAACCCTGGTGTCAATTTTAGCCTCTACCCCACAGGAAAACAAAGGTTTCCATGGAATGGTGGCATATTGTCTTTAAAATCATATAAAAGCACATGGTAAATGGTTTAACATATATCATACAATTTTCATCTTAAACTTATGTGTTGTTTTTTGGCCCACTCTGTATGGTACAAGTCAGTGACTGTGTTGAAAGTGTACTAAAAATAAAGGTATGATAAATATTAAACTATCCATGAACATGTAGTGCAAATAAAAAAACGCTGACATACTCGATGGAAACTAGAAAAACAGCAACTCCACGGAGTAGCAAATCCCACCGAACAAAACATATTATGCTTATTATAGCTAGTGTAAATGTTGAAATGTTTGTGCACTTTGTGATAGAAGCATGAAATTTGGCACAAAGTTAGTTTATACAATTGTGAACTAGGCATCATCATATAAAATTTGAACCAAATCTGTTCACTGGTATATGAGTTATCAAAGATTACGTTTTTTACGAAAATTGGCCGCCATCTTGAAATTCAGCCGCCATCTTGAAAATTATTTCTTGAACTAGGCATAATCATATAAAATTTCAACCAAATCTGTTCACTGGTATTTGAGTTATCAAAGATTACGTTTTTTACGAAAAATTGCCGCCATTTTGAAATTAAGCGGCCATCTTGAAAAATTTTTGTCGAACATAGCTACTGTGTCGCTAAGCATCATCATATAAGATTTGAACTAAATCCGTTCACTGGTATTTGAGTTATCAAAGATTACATATTTTCACGAAAAATGGCCACCATTTTGAAATTAAGCGGCCATCTTGAAAATCTCTTTTTGTGCGAAACTCCTTTGTCCCTAGGCATCAGCATATAAAATTTGAACCAAATCCGTCAACTTGTATTTGAGTTATCAACGATTACATTTTTTACGAAAAATGGCGGCCATTTTGAATTGAGCGGCCATATTGAAAATTCCCTCTCGAGCAGAGGTCCTACACTCATAAGGCACAAGCCTATAATATTTGAACCAAATCCCTTAACTGGTATATGAGTTTTCAAAGATTACGTTTTTTTACAAAAATTGGCCGCCACCTTGAAAATCATTTGTTGAACAGAGCAACTGTGTCCCTAGGCATAATCATATAAAATTTCAACCAAATCTGTTCACTGGTATTTGAGTTATCAAAGATTACGTTTTTTACAAAAAAATTGCCGCCATTTTGAAATTAAGCGGCCATCTTGAAAATTTTTTGTCGAACATAGCTACTCTGTCCCTAAGCATCATCATATAAAATTTGAACCAAATCCGTTCACTGGTATTTGAGTTATCAAAGATTACATATTTTTTACGAAAAATGGCCGCCATTTTGAAATTAAGCGGCAATCTTGAAAATCTCTTTTTGTGCGAAACTCCATTGTCCCTAGGCATCAGCATATACAATTTGAACTAAATCCATCAACTTGTATTTGAGTTATCAAAGATTACATTTTTTACGAAAAATGGCGGCCATTTTGAATTGAGCGGCCATTTTGGAAATTCCTTCTCGAGCAGAGGTCCTACACTCATAAGGCATAAGCCTATAAAATTTGAACCAAATCCGTCAACCGGTATTGGAGTTATTGCCCGGACACACGGACGGACGGACAAACGGACGGACGGAAGGAAATAACATGGGGTATCTGGCGCGTGCCACGCGCCTTTTACCCCATAATGGGGTATTAGGCGCGTGGACATGGGGTATCTGGCGCGTGGATGGGGTATTTTGTACTTTTTGTCCGTCCATTTTTCAGAATGGGGTATTTGGATCTCGTGAGGGGTAACAGAGGACGGACGGACGGCTTCTCTATATCCCCCTCGAACTTCGTTCGGTGGGATAATAATATATTTGATCCTTACCTCCTGTGACCTTGCACACGTATTTCCTTTGACTTCCACAGTTAGTATTCTCCCATGTTCCATCAGTCTTCATAACTGCGCAGTTTTGGTTTCCTAATGGATACCCACTTGCCCAGTTAGTGTAGTTTGTGGGCTCGCCATTATCCCACTCCCAGCCAGATCCACCATCGTATAAGCTAATCCAATATTCGATAGAGGGCTCCAAAATACTATAGACATTTAAAGAAATAGCAATTAATTACATCAATATTTATATTTTCTATGCTTTGTGTATGCATTATATAAATCTATTTTAACTATTTAAATGATCTTAGAATCCATACTAGTCTATTCGTGTGTCTACAAAACGTATTATTTAGGAAATGCCATCTTATATATTTGTCTAGAGCTAATCATTTAACAAATGTACAACAGAGTAATAGTACATAAAAAGGAATAAAAAGAAATAAAAAGAAATCGGGGATAAATATTCTATAAATGGATCTAAAATGGCCTCATTTTCAAAAGGTCGTTTTTTATGGGCTTCTAGTATTTGGAAAGTTAAGCCCAATTTTTTACTAATAGGCCCATTCTAAGAACGGCTCAAAAATCGTGAGAAGAGATTTTCAAAATATTGTTCCATCCCCTCATTGAAATCTCCAGATCTGACCCTACCAATGACAACATATCAGAACACACCTTACTATGAAGTTTTTCTCATCTTCAGACCCAATCCAAAGTAGAGTCCCGAAACTTCTCGAGCTGCAATCTGATCCGCTGCTACTCTTAGAATTATCCCCCGGTGCTATGAGATAGCATGACGTCATATAAGAAAACACATAGTCTGTGGGGCACTGGATGTCACTACCTAGTGCAAAATCATAAAGAGCAAGATTTGGAAACACTTAAAACCCAGACCCAACAGAGAACACAAGAATCTATACTTTTCACATTGTTTTGTTTGTTGTTCTGGTTCGTTTATAATTAGTTATTCAGGCCCGTAGCCGAGGGTCACTCTCCCCCTGGCCCAAAATTCTTTCAAAATTTCTTTCAAAATCATGCAGTTTTTCACCATTCTGAGCACTTCTCGTGTGATTTTAGCCATTCTTGGGCCATATAAGTGAACCCCTGGATTTTTTTAAAGCGTGAACCCCCTTGGCAAATCCTATACGTGACTGGTTATTGGATATTTGATTGGTCCGTTGATAATTAGTTATTGGATTTTTGATTATGTTTCATTTTTAATCAAATTAATTTTAGATGGTGCTGATTGAATAACGTTATTCTCTTTCATATTTTCGTATTTTACTTAAGATCATCGTCTCATTTTTGTATGAATGTGGGATGTTTTGACTTACCTTTTACGAGAGGAATGAACCTATTCATCATTACCACCATCATCAGAATAATAACGTCTATGCATGCAAATTCCAATTTTGTTTTCCCTCTGAGCCACATCGGGATCATGTCACAACGAGTGTCTCTCGAGCTGGTGTCGGGTCCATTCCTTTTTTTATTTTTTAATCGATTTGACGTCGAACGTTGAAAGGAGCAGTTAAAGCGCTTTTTGAACTCTCTTATTTTTAAGGCCCGCAACACTGTAAAAAAATTAAGTAATCGAATTAGTAAACTATCTAACATTACTTTCAATGGTTTAATGTTTTCGTGACGTAAGTAATTGGGCTCCAGCAGTGAAATTGATTCTAATGAAAAATTAGGGACAATTAAATGAAGGAAAAATATTTTATATTCAGTTTGAAAGGAATCAATTTTAGCGAAGTTCACTAGGCGCGCGGTACAGATATTGCCAACGTGAGTCTTCAAGATGTGTATGTCCACCGTACAATTTAGACTTGGCATTGTGGTTCTAAATTTAACATTGTTTTTAAAGAGGCGATTTCTACATTTGGACTTCATTCCACAATATTTTAGTTGAAAACAATGTCTGAAAATATATTTCTGCTTCTTGTCTGTCTTGCCAATGATTGCCTGGCAAATTTGATGCGACATCCGTTCCAGTCTAAATCCAGAGCGGATATCGAAATCATGGACAATATTAAAGTACGGCATGACACGCAAAATGTCACTATCTTCCATTTGTTTCAGACGTCGAATGCCGCCGGGCACCATCCAACGAACACCGTCCAGAAAATAAAATTTGAGACTTACTATATGTGGTTACATAAAAACGATGACAAAGCACAAGGGGCAATATTAAAAAACATCTCGAATTGAACATATTCAAAAATCGGTACCTCGATCAATTAAATTGGATTTGCTAGATAAGTAAATACTTACTATTGTGTACAAGTAAATCATACAATCATGTCCTGTTATATCCGCGTGCTAAATCTAGTAAGTATAATCCCATTACAGTCTACCTTAACAAGCCCTCGAGGGCCGGCTTCAGCATACCCACTATTCCATCTTTTTTGTCTTTGTACATAACATACTGTATAACGCCTGGTCCAGTTTCTAACCAGAGAAGTCTCTGTTCTTACGTATTCCACATAAATTTCAGATGTGATCGCAAATCAAAAAGGGATGGCAACGACCGCAACAAAAATGTTTATATCACGAAGATTGCCGAAGGTGCTTCAAGCTTATTCGGCCATTTTCGGTTACGGTCCAAAAATCGAGACCCAATTCGAGGCTACAAGGCCAAGGCTACATTTTCCCACTTTACACGCCCGATCCCAACACTAGTTTCGTGCAGAACAATATAATAAAGAGATTTATAAACCCAAAAAATCGTTTTATTCTGAGTACATTGATATTAATTGATTTCGTATTATTATCGTTCATTATAAGTCTAGTCACAATTAAACGAATTCATTTCCTTCCTTTTCTTTGAAATGTGGTATTTAATACGCTCATTCATGGCTTAGCATTTCAAGTAGTTTCAATTTTCCAATGAACGATTCTGGTTCATTTCCGGACAATCGGTTTTCTTGGGGAAAAAATCTATGTGACTCTGTTGACTTGTCAATGTTTTTGAATGATCGCTTTCATTAAGAATATTCGATTTCATTGCAATAGTCACTTTATCACTGTTCCACAACTAGTTACTTCGACGGAACGTCAATGTAACAAAATGGATGAAACTTCCTGGATGCGAATTTTTTCTCGATTAAACGTACGTGTACGTCATGTTATCATTTGGCACAAAGTTAAACAATATAGTCTTGCTTTTAGAAATACTCTCGGAATGAAATTCGATTTTTATATGAATTGCAAGTTCATTTACAAAACAAATTCCAAATCGAAGAAAGTTATTTAAACCAGACTATATTTTCTATCTTTGTGCAACTTGACTTATAAGGTACATGTAGTAGGTTTAAATCGAGAAAACAAAAATACTCGAAACCAGGGAGTTCATCCATTTTGTTACATTGACAAGTAATGGAACAGTGTTTATTGAAAATATATTCAAAACATTTTCGCATTTCGATTTATAATTAGCATTTTGTGTCTTTTTACTCAGTGATGCCAGACCCGTTCCTGTAACGATACTATTATTTGTTTATTTCCGTGACAAGATATATAAAAAAAATATGATCATACCAATTAGTAATGGTATGTTCTTATTTTTTCGCGTAAGCATTGTAATTATCCTCATTTTGCCGAGATGAACTACCATTTGTTCTAGGCAATGAAGAAATTTAAAAAGGCTCAACTTTAATCGAGCGATTTTTACAAACAAGTTTTTATCATTTCATTGGCGTAGATACGAGGTCTAGATACGCCGTATGAGATCAGATGAAGCAAAAATTGCCACACCAAATTATACGTACATTTATTCTGACGGTTTTAAGGGTTTACCTCGCCTACAAATAGATGGCAGCACGCGATTTGAAAGGCTAGATACAGTGAGATATAACATTTACAACATTAGAAAATCTGAAATATTTGTATAATTGATTTTTTTTAAATTAATTAATGTAAAACTCCATGATCATACAACCAGATGATTTGGTTACGTGTGGATCGCAATATTAAGTTTAAATTGTAATCAATCAATGCAAATTTTAAAGTTTTTAATATTATCATGATTATATCAATGAAGTCTGAGACTAACATAAAAATTTTATGTTAGTCTCAGATGAAGTTTAGCCTGACTTTTAGTCAAAAGACTTAACAATCGATCAGTTTGATATTGAATAAAATGTGTTAACGTAAGGCTACTAAGCAAAGCAAAAATTTCATTTTCTTGTTCGTGAGGAAAGTGATTACTCAGGTTTTGTACACTATTTTTAGATTCCTTTGTTAAACAAAAAGTACTGAGTCAGTCGGATTAAAGTGGCTCAAGTTATGAAAACACTATTCAGATTAATTAGTGAAAATCATTTTTTCGATCCCCGGGGCCATGTGAACAGATTCAGAAAATAAAAATAAGATTGAAAAAATGTAGCACCATAGGTTTTGGGCCGATATAACGATGGCAGCACCATCTAATCCCCTGACAGAATTAGTAAATAAAGCACAGATTAATTACCATGCCATCTTTATTAAAAAAATTATTTCTATTCAGCATACCTAGTCCATAAGGTATGCTAGTCCATAAATACCGAACGTGCGACTTATTGTCGTTCGTAAATTTAGGGAACAAAACCGGAAGTTGCTCAATTTTCCATGCTCTTCTGGTTTTTTTACAGACTTTGGCAGATTTAGCAAGGTAAGTGGAGTAGACTTTGCGTATATTTGAATATAATGACAATATGTTCGGTAAAGTACAATCGTAGCTTGTTTTATTAGCCATAGGATTTTTTTAGTTTTTTCAGAAAAATACAGTGGGGATCATAAAGAATTGCAAAAGCTATGAAAATTGGAATGTACTAAAAACCCTTCGACCTACGACCCTTCGACCCTACGACTTACTAGGTGTCAAGAATTTTTGGAATATATTTTATTCCAACTTGAGCTCCCTGTGCACGCAAATACGCATTTTACCTGGTAATTGTCAAGCAAAAATGTTTCAGTAGAAAAATTTCTAAAAAAGTTCGTCTACACAGCAAAAATACGAACGCCGAAAAAAAACGTACGCATTTCGTTCGGACTTTTCACGCGAATTACGTATATGTCACGCATTGCGTTCGAAATTTTTCGTCTTATTTTACTTTTTTACTAAAACTTGAAAAGTAGTTGAACGATTTTGAGATCAAAAGTTCGATGGGATTTGCTCCACCTCGCGTTGCTGTTATCTAGTTCTGAAATGTTTCATATTTATGTCTAATAAATATAGTTGTATAGATGTGTTTGTAATAACCTTTATGCCCTTAAAATGTATATATTCAGGGGGGGGGGGACATTCGTGGGTTCAAGTGGACCACTCCATTGGCCAAATATTCTCTCAAAATCAGTACAATGTTTCACGATTTTGAGCATTTTCAAGATTTCTGGGCCACTTGAAAATTGTCAAATGTTCACCCCTTGATCCTTTTGAAAAACTTAAATTGGCAAAAGCTGGTTATATGAACCTGATATGACCTAGCTTGCAAGCTTTTTCTTGACGGTTTGTGTTTATTTTCCTTGTACCCTTGCATGCTTTGGATTTTGTAGGATGCAAAACAAAGAATCTACTTATTTAGTGAAAAGCACAAATATTTTTACTGAGGAGGTACATGGGCGTAGCCAGGGGGGGTGCGATGGGTGCGATCGCACCCCCCCCCATAACCTTTGAAAATATGACCATTGGATAGAGGAAGAACAGAGCTTTAAAATGCTTTTTATTTGAAGCTTCTAGCTCAATTTTGAAGGAAGTTTTTTGTAAAATTCAAAAGAAATCTTAATTTTTTGTGTTGCTTATGCCAAAATCGCACCCCCCCCCCCGACCGAAAACTGAAATTTTTTCAGCGATCGCACCCCCCCCCCTGACTGAAAACTGGCTACGCCCCTGAGGTAAGAAACGTTCACATTCGAATGTGCTTGAATACATTAAACCTGCACATCGCTCCAAAACGCAATATGTTGACATATATTGTTTTTACATTTTCAAGCTCTATTATAAAGTTTATGTAAATAAAAAAATTATCTGCATAATGTCAAAGAACAATCGTTTAGTTAAAAAAAATAAAAAGGCGAATTTGGGATTCGAACCCGGGCCTCCCGCGTGCTATGGGAGCATTCTTCCGCTGGACCACCGTGATTTTATAAATGATGAAAGTAATTAATGCTACTTATTTTGAATGCTACGATTCGGAAGTGACGTCACGTTCTTCATTTAGAAACCTCTCCAAAATCATATCGCCGGCTCCGATCGAAGTCCAGCTTTAAATATCTTTAACTCTCTTGGGACAGATTCTTAAGTTCTATACACAAAGTAATATTTCCAGCAACTTCATATGGACTGAGAAATATCTAGAAGGTCGAAGGGTTTTTATAAAAATATATTTCAAAAATTCTTGACACGCTGTAAGTCGTAGGTCGCAGGGTCGAAAGGTCGAAGGGTTTTTAGTACATTCCATGAAAATTACATGCTGTCGCACATGTAATAAATTCTAACCTTAGTGTATTCAGTGCTCTATTTCCTCCGTCTTAGTAAGTCCAAATATAGTGGAATTTGTGTCCCTAATGACAAATAAGAACTTCAAAAGTTGAATTGGATATTCTTCAAATGTTGAGGTGATTTTGTCGCCCGATTGCGCTGGAACGGAGGATTGGCTCCCAGAATGCAACATGACACGTGCCAGCTTTCAAATGCTGTTCCGCCATTTTGAAACCTGTCATGAGTAAAAAACGGTTAAGGTTCAGCTGGAAAGTAACATTTTGGTAAAAAATTGCTATACCTGCACATGTTATTTTCTGGTACAAAATTTTGTATGAAGGCATGTGTGTATTTCCTTGCTTTTTTCAGGAAAGTATCATTACACTGTCTTCTTTAAGTAAACCTGGAAACAGGTCAATGGTAGCTCTTGTGTTGTCTGGAAACTTTGAAAGAAAATTTGGAAAAATAGAAAGTGTGAAATATCAGAATTTCCTGTAGTTCCCATTGAACTCCTACTAGATATTCTTAAAGAAGACAATGTAATGATACTTTCCTGAAAAAAGCAAGGCAATTGACACATGTCTTCATACTTTATTTTGTACCAGAAAATAACATGTGCTGGTATAGCAATTTTTTACCAAAATGTTACTTTCCAGCTGTACCTTAACTGATGTTGCATTCTGGGAGTCAACCATCCTTGGATAACAAACATGGCGATTCATGAAAACATTCATTCGATTTGGTAGGGATTTATCCATTATTTGCAGGTATGAAGCTTTGGATTCATTTATTGTGCTACTTTAGTGAACGGGAATTATTTTTCTACCGCTTGGGAGAGTTTGAGACATGAAACTTGGAAATAAGCTCATTGTGACAACTTGTGAACTTTGAGTTTTATTTTTGTCCCCCACTTTACTCTAGCATCAGCAAGGGAAATTTTTCAGAAAATGGGGTCAAAACAGACCTCTGTTATCTTTGTTCAAAAAATGTCTAAAATGCAGCATGTTTTGTCACTTCCTTAATAGGCCATAACTCAAATCCACAAAATGTAGATCTACTATAGTAAAGTTCATTCGGAAATCTCTGAATGCTACTTCTTAAATTTACGGCACAAAGGCCATGTTGATTTCTCGCTAGAAAATGTCTACTCAGAAAAAAAGACAAGTCCTGATAGGAGGCCAGAACATATAAAAACTGTATTCAATTATGTTCCAGGTTACTCTAAAATGGCTCAGGGTAAAATGAAACAGAAAGTTAAACTCCCACAGGGAGCAAAACAAAGAGGAAGCCACGACAAGAAAAAGCTTGGACCAAGGAAAGGAGGTTAGTTTGTTTCACATGCTCGAGTTTCTTCAAACAATCATTAGGTAAATACATCACATACGCACATCACATCACACCTCTGGCGATTTAGGGATGCTATTGTAATTGTATTTTAAACTTTATCAATGAAATAAATAATGATAATAATAACATCACATAAAATTGCCATAAATCCATAAATTAATTAATAACATTAGCGGCAATTGAAGAGATATTAGTTTTAAAACAGACCATTTTCTGAACTTAGGGCCATAGCTTACAGGACTCATCAACAAGTTTCCGTGTTTGGATCTCTGCATTTTGGAGAATCAAAGATAGATTCTAAAATTCCAGTACTGTAGTTAAAGTTGTTTGAGCATCTTCTAAATTCATGTGCAGTACAATCTTTGGACAAGGATTTGCTCTTTGTAGAGGTTAGAATTGTTACTTGAAGACTGGTGTTTCTTACATGATATTTTCAGGAAAAGAAGGTGGCGTTGAGTCTCAGTGATCTCCCCAGCATTAAAGCAAGTGGGCGCAGCACCCACCTGAGATTTTGAAAATAGGCTTGCAATTATGAAAATATTTTGGTCTGAATTGTGAAAATGAGAATTTTGCACCCGCTTGAGAAAAAATCCTGTGGAGATCACTGAGTCTATTGATTGTGAATTATTTTTTAAGGTAATCTTGTATGTTTATTTCCAGGAAAAATCATTAAACCCAAGAAGGCACGTCACATTGAAACACTCAGATCTTGCAAGGTAAGCAAGCCGTCTTATGGCGATAAGATGAGGCACATAAAGGTCACTTGATGAATAAAAGATAAATAAAAAAAGCATTCTATAATTATGACTAATCCGACATTTTATTTAATTGTATGATATTTATTGTAATCTTCCGTAAAATTCTGTGATTGTGCGTTACACTTTGAGATTGTATGTTACACTCTGAAATTGTGTGTTACACTCCATGATTATGTGTTACACTCTAATTGTATGTCATATACTCTGTGATAGTGTTACACGCTGTGTATTTTAAAATGCTGTATTGATTTGTGACATTCTGCAATTGCATGTGATTGTGGCAGTGCTACAATCTGTATTGTTAGTTCCTCAATTGAAATACTTAAATTTGATTGGTTGATTAGCTACTAGGTACTGTTGACCACTACTTTTGAAAAAAAATTTAAACTTTGAAAAATATCTTAAAATTGAAAAAATGTGAAAAGATTTCAAAAAATCTTTTTTTAATTTAAAAAAAATTTGGGAAAAAAACAATTTTACAATGTACTTTATTTGTATTGTATGTTACAGGAGGTGTCAAAGCTGATCAATGCGAAGGTACATAAGGAGATCGTTGGAGCTGCTGCCGGGACTGAAGCCAAGTCATTCTCTATAGTAAACAATTCTACCCCTGGACAATCAAAAACCACCAGTAAATAGCAACTAAGAGACAAATAGTCAAATAATATTTATTTTTCAAATGCTTAGGTCAGTTATGAATGATTGTTTGAACATTGCAACATTGAACCTAAAGATGGTGCTGAGAGTTATTAAAAACTTCAGCTGGTGATTTTGGCTGGTGCCATTTCTAATCATGTATTTCAACTTGAGAGAAGGAGGATAATCAACTGTGAGAGGAAGCAAACAAGATTTTTAGTGAAAACTTTATCCAATATTCAGATATTGTACCTATCATGCTAAGTATTGAAATATGGTGCAATTTGAGGACATTAAAGGAATAGACAGACCATGAGGTGCACATATATTTTCTACAATCGATTGAATCTTTGGATTTACTGAATATGAACATTATCTGCAGACAGTTTTTTTTATTACGTCACCACCAGAAAGTGATCACATATTGTTATTATATTGACATGTTGTTTTTTGTTGAATGTGTTCCACGTTCAGCGTCTGTAACAAATGGCAGGTAGTGAAATTTTGAATGTTTATGCCTTGTTTGAGTTTTATGTCACAAACCAAAAATATTGACATAGTTATATACATCATTTTTGTGACTGATTGTGTCAGAAACTTTCCAAGGTGGTAGCATTTTGTCATGTTTTAAATGTCTTGCATCTGTGTGTGAAGACATAATAAATAACAAAGATGAACATATATCAAAAACGTTTTTTTAATTAATTCCGTTCTTTAATGTCTACAAATATATGTACACTAGCATGTTTATTAAATCCTTCCTTAACTTGGTTAGATCGTTCAGACTTAGTAAAAATGCATTTAGATATTTCAGTACATTGAATTGTGCACTAATACTGTTCATGTTAAACTATAAAACCATATCAGTTGCTTTGAGTTGTACTGAGTTACGAACTTGAAAGTGAGTTGATTTCCATTTTAAAGAAGTAAAGGGGAAAATAACAAATTGAAAATGGAGTCAAAAATGGAGAAGCTGCTATTAATGGAATAAATTTGTAACCACCATTCTGATCATAAAACTTTTGTTACTGGACATTTTGCATTCTATTCTCAAAATTGATATGGTGATCGCTTCCGAATATTGACCCGGGCTGCCGGTTCAAACATATTTTGATCTCCATAGACAACAGAACAGCCATCTTGTTGGTTAACAGAGCTGCATTGCCCATTTTCCAGCAAACCCATTTTGTCAGAAAAATACATGTTTTCACATATTCTATGATCTTTTTAAAAGAGTGAACCTAAAATGCTACCCTCTTAGCGATTGATCACATTGTAAACTATGATATAAGGAAATAAAACAGATTATAAAAAATCACAAGTGTTTAAAATCCATTCTCTAAGATCCTTCATTTTCTCCATCAAAACACCATGAGTCCAATCAAATGGAAGGTTTGCCCGACGCCTTTGCCATTATCCCAAGACGAGTTCGCCATCTGCTTGGTTTTGTGTTGCACAGTCTTCTTTCGTACCACATGGTGGACAGACATCTGATATCCTACAACAGTAAAAACCCAATGCATATGAAGAGGCCCATTGTATTCTCTGATAAGTGGTATTCTATGGTTTGAAGTGATATTCGATGGTTTCGAATATTTTTGATTTTTCAGAATCAGTAAAACGATACATTTTTGCAATATCCTCTAAATTCCTTTTTCGTTTGAATATAATAAAGCTATACTTCAGTGAGATCTGATTCTGAAATTTCGAGAATTCGCTATATATTACACAGGGCCTTTAACGTTTTACAACGTTGGCTACAAATTACCAAAAGCTCAGTTTCAGTGTACCTAAAGCTATGTTCACACCAACGGCACGCTTTAAATCGGCGAGCAAAGCGCCGTCATTTTTGTTTACTTTTCCAAAAATATCACGATCTCCTAAGTAATGTTACGCTCTGATAAGCTCTGATACGCTCTGATTTCCCGACTTGTTACGGTTCCTCACGCTTTGATCCCGCTTCGACCAGGCTTTGTTACGCTTTAAATCACGCTTTGATAAGCATTATTACGCTTTGGTGCGATTATGAAGCTTTAAATCAGGCTCTGATACGATAGCCAAGCTCTGTTGTGCATTGTTACGCTCTGTCGCGCATTGGAAAATGTCGAGATCGCCGAACAGTTTAAAATTTTTTGGCACTCTTGCCGAATATCCCGCTTTCACTCTGAGCTTTTCTACGACCTATTACGACCCCGACGCTTTAATCAAGCTGTGTGTGCCGCTTTACAAGCCGCTTTAAAGCGCCATCGAAGCGCCGTTGGTATGAACGTAGCTTTAGCTTCTGAATCTTTCCTGTTTAACAGGTTTTATATCTAGTTCTATCTATCTCGATCAATGTTTTGAATTAGTTGTGAGCAAATGTTGCACTACACTACATTGCACAACACGTTAGGATTCATTTAAATGGGTGATGTAATGTAATGTGTAATGTTTATAATGTAATGGTATATTTTTATGATGCAATACATTTCTACGACTCCAAACACTCTGGTTTACTTGTTTATATTATTTTTTAAGAATACTCACATTGCACATTCCAGCAGGACTGGATCTACTACCAAATCGGCGTCGCATGTCACTCTGACAGGTACGCCTTCCAAACATTCATGATACTCATTACAATTTATTAAACATTTAGTTCCACTTGGTGCATTGGGACAGTCATCGCACAATGAAGGTAGCGCAGTAGTGGCAGGCATCGCTGTTGAAAGACCGGCAGTTCCACATGGAGGAAGTACCTCAGCTCTCCTACAAAAGCAGGCGGGTTATTTTTCAGTATTTCAAGTTGTATTGCGACTTATTTTCCCAATGAATAATAATCAGGTTGAAAATGTGCAGAGCCCTTCCTCCTCAATCAGTCTATTCAGTTTTGCAGGTAGGGCCAAAAATAAAAAAAAAACGTTGGGACTAATGAAATGTTTGTGTAACATGCATACGGTATGATTAAGGCATAGAAAAGACTAGTCTCGGTTTGGAGAACGAAGTTCATCAGTCTACTGCACGCATCCTCCGATCACAAGGCTTCAAAATCCAGAATACTTCTTTCTTACGTTACACCTGCTTTGGACAATTTTGAATATTGTAGATTTAAATGTCCTCCTTTGAATATCCATATTTTAATTTGGGTTTTAGGCATATTTCTATATTTTTCATAAAAATATTATTAGCGCAGTAGACTGCTTCGGACAATTTTTAATATATTCACATATTGTAAATTTATAATTTAATTTGGGCCATGCCCCCCGACCCCCTAGATTGCTGCATAACTGCATACCGACTTGTATAAATGAACTCACGGCCTGCATGTTCTGGTTGTTAAATCCACCACTGTGCCAGGTTCACACACCAACGTATTACTTTCTCCATTCTCGTCACAGACGCTTAACACCTAAATGGTTAAAGATATATGGTCATTGCATTCACTTACCAGGAAAAAATATCAAAAAGGAAAAACAGAGAAAAAATTAAAATGTCGAATTTTTCATATAATGAATCTCTTATTTCGCTGAGTGTCTGTAAATATGAGTGTTACATTTTAGCCTAAGTACCTGACAATCTGAGTAACACACAGTTCCAGGTGTTGTGTTTGTACAGTTACAGGGGTCGGGGTCCGTTGGGCAAATAACTACATTTTCCCCTGTACCACATGGAGGGCAGACATTATATGGCCAGTCACACACTTCGTTGATGATATTGAACACAAGACCTTTAAAACGTTACACGAGACACTCTTCACACAAAAAACGAGCTACAAATACGGCACGATGGAACATGTGTAACAGGAAAGTGACCATAGAAAAACACTGATTTTGTTCTGATTCTAACGCAATGACATTACAATTCTTAATAATCATTAAAAATATCTAAGTGTTCAAGAGATTGTCTTTCAATATATAAATAAAAACATGCAATTGAAATGGCAATTCCAATGGAAATTTTGGCCGAAAATTGTTAGACAATGCAAAAAGTCCTTTTAAGGTGTCATGCTGTATGTGTCATTTCCACTGACTGTATGTACATCATTCCCTGTGAATTTGAATTACCTACCATCAGGGCAGAATTGTCTGTGTGCAAACTGGCCACTAGAGCACGTGTAGTATGTCATACACCCTGTCTCTATATCGGGGTAGGGACCATCTGCTCTCCCTGTACAATTCTTGTCTGACCCAGTTCCACATGGCGGGGAAGCATCTTCTTGCCTTTAAACAAGTTATGTGGTTAAGAATAACTAGATAGAGGCTTAGTGGCACATTTCAAGTCTGGAAAAATCATTGGGCCCCGAATACCAAAAATTAGGTTCAGATGTTGAAATTCAAAAACCATTTTCTTGATAATGTGGCATAATATTACAAATAAGGCCCACTAATACCCACTTATAAGAGGTCCCTAAACGTTTTTGGGCCAAATTCTTTTCTTGGCAAATCCTAGCGAGGCCCTTGCCCCAGATCGACATGTGTTTTAATTAAGTGATGTAATAGGAAGTTTGGGGGAAAAGTTTGTGTCTGCTATTAATCTAGTATTCGGTTCACAGTGGCGCTGATGTTGGTGATAAATAAATTAATCAAATAAGGGATTTTACTCACGGCACACATCTTGCACTTTCAAAGTCAATAACTTCATATTCACCACAGATCAATACCACTTGTTCACGGTTGAAGCATCTTCGTAGTTCCTTACAGCCGACAGAGCAGACGTAGCCATCTGGCCGGTTGGCACAGTCACATTGCCCATACACCAGATGGACACCTAATTCGTGTTATTTAGAAATGAGTGCTATCAATCATGGGAGATAAGATGTCATCGGCTAGTAATACTGCTTTATAAAAGATCTTATGCTTGTACATCATCAAAAATGTGGTGTCATTGAGTGTGTTACGCGCAAGAATATTTTGATATTTGTGTCGTATGCACGACACCCAACATTCAAAACGTGATATTCTGTTTCTCATATGACTGACAAAGATAGTCATCTATACCCAATGCAAGATATTACCATCTTCCATCCTAAAGTTTAAAAGTCACACGTGCAACATGAGATTTTCAAAGCAACAGATGAAGTTCCATTAATTTGAAGCTATTTTTCACTCCGTCTTTTTTCATACTTTGAAAATATGGCATAATACCGATTCTAATATGATACGTGACGCCACACTGGCTAGAACAATTGATTTATTGGTCTATATTGGAGTATGTATGACCACTAAAATATCGTAACAAAGACCTCGATTTCATGATTTATGTCAAATATATGACCTCAAATCTTATTATGGCCATTGCCAAAGACCTCAATTGCTACGCGATTTCGGTCTTTTAACAATGAACAGAATAAAATTTTCGGTCATATATTACGCCATAAAGCATAAAATCTCGGTTTTTATTCCTTAAGTCAAATGAGAAAAATTCTGAAATGCGTGACAATAATGACTTATAGTTTACACATACCTGTAACTGCAACGAGAATCAGGAACGCACAATTGTTGGACATCTTCAGTTTACAGTGATGCAATTAAAACGGAAATGCGTGTTCGTTTATCAGCCCTAGAGGTGCCCTTGAAGGGGGTGGGATCAGGGATGCGTAATTTCTCTACTTCGATTCAAAACATTTTAAAATTCATAAAAAACTTGAAAACATTTTAAAAGGAAAACGCGCTCTAAAATAAATAAATAAGAAATTATATTTGTTTCTAAATATGTATTCATCTTTTTATCATTATGCGATACAATCAAGACTATAGTTACGTGTCAGGTATGGCCCTTATTGAGCCCCAGTACCTGAGTTATCTTAAAAACAATAGGATCTAACTTTTTCGAGATCAGCAAATTGTTAAGTGTCAGATAGTGTCATAATTCATCATGTAAACAGTGCATACATAATAATGCTATATAATACTGTACTTACTGTTACGTTTGTTCGTTTTGATTAGAAATCATTACACTGACCATCCATAAATAACATTATATAAATCGATTGAACATAATTGTATAATTAAATAATAATAAAAAATAAAAGATTTTACTCATTAATTATTCACTAAAATATTGAACTATTGAAAAATACAATGTGTAAATGTTATCTTATATTAGCTCATTGTAATGCTTAAAGACAGAATCAGATATAGTGAGCAGTCAAACAAAAAATTGTTTCAATTTTAGAATATTTCTGGCTTGTGTCATTCCTTGTCATGTCTATTTTCTAATGATTACAAAAGTACACACTTTATTTCAGGAAAACTCAAGATTTTTACAATAATGTATTATGTTTCTATTACCATTCTTATTATATGGGAGAATTTAAACATTTTTCAACCCCATAGATCTGATTCTGCCTTTAACGTCAGTTGTCACTCAAAATTAAGTCAATTCTAATTCGTTTGCTACATAATAATAATAAATTGCTACATCATAATAATGCTATGTCACACTGCATTCACTGTTTCATTCCATATTTCACTGACATTGACACATTTCCTCACATCAAAAATATAATATAAATTGTTTGAACATAAAAGCATAAAAGTGAAAACTTGGGGAAAATTCCTTAACTATTCACTAAAACATTAAATTTTTGAAATACAGTGAAACCTGTAAATAGAACACCTCCAGAAATAGAACACCTCCAGAAATAGAACACCTCCAGAAGTAGAACACCTCTGTTATTGGAACACTTTTGGAGCACTCCCAAGACCAAGTGACTTCTATGTTAAGTTTATGATTTCCATTAATTTTGCCTGTTGTTTTAATTTATTTAGCCTGTTGTGAGAAATTCTAGTGAAACCCCTGCAAGGTTTTCCACATAGACAAGGTGTTCCACATAGACAAGGTGTTCCACATAGACAAGGTGTTCCACATAGACAAGGTGTTCCACATAGACAAGATGTTCCATATAGACAAGGTGTTCCACATAGACAAGGTGTTCCACATAGACAAGGTGTTCCACATAGACAAGATGTTCCACATAGACAAGATGTTCCACATAGACAAGGTGTTCCACATAGACAAGGTGTTTCACATAGACACGATGTTCCACATAGACAAGATGTTCCACATAGACATGCTGTCCCACATAAAAAAGGTGTTCCACATAGACAGGTTTTACTGTATGCAGTGTGCTATATCCTTTATTAGCTCATGTAATGCTTAAACTAGACCTCGCTTTACCATGAGTACTTTTAGCCATATATTGAACAAATTATTCTGTCCTCTAATCAAATGTAGCTCCACAGGCAAAGGAGGATTGGCGCCCAGATTTCCAACTCAATATTCTGCCATATCTCATGACGTGATTACAATATTTAAAATCAAGTAGCCGCCAGGCTTTGGAGACTACAATAGAGAGTTTAAATTAAGTATTTGATTTACCCATTGAGTTTAGACATGGCGAGTGTTTAAGTTTTGGATTTTGGAGATTACAATGATGCGGAATATCTGAATTGCATTCTGGGAACCAATCCTCCTTGTGTTGAGTTAATGTAAATTGAACCTTTGTAAGTGGAACACCTCCAAGGTGAAACACTATTGAGGTACAAAATGTGTTCCAATATGGACACAGTCTTTACTGTATATCGTACAAAAGAGATAAGCACTAATACAAGATTTCATTTGATATAAAATACATGTCTGGCAAAATATCCTCATAATTTAAAAAGAACATTTCTGGCAAACTTTTAAAAGACTGGTTAAGATTAAAATAAAAAACACCAGAATAGAATACATGGTTACTAGGCACTGAAAACTATATTGAATATCTACAGGTTGACAAAATAAAAGTGTAATAATGAACTGTGACATCACAGTGAGGTTTTACATTAACTAAAATTAAACTGATGCTAGCACAATTCAGTGAATTGTTTACTAATAATAGTAGATGTTACTTTATTGTGTCCATAAATTACTTAAAGTGGATAATAAAAGAAAATTCAATTCTTCCTCTATCCCACAAAAATAATGATAAATTCAAAGTGCCTTAGATTAATTTACAGCATGTGCATTGTTTAAGTGACACAAAGTAGCGTTGGCCTCTTTACCACTATGAATATTTACAAGAAATAGTAACACAAAAGTGTGACGACAAAGTGAATTGTGACATCACAGTGGATGTCACACCCTGCTATTTATACTCACGACTCGGCCATATAATTATCAAATACAAAAGCTTAACATGGATCCAACTCATTCTGTACATTTACATTAGTATACTTAAGACTGAATAATAAGGTTATTGTTTAAAACCCTTTTGTTATACCATCTAAAGTTTGGGAGAGGCAGTTCTGAACATTTAAGATGAGCTAAAATATGTTGGAGGAGTAGTAGTAAACGGTTAATGGAGGGGGGTGAAGTTTGACCTGAAAGTGGGGAATATGAATTATAAAACAGAATGCATCACAATGAATTTAGGAGTATGAAATATTTATAGTATACAAATAGTTGAATGCTTCAGATCTAAAGCATTCACAGGTTGCTATGAGAAATAACCTTATTTGGTCAAAGAAATTTCTTAAAAATCACATAATTTTCCTTTTCACTGAATGAGAGGGCTCCATATTAATCTCTGAAATGATGTGTCGCTTTCAAATAGAGCAAGGGGGAATTCACTTGTTAAAATACACAATATAAATGTGTGAAAAATATGTGAAACAAGAATACATTATATAGTACTATTATATGACACTAAAATACATATAACTATTTTCTATATGACTAAGTTGAACAAAATCATATGTATGAAAACACTTCACTTCAAACCTCCCCGTATATTATATGCTCCACAGACAGTCACTGTAAAAATACACAATTTGGTGATTTATGATGAACTAGGGTTAGCCTTCTGGAACAATGAGTAGTTCACAGACTCATTGCCAACTAGCAATATCATTCACCACTGTTAAAGATAAGCTAGTGTTCCCTCAAGGTCCTTGTGAATGGACTTGCCTCCCAGGGCAGTTCCCACCAGGAACGCCGCCTTGTGGGCATACAGGCATGGTGCTGGCACACGTACAGTCCCCTGCAACAACAACAAATACCACTTACAACAATAACAAATATGAAATATTCATCAGGATCTAAAAGATGTTAAACCAAACTGTATGTACAGTGAATGAGATAACATTCCTTAATATCACACAAATTAGTTAAATGATGATAAGCAATCAATCAGAAAAGCAAACAACTGACTTCCCTATCATTCTCAATTCAAGGATTGGATGTGGGAATTTTTTAGCAAAATGTTCAGATTTAGGAACTAATTCTTCTTCTTACCATATTATACTATCTCATACTGAACCAATAAGAATCTAAGATCTGCATGCTGTTGGTATAATTCATTTTATTTTAATGATAAATTCTCCAGTTTCTTACCTGCCAGTTGTAATAAAGATGACACATTTTGTATGCCAACTTCTCGTGATAATTTGGCTGCCACCTATTGGTATCATATATTACGTTGAAATGAGTGGGGGTAACCGTTCCCTGCCTTACAGATTGCGACACCATAAAGAAGTCAAACCTAGAGAGAAAAGAAACTGCGTTAAAGGTTTCGCCCATTTTGGTAGAATTATATCAAAGAGGCATAGATTGCTACATATAACACATTCATTGTACCATTAAATAATACAATGAGAGAGTTATAGTGTTACATACACATTAATCGCAGCATCATTATATAATTTGAGAGACACTTTATAATAAACATATTCTACATTTCATCTGAATAAAAAAAGCTTAAAAAAAGTAAACAATAAAAAGGTAACTAGCCCTAATGGCCGTGTATGCAGAACATAATGGAAAGTAATGAAAAGCATATTTGAAATCTTAAACTGTCTTTAATACCTGCCCCAACATTCCAAGACAAAACCTCCCAGACAAACACAAAAACACTTACCATTCAGGTCGTGTAATCTGGGAGTCAACAATAGTCCCTGGTGGTGGGTTCATGGTGCCACGTCCATCACGTAAGAAGAATCTTGTTGATATCTTCTTCTTGATGATGACCACTGTCAATCCAGGTCTACAATTTACAAATATTAATGGATTGATACAATTTGATTTAAAAACGGATAAGATGTGATGCGAGTACAAATAGATTTTCATAATTTAATATACAAACTTCAGGGAAAGTAGTATCCAACTTGAAAATTACACACATGATTGCATCTAGAAATGGAGTTTTAAATATTGGTGCGATCAATATTTGCAATTTTATTTGACATTTTGATTTATTATATTCAATTTTACCTGAATATTTGACAACAAGACTAAACTGATCTGGAACTTTGATACTCTCTTAGGATCTCGAAAATTACAAAAAAAAACACATTTCTTCATCTTCTGTAATTCACTTTATTATGCCTTGATGCATTGTGAATCATACACCAACTTCTGATTTTCAAAACTCACTTCTTGTGTCCATTAGCAGTGTAACATTTGTCCAGAGAATGGTTTATGGCCCTGACCTCCTCTTCTAGAACAATATTAATCTGGCCGTCGCCAACCCCGTCACGATACACGTATATGTGTTTTGGAAGTTCACCTCCATTCTGCTCCCTGTAGCGATTGTAACTTACTGAAATACATTGAATTCATAAGTAAAAGAGTAATCATTAACATGAACGGAAAATATTTAAGCTATACATTTGTATGGGCGATTGGTCAAACATATAGGTTGGCATTTCGATTTTACATGCAAGCTTAAAACTCCCTATTTATATCAGCTTCCTTACATGTACTCTATCTTGGAGGCAGACGCATTTTCATAATGTTTCACATGCATATTTTGAGAAACAGTAAAACCTGTCTAATCTGAACATCCTTTGGACACATAGTCCCATACTACTATTACACACGTGGCTATGATACCACCAGGAAAACTCAAGGTATTTTGAAGTCTGGTAGTCACAAAAACAAAAAATTGCTTACTTGCAAATCGCGTCTCAAGATTGCTCTGAATCTCCGCAAATTTAGGCTCCAAGTAGCTCTGAGTGTGATATTTGGTGAATGTGTTGTTCATAGTCGCCACAAATCCACAAACAGAACGGCTAGTTGTCGTGTCATGGTTCACATCTATACCAACAACCATAATGCCAAGCAACTGAAAGTAACATTCAAATTCAATGTGACAAAGATTACAACATGAAATCTAGATTAAACAACATAACAAAACCTTATAAATTAGTTTGTTATGTCGATCACCAAACTCTGAACATCGTGCACAATATACCACCACTTCTGGTGGTGACATAAAAGCCAATGTACTTATGTCCAAAAAGAACTGTATATCCAGTTCAACGGTGAAGTGATCCAGTGAACCTCACTTAGGAATAATATTACACTGTATGTATATGAATAAAAAAATGTTTGTGAATACAGTTAAGTAATTCAGTTTGTAATTTGGAAAATATATCTTACCCTACAACAGTACAAGGGGTGATATGATTATCATATTTACAAAAAATGCAAAGTTTGAACAGATCAATAGGATTTATTACCTGTTCAGGGATAGAGGATGTCATCCAGGGGGCGCCACCAAGCTTGCATGTCATCTGTATTGCTATCTTTGTTGCAATTGACATGACTTTTCTCTCATCCCTCACTGTATTGGCCACTACACACTGACTGTACACTGCAATATATAACATAACATTTTAAAACTGTAAATTTGTTTCATATGGCACTATTTAATTTTAGTTGACATACAATCCCCAGGAATTTTCCGAAAATTGGCAGGGACTAAATTTTGTGGTTTTTATCAATCTACTAAATACGCCACATTAAAATCACTGTCAAATTATTAAACAAATTTAGAATAAACAAGTAAATAATGTAAAATGTATAGGGTTTCCATTAAATCTTTAAAATTACAATACTAAGACAGTGTAGAGTCTAAAGAGACTTTATGGGCATCCTGTACAATGGGTGATAATACTTTAAAGGTGCAACAATTAGTACAGGGGGCCATTCAACAATCATGGACCAGTGTCAAAATATATTCAAGTTTGGATATTTCATCAATACTAACATATATTTTTATCATCTGCAAAGATAATACCTCCTTCTTCCAAGAAGGAATGAACTTAGTGGATGATGTCTGGAACCCTGCATTCGGAGGATGCTTATAAAAAACATCCTTATTTAACACATATTCTTTGAGAGATTCAATTCATGATGAGCCACAAATCTTTATTTTGAGAATTTTTGTTTTTAAAATTCTTCCTTTAAATGCTCATATTCAAAAGTGCAATCCTATAATGCACTTTGAACTACATGCATACATTTGTATAGTTGGGTTTCATAGTGCTAGGTATTCACTATATGTACAGTATGCATTGCTTAAAAACAATTAAAGTAATACATATAAGGAAATGAGTATTGCTTACTTGGAACATCAAGACAGACAGTTTTCTTGATAGCATTGTAGAGAGGTACATTCTTGGTTGGCAGTAGAGGCATGACAATTTGTGTCTCCTTGTGCCGAATGTTGTCCGTTATACTTCTCACCCAATCACCGATCCTGTTCTGGTATATCACCACACTAAAAAATTAAAATGATTTTTTTTATTAAGTGGGATTATCATCCTTAGAACAAAGTGAGTAACTTTCATTTCCTCATACGACTTCATGGTAAGAACCCAACAAATTACCCAATCACCCCCCCCCCAGGCTGCAGGAGGGAGCAAACAATCAATCTAAATGAACACCCTTAATATACACATACACATGTTTTACTGTTTTGACATATACAGGGTAACCAGTCAAATCCAAATGCCATTAGGACAAGCCAAAAGTGGAAATCGAGTTATTAAAGATCAGTTGGTATTCTTGCTTCCATGTAAAAGTGTTCTGATTAGCAGGTGTTTACATTTCAAGATCTTTTAAACCAGTCGATATGTTATGACATGCGCAAAGCTCTATTTAGTGATATTTTCATTTCAAATATGGCGGCCAATCCGATGCCTGACGACCCTTACAAAGAATCTAGGCAGTGTGCATGTTTACCTCCTGTGAAATAACAAGTAGAATTTAGGAGTTGTTTTGTGTTTAATTATCATTCTGCATCGTAATTCTATGTGATGTGGTGTTAAAATGTCAGCAGAAATAAACATTCATACGATAATCGAGTGAATTAGATAACAGATTTTTCGAAAAACCGGTCTCCTGCTAAGAGTGTAAAAACTTGTATTAACATGCTCAAAAGTGCCAATGTGCACATCAATGTCAAGCTAAATCAATGGTGTGTCTAAAACAGGTACCTGATCTACTCAAAACAGCTTGTCATTCACATATACACGCTTAGCAAACACGGCGAAATGATCTGGATCTTGGAGTTTCGTTCGAGAGCTAGTAATGTTTGCTCTGGTCTTCGTCATTAGTGTTTATAAGACTTCACGCATGCTCAGGAGAAAACCATCAACCAATAACGTTGATAAATCAATTTTGCGCATGCGCCTTACAAGGGTAAGAAATTCATATTTATAAACGAACCAATTTGAGATAACCCGATATCAGTCGGAAAAATCTGACGATCTACGAATCTCACTTCAAACAATCAAATGCGGACTGACGGCTTATTCTACTATGCAGGGATCTAAGATTTTCAGTATAGATAAAGTCTTTTATGATCTTTCGAATGATGTAAGTCTCTAGTTCGAAAGACAATCGTATCAACTTGAACAAAAGTTGAGTTTTGACGAAAAATTTTAACATGCGCAGAAGTCCCATTTTCGTTGTACCATATTGACTGAAACGTGAGAGTCAATGTAAATAATTAATTTGTGACTAATAAAAAGTGTTCACATTGACAGGTGTTTGTATTAGGGCAGTGTTCAGATATACAGGTTTCACTGTATATTTTTTATATTTAAAATTTATTTTCATATCATTTTAAAATTTTACAATTACAATGCGATGTTTCTTTTATCAAGTTCTATTTTAAAATTATGTAAAATAGTATTATTTTGGTACAATTCCAAAAAACTGTATATGATATATCAAACTGTAGATGCAGTGTATATCAAATTAAGTAAAACCTGTGTATATGAAACATTTTTTGCATTGAAAAAAGGTAAAGTGTTAGTAGATGTTCACTACAGAGAGGATAATTACATTTATACAGAAGTCAGTAGAGTATATTTGGAGGAATGGTGTACATAAGAGCAAGGTGTTAACTAGAGATGTGCTCATTAAGATAGGTTTTACTGTATGGCTTAAATAAATTGAACCTACGTCTCTGGATCCTCTATGACCATTCCCATAGGTGGTCCCACTTTTTTAAGAGTCCTTAGTAAGTTCTGCGCAATCCTCTCATCTCTCTGTGTGTACACAAACAACCAAGATTTCAGTGAGACTGGTACCAGCATAGGCACGTCCCGCATTTCTCTCGACCAATCAGCATTCGGGCCTACCTTAAACTGAAATGGAAAATATGTTTAACTAAATGGTTGCACTTAAGGTGTTGGTGAAGTAAATTTTTATGAGCTCTAATTTTGGAACGTGAAAACGTGAACTAATTATACGCAATGACTTATACATGATTTCTGTCGCAGTGTTGCGACAGCCAATCAGATTGCGAGTTCTTAATCGGGAAATTGCTAACTGCTTATCGCAGGGGGTAAAAGAAAGAATATATTCTGGATTTGAAGCCCTGTGATAGGAGGATGTCCATTCATTAAATTCTGTCACAGAGTGATACATTGTTTTAACAGTGACATTCAGTTCATACAATTTACTCTACTTACATTATGCTTTTTTCCCATGTAAATTCCCATATAAATTTTTTCAGCAGACTGAAGTCGACCTTGCAGTGAGACCATTTTGTCATCAAACTTGATACCCCACGTATCTAACCTACGCGCTGCATTTTCAGTGCTGAAATCAAAATTCAAAACAGTTAGGGGGGGTAGATCAAGGTAATTTTTTTCATAGTTTGTCTTTTGATCTGAAACTTTCTGGCTTTTCTGAAGTCTGCAGTTAGTTTAACACTATATCCTATAGTTCTGTTTTTCTTAAAAATTGGCATTTTTGTAAACATTCAGACTCAAGACTATAGGTGACCGATTGCCAAATGTAATGTTATAAAACCTTGAAAATAGTAAAATTAATCAATGAACAACTTACAGTCAATTGAGATGAAAAGTAAAATTTTAGTCACTTAGTTACACATCCATTTACAGAGATTGAACTGTTTTCTGTTAATCCCCCATCTCAACTTACTTCCTGAATCTGTTGTTGAATCCTTCTAGTCTTTTAACCCGTTCTGCAGCCGACAAGCGAGTGTGGACGGCTATGTCTTGCATCACCCGATAATCTGATCTTACAGCCTCCGTCAAACCTGTCATGAGACAGAGTTCAGGAACAAGCAGAACCTGGTTGATTCCGCGACGTCTCTCTGCGTCCTTTGGTTTTACCAAGATCAACGGCTGATCATCATCGAGAAGCTGAATGTTGTATTGCTGTAAATCATAGCAATAATCCATTGAAGATTTAAGATAAAAGAAGACTTAAACAAGCCATTAACAGGCACAATGTCACCACCTACCATTTGTAACAGATCCCTACCGCCAAACATTGAAAAACTAAACGCCAAACACTGAACAATGATCACCAACCACCTAACATCATGCACAAAAAAAGTTGGAGACTATAACACAAGAGCACTGCAGTAATTATAGTACCAAAATTTTACTAAAAATGATCTTAAATAAAGATCAAGATAAAATCAAAAATAACAGAACCAAATTTTAGTTTTTAAATAGTTCAAGGGGATTTTGCGTTCAATCAATATTTCGGGGATTTTGCACAAACACAGTATACCCATAATTTACAGAAAGTAATGCACGAGTAATCCTCCATAAAAAAACAAATATTTGTATATTTCTCCAAGTTAAAAATTCTGACTGCAAAACTGCATAATTTGAGATGTTCAATTCATACAATGTACCTTCATGTAGTACTCTTTGAATGTTGTGTCCTGCCCTCTCCACGTGAACTTGGACAGAGGTGAGCTGTCCATGTCGATGTCAATGATTTGTCTCTGCTTATTGTTGTACCTGAAAATATAAAATACATGTATGGCTGTATAAGAGTATCTTTTATAGCCCAAGATGCCTAAACTGAAACATATTCCCAAGATGTGCAGCAAAAAATTGAAATTTTTAAATAACATTTAGATCCTAACACACTAATACTTACTTTGTAAGAATGGATGATCCAACAAGTTCCCTGGCGAATGCCTCATATGCTCGATCTCTATCGAGACATCTACCAGTTCTATGGTCCACAGCTAGCTCATGCATTCTTCCCAGAACAGTACAGGTTCGCACGATCTTGTGCAAAATGTCAGCTGACATCATGAGCACGTTACCTTGGTATGACATGATGGCTGTTTCTATACCTGGCCAAACTTCAAACCTAATGAGTGAATGAAAATTAGTGTCATAGTGTTAAACTATTATTGTACAGGGTGTTCCATATGTTTCAGGAATGATGCTGTGTTTTATTGGTTTTCTTTTTAATCTAACTGAATTTTTGACACAATGTGTTTAAACATGTTTACATTAAGGCAGATCAGAATGAAGAGAAATTTTTGCAATTTTTCTCTCGTTATTTATACATTCTAAAGAAAAATTAACACTCAATTAATAATCTGGGTACACTAAAGCACCTTTTATGAAAAACATGAAAGATTTAGGCTGTGTTTGGAATGAGTTATGTTCATCTGAAAAAAGTACATGGTCATCAAAATGGTGGAAAGTGCAGTCTGACCTTAAATGATACAACTAACATAAGACAATAACGTACTTAACCTCAGTGGTACCCGTATTTTGGAAAATGTAAAACTGAATTGACAACTGTAAAATTTGCATTTTCTGCATTTTCCATACTTTTTTCAGAAGAAGGGAAGAATGATAGACAATCTTTCAGGCCGATTTAGCGATTTGGTTATTTTACTTCAATGCTTTTAGTTGACGATGGATAATTACTTGTATCATGGCCATTAGCCTACTGCTCAAAAAATTTGTCAGGCAATTGTACAGCAAGCTTAAGCAGAACACTTTTCAATCCAGGGTATTCCATACACAAATTTTATAGTGGGACACTTTCTATTGTCTACTTACCCATGACGCTCTATCCTGACTTTCTGCTCTGGATCGAAGAAGTCTCGTTTAATTAACTGCATTCCCAGGTCATGCTTCATTACACTGAAATAACAAACAATTAAACATTTCTACAAAGAATATTAACATTAGTACATGTAGTATATAGACCATATAGTGCAGAGTGTCTATAAAGTCTCTTTACATACAATACAGTCTGAAATTCTTGCAACTTCTACAAACTCTTGACAAATAATTCATAAAATCATTCCATAAAAAGAATTTTGCTGCAAATATTTACATCCATACAGAAAGAAGACTATAACTTGGGTTTTTACAAATGAACGGCTTCTGGTAGTTTCCATTAATTTGATCTGATTATCTTATTCTAAGAAAGAACAATAACCAATTACTTAATCAAAATACAACCAGATAATATCTAACGAGTGTTTGATCAAAACGCCCTCTGACAATAACTCTTTCTAAGAAACTTACTTTCTCAAGACAATGTTAAGGAGATGTAGAAAATCTGGTGATCCAGGTTGGACTTCGTGGATGTCCCGGATTGTAATCCGTATGCGAGTCCCATCACGTTGCTCCCTGTAAAGCTCAAGAGGCTGAAAGCAAGTTTAATATTTTTAGCATGTATTATTAAAGGATTGAAGCTGTGGACTGATTCATTCCACCAGGGGTTGTTTCCAGATCTTTGCATGTCTGCACAACTGAAATGCATTATTCTAGAAAACAATGCATGAGATGTATAGTAGTATGATACAATGCAACTATTTGAAATAATGTGTTCTGATTGGCTGGAATTGGACACACTTTGCCTAGCTATGTGGAGTAATTGTATGAGTTTCTGAACACAGTATTGCCATCTACTAAAATCTCAGCGATCATTTTATAAAATTATGTTTTATATAACTAAGGTCAAATAACCTTGATACAGTGCAATGTGCTTGGGACAAAACATATTACACACATATCAGAATTATAACATAAATGACTGCATCATCAATTGGCATTATAGGACTGAACTTCAGAAACTTCTAAGACATTAACACTAAATAACATGACAAAATGTCATGTGACCAGTTTGTAAGTTATTGCAAATTGTTACAGAAGCCGAATTCAGAATGCCAAATGCCATCACAAAGTGGCGACATGCAAAACCTAAGACCAGTTAGTTCCAAAATCTTGTACTTACCAAATCAATAAGCCTCCTCGGCAGGTAGAGACCGCAGCCATCGAACTCTACGACATCCCCGAGCTGTTCAGCGAATGCAAATCTATTCAGGATTTGCTTCCTCCGCTTTAGAGAATCAACCTGGGGATCCATGTCCACATGGTACTTGTAAACCACATGGTTTGGCACTTGTAGAAATTTATAATAATTTGTTGATAATACAACAGCTTCACCCAATGTTCCTGCGGAAAAAAATGTGATTGTTTAGATTGAATCATCATGCAATAGTCAAAATATAAACCAAATTGAAAAAAATTCAGATCATTCTATGGTGATATAGGATGGGGGAAAGTGATATATTATGAGAAAAAATGATTGATCATTTTGATATATTTTGGAGGACTCCATGTAACCAATATGGTCCATATACAGTACATAAATGGATCACTGCAGACTTTCATTGCACCTCAACATGTTTAATTTAATTGTCTGCATTATCAAATCTGCATTTAATTGCTCATTACCTTGAGCTCCCTCTTTGATATGATCGGGTCTTATGATTTGTGGCTGGTATCTCATCAATGCTTGTGCATTGCCTTGTTCTGCTGCATCATTGTTTACATTCAATGCAGCCTCGTCACCACCCATGGCACCACCCCCTTGCTCCTGTTGTTGTTGTTGTCCTGGTAACGGGGCTTGATTGATCACCAGCTATAAGGAAAAATCAAAATTTAGTAATTCTTCAGTCACATTTGATCTATAGCAACCTTACGGCAGCCATAACTTCAAGATCAAGAAAAATATGCAGCATTAAATATAGGGATTTAAGAAATACGATAATAGATTTTCTATATCGATTTTGTGAAGCTAAGGTCGCTGTACACCCACGGTAGAGCAAATGTGACTTAGGCTTAAGATTCGTTTAATTTTCAGAGTCCCACTGAAATTGGCAAATGTGTTAGAAGGGGTTTCATGAAAAATTTGGAAAAAATGAAAACAACAGACACAATTATTGGAAGCTTACCCTTAGTTTCAGAGTCTGTAGTATATAAGGCTCTGATTAAGAAAAAAAAATGTTTATGAAGATGAAGCTCAATTGAAAGTCAATTGTACATGTTGCCTGTAATTTTGTCACCCCCATAGATCTGATTCTGCCTTTAACATTAATTTAGCCTCTTCAATAAGGGGAACACGTAAATAATGAAGATACAAATGGAGTGATTGATTACCAAAACATGGCAATAACAAAGATACATAGTCTTGCTTCAAGGATATGACCTCTATCTAAACAACACTCTTGGTAAAGTAGTCCAGGTTCTTGAACCAAGACTACAAAATACAATTCAGCACCTCCCAAGTGGAATGCTACTTTGAGCAACCAAAGGTGTTCCACTTACACAGGTTTTAATGTACATTGGATGTGGGTAACTAGCATCTAAATTACTGGTAGCTAATGGTTACCAAAGCTTCTGAAATATATCATTCTTTTTATCATAGGCCTTGGAAAAGCAGTAGTACTAGTAAGCCAAGGTTTATTTATAGATATTCAGCTTACTACTGCATAACATATACCCTGGCCTGGTTTATCAGTTAAATAGGTGACCTATAAATAACAGCCATAAAACACATGAAGAAGAGCATATACAAATGTTATTTATGGTCAATTATCATCCAAAACTAAATAAATATATGCAAGAGATCTGCACCAATAGGTGTATCCATTTGAGAAGATTAACACAGAGCAATGTGCCCATTTTATTTTTAAATATTCGCAATTTGTTAATGTCTTTTCTAAAAAGCAAAAAAGATTCCTTACATTTTTTACTTGAGTTTCCAAGCCTGCTCCAGAGCTAGCTAAGGGTAAATCAGAGTGGAGACCCACCCCTGGTGGACTTTCTTTTCTAGCTCCTCGTCCCCGGCCCCGAGCTGATCCATTAGGTTGTGTAGCTCCATTGGGGTGAACATGAGGGTAACCATCTCCAATAGGGTGAGGTGCATTGTTCCTAGCACCATTCTGACCTCCTGGGATCTTTGGTATCGCCCCCCTCCCCCAGGCATTAGCTGTAGGGGGTGGTCCAGATAAAGTGGGAAAATCCTCCTTCGCAACTGGCTCCCCAGGGTGTCTCATTGGAGCATTAGGATGAGTAGCTCCATCAGGATGAGGCCTATTAGGGTGACCATCTCCATTAGGGGGAGATGAATTATTCCTAGCACCATTCTGACCTCCTGGGATTTTTGGTATTGCCCCCCTCCCCCAGGCATTGGCTGCAGGGGGTGGTGCAGATAAAGTGGGAAAATCCTCCTCTACAACTGGCTCCCCAGGGCGTCTCACTGGAGCGTCTAGATCAACATCTGCCCTTGCCCTACCTCTTGATCTACCACGTCCCTTCTTTCCCATATCTGTGCTTTAATCAGGATGTGATCTTTAAGCTCTGTTATCTTTAAGCTTGGTTGTTATCTTTAAGCTCAGATGTTATCTTTAAGCTCTGCCGTTATCTTTAAGCTCTGTTATTATTCTTCAGTTCAAATAAACTCAGCAATTACGACCTATAACATACAAATACAGAAAAATATAAGTTATTTGCCAATTTTAACGCTACTATTGACATTTTTTTAATGAACTACTTAAGGTGCTACCCCACCCCAAAATGAGAAATAGACCATCAGACCCATAGCTAGGATAAAAAAAAGTTGAGGCAAACTCAAATAGGTAAAACCTCAAGCCGAAAATATCATACTTTCATAGAACAAGACTATCAGTTTGAAAAATATGAAACTGTTTTTCTTGTTGTAAACTTTGATACTAACAGTTATTGTCTACATCATCATTATAGCCATGCAGTTATGACCATCAATATCCTCTAGTAAACTTTTTATTCAACTTTGTATTGTATTCACATTAAAGCTGGATCTGTAATGTATTTACTGTAATGGAACATTAAATGTATCTTATCAGGAGATATGACACTCAGAGAAACTGGCATATGTTGGTTGGCTTTGTTGCAATCATAAAGTCAAGTTTTCTTCATTACATACATCTCACAGGAACCTGTATCAACTGCTGACATCGACTGGTGACCAAACCTAGGGAATATTCACATCCTGAAGTTACTATAAGTGTATAATATATAGAGTAACTTAGGATGTAAATATTCTTCCAGGTTCGGTCACCAATCGATGTCAGCTGTTGATACAGGTTCCTGTGATACATCTATCATGCTTATTTTGATATTTATCCTCATGACAAAATCAACTACACCTCTGGAAATCCTCAATAAATCAAACTTGATTTGTCTGTTCAGAAACTGATTATGTTAGTCAATATTTTTGTTTTATGATGCCTAATTAAAGACATCCATCTTGTTTAGTAGGGTCCTTTCCTTATTAATGAAAGTAAACTTATCATGAATTCTCTCCTGTATTAATGGAGATTTTGTTAGCCAAAAACTAAGATTCAGCTGAAGCTGCTAACCGTTTGTTTTTTACCTCTTTATACAATTCAGTCATAAACTTACTGACTCTGTTTTGTTGTACTCACTGTAAATCCTAAAAACTATCTAGATCCTTAATCAAAAACCTTAACTTTAAACCATAAGTAGTACAAAGATGTATTTGGTGAAACCCTTTGCTGTGATCAAAGTCCAACTGTGATATATACGGATATGCATAATATCAAGATATCATCAAATTATTATATAAAATTCCCAGTTGATAAGAAAACTTCTAATGTAAGAAATCCTTACCTGACTTACTTGAACAAATCACTCTGTAACTTGTTAGAACATCCAATATTTGGAGATGAGCATAGCATAATATAAACATTCCATTTGATTCTATTTATAGTTCTTGTTTTTTTTAGTATCAAATATCTTCAGCACAGATATGTGGAGGCTTTGGAGGTTAACTTACTTATATTATTAGCAACTCAGCATTCATTAAGCCAGATATAGTATACAGTGATCTCCCCAGCATTAAAGCAAGTGGGTGCAGCACCCACCTGAGATTTTGAAAATAGGCTTGCACTCACCTGAAAATCCATTTGCACCCACTTGAAAATGAGAAAAATCATTAAAGATTGGCATATTTTGACCAATTTTGGTCTGAATTTCGAAAATGAGAATTTTGCACCCACCTGAGAAAAAATCCTGGGGAGATCACTGGTATATGTATGTAGCCAATATCCCTCTAAAAATCACAGTCTAAAGGGCCCTACAGGCTTGCTTTTATCGATGATCGAAACTCTTAAAATGAGGGAGATACACTAAAACTCATCAATAAAGGATGTTGGTTTAAGATAGTATTTATGAGTTAAGATAGTATTTATGAGTTAAGATAGTATTTATGACACTGCTGATCTGATCTCATACTGCTTTCCATCCTACTTTTAGAATTTTTTACACAACTCTACATTGGAATCTCATAGTAGGTTATTTTCAGGAACACATAACTCATTCCATGTATGGCCTACATACAGTTGTTGATTACTACTATTACTACTGTAACTCTCAGCTATTCGCACAAGAGTACAATAGAGAATAATTTCTTTAAATTGTTTAAAAAAATGAGAAAATTCAGTGATCTTCTTATCTTGTACAAGTTTTTTAATATGTCAAAATATTGTCACTGAACTCTCTCTTTTTTCTATAAACATATTGTTCTCTTCATTCTGTTTCTTGGTTCCTTATTGCACTCTTTTTACAAAACTGAAAATGTGACCATATATGGAATTGTGTTGAGTGCCTGAAAATAACATGTGGTACCAATGGAGACTGCATAAAAATTTCAAAAGAACAAACTTGAGTTATCTTACAGCGAATGCACCCTCTATACTATACTATACCATACCATACCATACCATACCATACCATACCATACCATACCATACCATACTATACTTTATAATGCACCTCATTAAAATACTCAAATCTGATTGGTTAAGAGCTGCAGTGTCTATTGCCATACGTGGCAGCAAGATCTCGTTCTATCCAGTATTGAAGCAACGAGATCTCCAACCATCCCGTATGCCAGAATACCTATCCTCGAAAAAAATACTTTCGACGAGTCTATTTGTCGATGACGTCATTTTCTTAGAATCTCCTCCATGTTGAATTTGAGACGAATGCGAGGGAGAAATGATTTGCGTGATATGAGAGAATGAGATTTCTATTCAATTTCCTGTGATTAAGGTTCAGCTGGAAAGTGACATTTTGGCAAAAAATTGCTATACCTGCACATGTTATTTTCTGGTACAGAATTAAGTATGAAGTCATGTGTGTATTTCCTTGCTTTTTTCAGGAAAGTATCATTACACTGTTTACTTTTATAATATCTGGAAACAGGTCAATGGTAGCTCCTGTGTTGTCTGGAAATTTTGAAAGAAAATTTGGAAAAATAGAAAGTGTGAAATATCAGAATTTCCTGGAGTTTCCATTGAACCCCTACCAGATATTCTAAAAGAAGACAATGTAATGATACTTTCCTGAAAAAAGCAAGGAAATTGACACATGCCTTCATACTTTATTTTGTACCAGAAAATAACATGTGCAGGTATAGCAATTTTTACCAAAATGTTACTTTCCAGCTGTACCTTAACTGACAAAAGGTAGGTGGCGCTAGATAAGGCATCGGCCAAACGTATTATATATGGAGGGAATACTTAAGAATTATAAGGCCAAATGAGAGAATAAATGGAATTTTTGATTGTCACCAGGGTTTTTTAGAGATAGGCTCGGCTTCTGTTTAAGTAGACCCATTCTTTAAAATAAAGTATTTCTCAAGGGAGGTGCATAATAAAATAAATACTGGATGACCATGAGGTGGATATGCCAGAATACCTATCCTCGAAAAGAAATACTAGGCTCGGCTTCGCCTCGCCCAGTATTTTTTCCTCGGATAGGTATTCTGGCATATCCACCTCATGGTCATCCAGTATTTGTTTAATACCATACCATACCATACCACACCATACCATACCACACCACACCACACCATACCATACTATACCATACCATACTATGTCATTTCTCCCAATAGTGTCTACTAATATTCTCAATATATGTCCTCGAACTTAGCAAATCAACTTACAAAAGCACTTACCACTATTGTCTAATGTCTGGGTCACACTTGCACAGATTCAACAGCTTTCACCCAGTCGATTGAGTATTTAGTTCAAATTGTATTCAGTTTCGAATATATTCACTTGGCTGTGCGCTGGCCTATTAACTGGTGCAAATGTGACCCAGGCATTACTAATCTTTTGTCTGCTTCATTGCAACTGAACTGGCAAATTGACATGTTGACAGAACGGCTTTGTGAATTCATGTACTACTTTGCGTTATATTATATGAGATTCTTTACTTACATTTGTACAATATTTATAGTAAATTTACTTACAACAAATATGACAAATATGTTCAAATTTACAATGGTTATAAACAGATATAAACAGTTATAGGTGTGGGTTGTCCTTTGCTAAGGATCAAAGTGAACCATTTTAAATCCAGGATATTACATAATATTTAAGGAGATCAAACGGCTTTATGAGAACAAATCCTTTGTTTACTACCCTTTCCATGCGTTTGACTTCACTTATTAAAAGAGAGCTTCGCTCTCACTCTTTCAAACTAAAATAAACCTGTGAACTCAACACACCAATCAGTGTTCGTTGGTCAAATTTGACCGACATTCTATATATGGTCATTCCTTCTGACGTCATTGTTGAGCCTGGAATTGACCAATGACATGTGCATATTTAATAGAACGCATTTGGCGTATGTGTCTTCAAGCTCGCTGATTGGTGGAAGAAAGGTCAGCGCGTAGGTCAAAAGTGATTTATTACCCAAACTGTCACCGGTACCCGTGGTACCATCGAATAATTTTGGCAACGTACCGGAGAACGACATTTTACTAAGAAATGGCAATAATTTAGCACAATATATTTTTTAACTAGAGTTCTACTTTGATTTTGACAAAGGTAAGTATTCCATGCAATGGCTATTTCATTCATGAGTTTGTAGGAATTCTGTTGGAACCCAGTTCTGATCAAGTACGAAGTTATTGAAATCGGCGCAGACGGACTTTACTCCGAAAGATGGTTTTTCGATTATAACTTTTTACAACATTTAAGTATAGACTTTTGAATATATATTAATGAATACGCATTCGAACAATCCCGTATGTTTTTAAATAAGTAAATGTGCTTTAAATCATATATTTTAATTTTTTGATTAAATAATTCAACTGATCTGCTCCGGTTACGTTCCCAGCTCCGGTTACGTTCCTAAGTAATATTTTTAAAACTTTTTTTTTAATTAAACAAATCAGAGTCGTGTGAATCAGAAATAACAGAATTATTCAAAAGTATAAGGACTATTCTGTACTTTTTTCAAAAGTCTATACTTAAATGTTGTGAAAAGTTATAATCGAAAAACCATCTTTTGGAGTAAAGTCCGTCTGCGCCGATTTCAATAACTTAGTACTTGAACAGAACTGGGTTCCAACAGAATTCCTACAAACTCATGAATGAAATAGTTATTGCATGGAATACTTACTTTTGTCAAAATCAAAATAGAACTCTAGTTAAAAAATATATTGTGCTAAATTATTGCCATTTCTTAGTAAAATGTCGTTCTCCGGTACGTTGCCAAAATTATTCGATGGTACCCCGTGGGTACCTGTCATGGGGGTGGGGCTACTAAACTGTAATATGGTCTCTACTAGGCAGAGTGTAGTTTAACTAGACTCTGCAAGCAGAGTATTTGTTTACTGCTGCAGCTGTTTACTGTTCACATGTTCAAGCAATATATTTTCTAGTAATAAAATCCTTTCGAAAAAATAACATGAATAAAATGGATAAAATAATTAAAATATCTATTAGACCTCATGAACAAATATTTTGTGTTAATTAAAAGTAATTCTTCTTCAAAAATTCTAAACAATTTGAATTTCAGAAATATGATTACCAGTCTAATTTCACTAAATCAACCACCAATGCTCCCGATGTAATGCATTTATTTCACAATTTAATCACATGAAATTAAATTAAATATAAACAAAACAACTCAATAAAGTGTGTATTAAAGGTTTTCTCTCTTGTTATCTCAAAATCTGCTTGGAACTATACCATTGAATTTCTTTGGGAAAATCCTCTAAGAGATTTATTCTAGGGATTAAGGAATGTGTTCAGTTTTCACACTTTGAGAAATTACTAGCATACCTGGAACCAATTGAAAAGTTGAAAACAACATTTATCATGTTTATATGATTCAAAATCATTAATCGTTGATTCTAGCCCTCTGAAGTTTGAAAACTAAAAATACCTCAAGTTTAATCTATAGATAATTGAGACAATTGCTTTTTAGATTAAATGGTGCAATCTCATGGGCTGTCAACAAAAAATTTATCCAGCCTGATGGAGCATGCTCAGGCCCGTAGCCAACAGGGGTTCACAGGGTTCGGCGAATCCCCCCCCCCCTCAAAAAATTCTTTCAAAATCATGCAGTCTTTCACCATTTTGAGCTTTTCTCAAGTGATTTTAGCCATATTTGGTCCAAAAGTGTCAAATGTGAACCCCCCCCCTGGAAATTTTTGAAAACTGAATCCCCCGCTTGGCAAATCCTGGCTACGGGTCTGATGCTATCATAAAAACACTAAGAAAACTTAACAAATTAGTTTTTAACTCATGTTTCGTTATTCGAAAGGAAATTAAATTAAATTAACTACTCCATGCAATGAGTCTAATTTGTTTTAATTTTGTTTTGTACAAGACCTAACTTTTGAATATTTCAGATAGTTATGTATAATGATCATAAAAGCTGTGGCCTTTTGTAATTTAGGGAGTGTCAGCCATGTTAATATTTTCAAAAAGAAACATGGCAGAGAAGCATCATAATATAAAAGGCCACACATATATGATAGCCGAACCACAAATCAAAAATAATGTAGGTCGGAGGTATGCCATCAATTAGCCCTTCACAAGCTCGGGCTATATAACAACAAATCGAAGGCATATATTCAATGACAGGGACATAATCGTATTACATATACAGATTAGCACAAGAAGTCCGCAAAGAATCTTATTACCATATGTGGTATCCCTCATTAAAAAATTGACATAAACAAATTAGGCTACCACACGTAGCCTCAACATTCATGGGCATTAGGTTGCCTACTAACAAGGAACAGATTTTGGGGAAGGGCCCGATAGTCGGGAATATTTGACCAGATTTATTGCCCCCGGGGTGGGGCAATTAACATACTGTGAGTCTCACACTGCACTGTTTTTCAAAATAAAAATGCCTTTCTGTCAGTACATTGCTTCATTGTACTTTAAAGTCCTTCGTTTAAAGAGAGAATCAGATATAGCGAGCAGGCTCAACAAAACATTGTTTCAATTTTAGAATATTTTTGGCCTTCCTTGTCATGTCTATTTTCTAAAAATCACAAAAGAAAACTAAAGATTTTTACAGTAATGTATCATTTTTCCATTCTCATTATTTGGGAGAATTTAAACATTTTTCACCCATTTTTGCACTTTGAATTATTAATAACTTCACCAATTTATAACATATTGTGAATCTTTTGGGAGATATAATTAAACAAGTTGCTGGTAATTTTGTCACCCCCTATAGATCTGATTCTGCCTTTAAGCGGTTATTTGACCCCAGGATAGCCTAAGCAGGCCAAAATTTTTTGTCAAATTGCCATGCCAGTGGGGGGATCTCAGACAAAGTTTTGAATGGTGCATAAAACTTTCGAAAATCCACTTGAGGTAATTTGATTTACATAGGAAAAGAAATACCCTACGCGCAAAGTCCACAGGAAGTTGTATCCAGACCTTTTTGGGCTTTTATGGGCTTTTGCCCCCCCCCCCCACCTATCAGAAGAGATGTGGGAATTAATCTGTTCTGAGATTGGGGAAGGGCAAAAGGCTTCGTTAGGGCCAAAAAAGGACTTAATAATATACATCTTCCTGTGGCAATAGACTATATTACAGCGGAGTAGCAAATCCCAACGAACAAAATATCAATTACTGAATTCCAATCAATTATACTCATTATTTTGGTTAAAATTGAAAAAATTAGATTTTAGAATTGCGAATTCCTGCAAAGCAGCCATTTTGAATTTTCTGAGGTACAAATCTGAAAAATAATACCATAATTGTGATCTACTCCAAAATTCCTTCAATATGAGTATAATATAGACATACTTTGAACATTAGACGGCCATTTTGAATTTTACGAGGCTCGAATCAGAAAAAAGATATAATATTTGCAATCTACTCTTAATTGCCTTTCATTTGAGTATAATAAAGCTATACTTCAGAAAGATCTAAAAATTAGCAAAAATCTCTGTTTTCCTGACCCCCCATACGTAAAGTAGAAAAAAAAAAGAAAAAAAATACAGGGCCCCTGGGGGTCAGGATGAAAAACACGAAATACATGTGAAATAGATAAATGTTGTGAATATACTACCAAAATTTCAAACAATAATATTAATTACTTTGGTTTAGAATGAAAAATTTATGATTTTTGCGAAAAAGTCCCATCATTTTTAAAGCGGCGGTCATCTTGAAAAATTTTTTTTTGCGTAAAACTATTCACCAATAAACATCTTTTCGCTGAATATGAAGAAAATCCGTCTACTAGTATTTGAGTTATCTTCCGGACGGACAGACGGACGGACTGACGGAGGGCTTCACTATATCCCTACCGAACTTCGTTCATTGGGATAATGACCATATAGAAAGACAGAAAATCATCCTTATTTTGAGGACAAACTTACCCTTTGCATTCGTTTGACTTCACTTCTTAAAAGAGAGCTTCGTCTTCACTCTTTCAAACTAAAATAAACCTGTGAACTCACCGCGCCAATCAGTGTTCGTCGGCCAAATTTGACCGACGTTCTATATATGGTTATTCCTTCTGACGTCATCGTTGAGCCCGAAATTGACCAATGACATGCGCATATTTAATTAGAACGCATTTGGCGTATGTTTCTTCAAGCTCGCCGATTGGTGGAAGAAAGGTCAGCGCGTAAGTCAAAAGTGATTTATTACCCAAACTGTCACCGGTACCCGTCGTGGGGGCGGGGCCACTAAACTGTAATATGGTCTCTACTAGGCAGAGTGTAGTTTAACTAGACTCTGCACGCAGGGTAGGACAAACTCTGATTAGCGCGGTGAATTCAGAGATCTATTGGAAACTGAAAGAGTGAAAACGAAGCTATCTTTTGAGAAGCAAAGCCGAACGAGTGCAAAGGGTACAAAAGAAACTGGAACTGTGAAATTGAAAACCAAAACTTGAAAAGTTGAAACTTGAAAATGAAAAGCAAGTTTTAAAAATTGAAGTTGAACTAATCTAATTAGGCTACTCAAGTTGAGCTCTGTGAGCTATTTAATTGATTTCAAATGAAACCATATTACCTTACAACAATTAAAACACTGTAAGAGTTCGCAATTAAACTCCTTACCTTCACTTTTGTACAATCTTGCGGCTGTTGTGCAACAAACTCACTTCTCGGATTAGCTGTCACGACGGGCTTTGAAAGCGATGTTTTGATTGGCTTATTATTTCGTATCTCTATTGCTATCGCGCTTATCTCTCGCTTCATTTTATTGGTTTATATGGAGCGGCTTACCAGGGCGGCAATTTCAAATTTCATCATCGGTGTTCGCGAAGGTTGATAGACCCCGCGGATACACATTTGTCAAAAATGGCCCCTTCAATGGGGTTACTCGAGTCTCTAGCCAATTTCTTAGAAGAAGGTAACCCTGGCCAGTGGCGTAGGAAACAATGTACGCCAAAACGTCAGTGCGTAGCCTAGTGTTGAAAAGTGAGAATAAAAAAGGCTCATTAATTTTCTTTTGTTCTTTAGCCATATTTTCTCAATGTGCATAAATTGCAAAAGTAATCTCGAGCACACCAACCTAAAGAAATGTTTTTTGATACCATATGATCATATGCTCGATTTTTCAATAGTACTCTTTTGCAAGGTTGTTGTGCCTCTGTTATTTTCTAACCTTGGCCGCAGATAAATGACACTTTTTGAAAAATTAAATTCATGAAATATTGAATTAGTTTTAAAATATTGAAAGTTATGCACCTTGTTTCGAATACTGTAGAAAATACATATAGTAATCATTATTGCTCTTTTTGGTAAAAAATGATTGAACAGATTTTAAAGAAATCGATCCACTATTGACTATCTTATGCATTTAAAGCTACTGAATATCGCCAAACATTTGTGAATCGCGTTCTCTTTACGAATTTGAGATAAAAACAGTTTTTTTCTACTACTCGATGAATACCTTTGCAGTTTTTGTGCATGTTCCGTAATGCAGCATTTATCTATTTTCTCACTAAATGACTAACAGTGACTAATTGTTTTTGGTAGTACTTCTTGAAAAGACAAAAACAACTTGAAATTGTTGATTATTCAATTACGCGTTCTATTGATTTCAATGAGTTTTGGCGATACCTGCTATCTTTGAAAGTACTTAAAGTACAATTTCAGGAAAAGCTATAATTTGGATTTTTATAATAGATTTTTATTTTGGGAAATATAGGATTTTTGGCACCCCCTAAGTCACGTTGACCTTTGTAGAGGGGGGGGGGGGTATTTGGTCTTGTGAATTCGTGTTATGAAAAGTTTGCAGACATTATATTAGCGTAAATTGTGATCATTGATCACGAATACGTTTCTCTAAATCGATTGATCATACTAGTTTCTTTAATCTGTATTGTCGTACTGCACGATACACAATGGAATCAGACAATAATATGAATCTAAATTCAATTATTCAGAAAATCTCTCATTGTTATCTGGAAAGTCGGCTTTATCTTTCGAGAAAAATAACATTAATATTAGAAAAGTGAGAATGAGTTGTGTCGAGATTTAAAAGATCGGCTTTCCATGGTGATTTTATATGATAAAAAAGATTCGAACATTTTAAGTACATTAGAAAGGTATTGCCATAAAATGACATTTTACAAGCATAAAATAGGCGTTTTGATATAGAAGATTTGACAATTGTTTTATTTTTTGGCGTAGTGTTGAATTTACACCTTCTTCCTACGCCCCTGCTGGCGTGGGGGACCAATGCCATTGGCAAATGGCAAAAAATGGCCTTCAGACAGTCAGAAAAAAATGTTCATGATAAAAAAAAGTTGGCCCTATGTCAATCTTCTGAAGAAGGATCAGCAAACAGAATTCAGCTTTTCGAAACATAGGCCCCTGTCAACACATCATCCAATAATGAAGGACCCTAAACTACAAAGTAGGGCCGGGAGAGCGGGGTAAGAAGGGCCCCACGGTAACCCTTCTTGCCCCATGACCACACAAAACCAATTATTTAGTAAGATGTAAGCTTACATTTGTCATTCAGAAATATATTTCAAAGTTAAAATCATTGTATATCAGAGAACCAATGTACCTTGTTTCAATAAACATGGGCTTAGCAGACTATTAACCCTAGCGATAAAAAACTTCACGAGTCGTTAAAAATACTGGTCTTCTTAGGGGGCCCGTCTTGCCCCACTGTCCCCACCGGGTAATAGACATTGGTTAATTAGATAATTAAAATTTCAAACAGTCTTCCCCATCCTACTTGTTCTTACTAAAAATACAATATTTCAAAGTCTTCTCCCAGTAGACCAAGCATGCAATGGGTCAATCATATCTTAATTATGAGCACTGGACCATTCACTTATATGTACCCGCCCCGGGTACCCGCATTGTCATTTTCATAGGTTCTGGGCCGATATAAAGATGGCAGCACCAACAGAATCCAGTATTATCTTTTTCTCTAGATAAACACAGATCGATTACCATGCCATCTTTATTTAAAAATGATTTCTATCGCCCTTAACCTATGGTCATTTTCATGTTCGTCATCAATGTTTAACAGTTTCTGATGCACAACTACCATCCAAATGAGGAATATCTGTGTCTATTTCTAATTCGAATGCAACATTGCTCTGTCCATTCACTTGTCTGGCAGGTCGACTTGTATCCTCGACATTGTTTCGGCCATTGGGCTGTGAGTACGTCTTATTATCAAGTTCTGGCTTGTCTTTATCATTTTTGGGATGCTTTCTCCTGAAATCAAATAAAATTACAATAAAAACAGTTAACGTTTTGGATGTTTGACCGTCTTGTTATGGCGATTACATTTTAGGTTCCTACCTGAAATTCTCCGCGTCGTCTATTGTTTCTGGGAGGGGCTTGCCACGAGTTTCTGGTAAGATAAATACTAGAAGGCCGGCAAGGACTGCGAGTGCTCCAAGGATGATATTTGATAGGTTGCCATGGAAGACATTCTAAATACATAAATATTTGAGAAGAAACTGGTATATTAAGGTACCATACGCTGGTATCAACTGCTGGCTGCCAGCTGACAATTTGATTAACGCAGGGACAACTCATTTAAATATAATTATGGGAGTTATCCATAAAAAATGGCAATCAAAAGCAGGTGTAAAAGGGTAGGTGGTCCTATCAAATTTTGTGAATATTTATAGAGAAACACAGATCGATTACAATGCCATCTTTATTTAATTAAAAAATTATTTCTATCGTGGATAAAACATTGTGATTATCACGGTGCCCATGTCAAGCTGCGCGCCTACTTAGGCGCGCAGTTTGTTTCGATCACAAACTGCGTGCCTAGCAACATTGCATCATTTAAATTGGAGTCTGTATTTTGAAACGTAATTTAAAGAAATTTATCCTGCATTGTTTTCTTGTTCAATGCGTTCATTCTGTGGCGAATATACGAATCTTGCAAATACTAGCAAAAACTATGTGCAAATGAATCTAAGTTTTAAAACATAAGCAGATTAATGGCATTTTCGTCACTGATTTAACGGGAAATTTATACGTAAATCGATCTAGTACTTTAAACATAAATGACAAATACTTTAGACTCGTTTTATATTTAATTCTTTACGCATTTATCATGTATAATTCAAAATATTTCGAGATAAAACAGATAATCAGGAGATTAAAAAGAAATAAAGCACAAACTGCGCGCCTATTTTAGCCAGAAATTACAAACTGTGCGCATACACTATTAAGAATTCATATTATCATTGGAATTTCTACAGAGGCACGTGTAGGTGTTTTTCATATAGCTTTGACAATTTTGCTTTATCGTCAGATTTTATGAGATTTTCATATTGAAAGTCAAAATGTATAATAGAAGTGACAATTAAGTTGGGAACGAAAAACTTTTTTCAGATCACCATCTTGGTGGATGGACTCTCATAGTGTTTCACTTATGGGGTTCTACTATTAGACACATATGTGCCTTACATATGGCGCTTACGTTTTCTAATAATACAAAACAAGCTTGGGTAGGCACGCAGTTTGGGAAATACATGTGAATATAGGCGCGCAGTTTGACAAGAAAAATGTTTAAATCACGTTTATGGCGTATTCTCGTTTTGAAACTATGCTGCTTTAATCAGATCGAGTGATCCTATATATCCTAGCATACACAGACACAATGGCTGAATAAACGGCAAAAAATGACGATAAAAAGACATAGATATAACTTTACACTGTGAATTTGAACACAGAAGCTACTTAAGACCCTTATATTGAGATAACTAGGTTTACATCGGGAACAACATTGAGTACTATGAGTAAATTAAGTTCATCTTCACATAATGGTACTGTCTTTAGAACGAGACTAACCTTGTATTTTAAGTATTCTGGCTCTTTTTGGGAGTCGTGTCCTCCCCGTCTTCGATTTTGAAATATGCGCGCAGTTTGTCAGAGTTTCAAACTGCGTGCCTAGTAGGCACGCTGCTTGACATGGGCATCGTGATTATGATCGACACTCTTAAACTGTTTCAATCAACAATTTATAATTTATGAAAAGAGGTGGTGGGAGTTTATTCTTTAATATACGCTGGCGTTTTGCTAGTCTCGCTACAAGTCCTCGTGACCCCCCCCCCAACTGTTTACCCCCCCCCCCCCTACATGTTGCCAGTGTTGTGCTGGTGAAGTATATAGAAACGGGGGTCCAAAGTCTTGTAGCAAGGCTAAATTATTACATATCACCTTAAACAGTTTGTGTATTTCACTTACCAGATACATAAGAAATGGTGCACAAACTCCCCCAACTCTGGCTGACATCGAATATGAGCCGAGAGCAATGTTTCGTACCACAGTGGGACTCACTTCTACTGCCAGGATGTAAATTAATATGAATGCAATTGAGATGGCGCATTTCCCCACTAGTGAAAGCACCAGAACTACTATACCAAGATCTGAAATGAAGAAGTCATGAAAGGAGCACGGAAAGCATCGCAACAGATTTCAAACAGTCATGTTGGATTTTGTCTGTTTTCTGATGATTTAAACAGGTGCATACATTGCCATGTTAGACCAATGCATTATCTACAGGAAAAGTACTCTCGAGCTGATAAATAATTTGGACTCAGAGACAGGGAAGGTGCAAACAACCCATCCCCATGTTTTTCGGAAATGTTTTCCTGATTTTCAACCCCTTCCACCTCTGCTTTTTCAATTTTTGTTGCATCAATATGTTGCGTTTTTAGACACAGTTAACTAGCCTAACCCCTCAGCCTCACAATGAATATAATGCATTATTTAAGATAAAGTGGAAAACAACATTTTCCATGTTATTTTCCCATATCCATTGCTTTCAGCTTAATTTTGGTCAACCATAATTGATATACAGTAAAACCTGTCCGATGGAATACCTCTCTGTAGGGAAAACCTATGAACAAGGAAGGCTTTTCAAAAGAACCGAATATTTTTCCATTGACTTACATGTTAATGGACCCTCTCTGTAGGGAAAACCTGTGAACAGGGAACAAGGAACACTATTTTGGGGCAAATTATAAATATTCACCTGTGAACAAGGAATATGGAATATTGGTGACACTGTATATTCCATTATTTTTCAGAGGTGTGAACGTCCTAAGCCAATATCTGATCCTAAAAAGCTTGAATTAATATGATTGAGATTAAGATAAGCCAATTGTTTACATGATGAAGCATCCCACCCACTGTTAATTACCCTGATATATTTTAAAACTAATACTAATCTGTTTGTTACTTATTATCATGACACTTATTCTTCCTTTCAACAAACCTAATTACATCTAATCAGTTGAGATAATCTAGGGATTGACACAATTGTTAATGGAGATAACAGATAAGTACATGTGTCATGTTGAGCCAAATCTATCAATAATTACAACAACTAGACATCATCATACACCAGCATCATCGGCTAAAATCAACATCGGGAGAATGCTCCTTACCCTCAGCTAAAGGAGGGAGGTTGGAGACCTTCATAAATCTTCCAAGATGTCACAACAAAGTCTAGCAACCGAGTATGGAGTCGGCATTGGTAAAATCAATTAATACCCAAGTATATAAACAAAAAATGCTTCTTCGGCAATTCTGAGTTTGCTGAAAGTGCGGCCGGTCGGTCTATAGGGAAAACCTCTGAACAAGGAAACTTTACTCCAGTCCGAAGAGCATTCCCTGTTCGCAGGTTTTACTGTATTTATAAAATTAAGACCCCCAATGCATTATTCATGTGAAAGGGTGTCTGTGTCACGAAACGCAACATATTATTGATGCAACAAAAAACATTAAAAGCAGGGATAGAAGGGGTTGAAAAGCAGGACAACATTTCCGAAAAACATGTGGGTGGGCTGTTTGCACCTCCCCTGTCTCAAAGTCCGAATTATTTTACCCATGACATGTATGAGTACTTTTCCTGGAGGTAATGCATTGGCCTAACATACAATGTATGCACCTGTTCAAATACTCAGAAAATAGCCAAAATCCAACATATGACCTGTCCGAAATCTGTTGCGTTGCGGATTTAGATTTAGATTTTAAAAACATTGTATACTTGATATAATTAAAAAATACCCGTGTGAAAAGCTCAATATCTTAAAATAAGAAAATCCTATGAAGATCGGCAACAATTTATACATTAGTACTACAGGGTGACCCAAAATTAATGCAACCCATAAATGTGCTTGTTTTCCCACTCATTTTAAGCGGATCGGAGTTGATCAATTGGTCAATTACTTGGACAAGCACATCTATGGCTTGCATTCATTTTGGGTCACCCTGTACCTTCTGGGACAGCCAATGTCGATAGCAGGGCAGCTCCACCAAGTATTAAAGACACACCAAGGGGTAGTATTCTCCCAAGTTTAGTGGCAAGAGGCCAAATCACAATACTCGCGGGTACCTCTATTGCGGCATTTAAAAAATTGTTCAGATAAGGGCTACCGATCAAGGTTCCTGCACCAAATGATAGCCCGTAGTAAACAGCACTAGTAACACACCTATAAACAACGGAATGGTACCATAACGTGAAACGTTTGCGAAATAGAATACTTGTTTGTGGTTTTGAATTTTATTGTGTGTTGAATTAATTCTTTTTACTTTAAACGGATTTTTTGGATGATGTTTAACTATTTTGTACGATGAATATAAGTGAAGTGTTTTATAGTGTCACTTTACAAATAATCAAATACGTTACACAAAAAAGAGAAATAACAGACCAGATAAATAACTGCGCACACGATCTTTTGCGCATTTTTGGAGTTCTCATCAAATCAATGACGTTTGCTCTCTTTGCAACAGTCGTCTGAAATGCGAGTAAGTGGTGTGATTAATTTCAACAGTATTAAATATATTAAAGAATAATAATTTTTTGGTCGTGTTGGTATTCTGCATTTTATATTGTTACATTTCTTAAGGAAACATATGGCCTAGAATTCTAATCGGGGACACTACGTATTTTAGTAAAATGAAGTATAAATTCAACTTCGATGCAAATCAAAATTAGTTAATAGCAGGATTGCGTATTTTCGATCGTCCCTCACATTTCACATCCAGTGAAAAAAGCGTATGTTGTCGTGAAAATGAAAATGATAGGCTACAGTAAATTACCTCAGTTATTTCTGCTTTTTCAGGAATGGTTCTTCTGTTGGTTTTAGCTATCGTTTGGATCATTTTAATGGAGTCTTCCCCCCTGTCTTGACTGTGTAGCCATCTGGGAGACGATGGCATGGCACTAGAATAAAGACAGACAATGATGAGTGGCATCTTTCATTTTGCATGTCCGGGTCAAAGCGAAGTACTATGAATGAGCCGCGTTCTTTTCATTTCAAAGTTTGAAGACTAAGATTTTGAAGACTCCCGCCAAATTTTGTATACACTGAGAACCCCCCCCCCCCCCCAGGATGGAATATATTTTCAAGAGGGTTTTAGTTGTTCCGACATAATTATAATCTAAACAACATAAGCAATCGAACGAAGTCCTGATGTGTAAGCTTACAATACTGCATAGATCACAAAAGGAGTGTTGACAGCCGCGATGGCTAAATTGAGGTTTCGCCAGTCTCGTAGAAAGTAAGCGAGTCCAGTTATGGTCATGTACCCCAGGCACCAAAGCATCGCACAGCAAACAGTCACAATAAGTCGCCAGTCTTTCCCCACAAGCTCTTGCGCTATATGAGAAAAACAAGGCGTAAACATGCAAAATGTCACCACCTGCCATTTGTTACAGACGCCAACCGTCGCCCGACTTATAGTTTACCAGTGATATATGTGAAATATAAGTTTATTGGCGCCAGCCTTTAATAGCCCCATATAAAGTTTAAACCACTTTGGTTTAAAGTATAGTCTTACCTAATGTTATTAAAATGTGATATGTGCGATTTTTTAGCTCACACATTTTATTTAACAAGTGATAATATACACCAATGCATATAGCATTCATCGGCACGTGTCTTTTGTAGAAAAAAATAAAAATTGGTTGATTAATAAACGAGAAATGAACTCATCCATGCATGAGAATTGTTCAGCGAAAAATGAATTTTAAAATTTTAGTTCCCATAGAAACCAATGGTACAGTAACATTTAAAACATAATATATTTTTCTTTGTAACCAAGTTGGACAATCAACGTTGGTTTATTTTGAAAGTTTAACATATTGAGAAAAGATTGACAGAGAAAAAAATTCGACATTTAAAGGGGCACATAATAGATGTAATATTTTATTGTTGAAACAGTTTGTCATTTCTTCTCAATGGTGTTAAAAAATAAGTTTTACTCTGTATAGTTAAAAATTTGACCATGAAGAATTTCAATCAATTTTTATTTGAATTTGAGTTTTTGAGAAGAAAAAAAGTTGGTAGGACAACTTTTTTGTCCGAATTTTTTTTCAAATCTTTAAAATAACAAAAGAGTAAATGCATGATAAAAACATATTTTCAAACTTTACATGGGGCTTCACATACTTGACAAAGATCGAGCCAAGGATTTTTCCCTTTGCATGTCTATACTAATTATACTTACCCAATACATAGCTTATTGTTCCAAAAGCAATCTCAGTAGAGGCTATAGCAAATCTGATTATAAGCCACGTGATGTAGTTTGGCGAGAACGTGACTGCATACGTCAGAATATTACACGCAATACCCGTCAGAATAACCAACTTTCGCCGTCCAAACCTGTAAGTATATATCCCCGGGGTAATGACTGGGAACAATAGAGTAGGGTTCCGAATAGCATCCCGTATAAAAACAATATGGCGGCTCCAGGCGAATCAACTGGATCAGTCCATTTTTAAGAAATAAGGGGAGTTCTGTAAAATCCAGTTTATTGAAATTGTCTTTGAGAAAGAGTAATCCATTTATAATGATTTTGAAAACGTAATCCAAAGAGTGATTGCGTTCAAAGAATACATGTACAACAGCCAATATAAATCCTTGTATTAGAAACCGGTTTGTCTTGCTTTGTTTCATTTGTAGGATATTTCATATGCCAAGCTGTGTGCTATTACGTTATGGGGAAATTTAGATGCCAATTTTTCCTTATTATACACAAATAGAAGATCCTGAAACTTCACCCATAAATGTGGAATTGATTTGTCAAAATAAAAATCACCCTTTTATAAATGTGTGACGATCTATAATATACTTATGCTATATAACAGTTAGAGGTGTTGACACAACGACCTCGAACCTGAGAACCCTTGAGTATTATTCCGGGATCGGGCCTTTTATACTAAACGGTGAGCAACACCAGAAACGAGCGTTCGATTTGCTAAACGATATGCGTCACCCTTTAAGCTACCACTGTTTTTCACAACCTTAACGCGAACGTAAGTTATTTAAGCGATGCATTTGTATGGGCGATTGGTCACACGGATAGGTTGGTGTTTCGATTTTTAATGCAAGCTTAAACTTCCAAATGTCCGAACAACTCTTGTTTCATGATAGAGTAGTGTCCTTTTTGAAATGCCATATTTCAATAAATGGAAGATAAACTATAGGGCATCAGACATACCAGCTATGAAACACGACAGACTACATTTAACTCTGACGGCTTCCTATGTGTGGCTCGAGTCCCATCAAAAAAGAACTCATCTTCATGGAAAGATGTTTTTGAAATTTGGAACGTTAATGTTGAATACCTATCCTACTTCCTCAACCTATCTATCTCACCATTTATCATAAAAATATATACTTTTAAAATCGAACATGCTTCTTTTGACGGGAAAACATTGATTCATCAGATTAGCATTAATGATACTGCCCCGCCTACCCCAAAAAGTTACCATCCATATGTTTCTCCAAAAGATGGATAAAGGTGTCATAGCCCGTATAATGTTGTAAATTTTGTAATGAAAACTGAAATAAATTATTTTGAAATTGAATTGAAAAAAAAATTGAAAAGATGGAGTACTTAATAGACAATTGGAATATTGATATATAAGGGTTATGTACTGGGAGGTTTTGGATATGGGGTTTATCCAGAGGGAGATATACATATCTACCTGAGAAACCGTAGGCACCGAGGGATGAACCTAATATCAAACCGACCGTACATAACTGCTTTATCCTATACCAAGTAGAGTTTTCAGGGGCAGATGGCCATTTCAATAGTACAAGGTATAATAAAAATAAACAAATCATTCATATGCAAAGTCATTTTATTGCATTACCGGAATCGGGAAGATATGCACCGGAAGTGGGAAGATATGCACCGAAGTGGGAGATATGACGGGAGATATGGAAGTTCTGGATATGGAAACCTCAAAATCAGGATGCGGGATATATATTACCAACTTATGTGCCTAGAACTCTACTTGGCATAGGATAAGTAATTTTACATATCCTTTATAAAATTAGAAAGACATTAAACTCTTAATTTAAGGGACTTTTTCGGAACGTATTCACGATGCCCATGTCAAGCAGCGTGCCAACTAGGCACGCAGTTTGAAACTCAGACAAACTGCGCGCATATTTCAAAATGTGAGACGGGGAGGACACGACTCCCAAAAAGAGCCAAAATACGAAAAATAGAAGGTTAGTCTCGTTCTAAAGATAGTACCATTCTGTGAAGATGAACTTAATTTACTCATAGTACTCAATGTTTTTCCCGATGTAAACCTAGTTATCTCAATATAAGGGTCTTAAGTAACTTCTGTGTTAAAAATTTACAGTGTAAAGTTATATCTATGTCTTTTTATCGTCATTTGCCGTTTATTCAGCCATTGTGTCTGTGTATGCTAGAATATATAGGATCACATCTGATTAAAACAGCAAAGTTTGTGTTCAAAACGATAATACGCCATAAACGTGATTTAAACATTTTTCTTGTCAAACTGCGCGCCTATATTCACATGTATTTCCCAAACTGCGTGCCTAATATTTCAAAACTGCTTGCCTATCCAAGCTTGTTTTGTATTATTAGAAAACATAAGCGCCATACAAGGCAGATATGTGTCTAATAGTAGAACCCCATAATTGAAACACTATGAGAGTCCATCCACCAAGATGGTGATCTGAAAATAAATGTTTTTTTCGTTCCCAACTTAATTGTCACTTCTATTATACATTTTGAATTTCAATATGAAAATCTCATAAAATCTGACGATAAAGCAAAATTTCCAAAGCTACATCGAAAACACCTACACGTATCTCTGTAGAAATTCCAATGATAATATGTAGTTTTAATAGTGTATGCGCACAGATTGTAATTTCTGGCTAAAATAGGCCCGCAGTTTGTGGTTTATTTCTTTTTAATCTCCTGATTATCTGTTTTATTTCGAAATATTTTGAATTAAACATGATAAATGTGTAAGGAATTAAATATAAAACGAGTCTAAAGTATTTGTCATTTATGTTTAAAGTGCTAGGTCGATTTACGTATAAATTCCCATTAAATCAGTGACGAAAATGCCGTTAATCTGCTTATGTTTTAAAACTAAGATTCATTTGCCCACAGTTTTTGCTAGTATTTGCAAGATTCGTATATTCGCCACAGAATGAACGCATTAAACAAGAAAACAATGCAGGATAAATGTCTTTAAATAACCTTTCAAAATACAGACTCCAACTTAAATGATCCAATGTTCTTAGGCACGCAGTTTGTGATCGAAACAAACTGCGCGCCTAAGTAGGCGCGCAGCTTGACATGGGCACCGTGGTATTGATCAATCCAGTAAATATAAAAGCCCAGATGCGAGTAGGTAATTACCAGCTTCAGCAGTAGGTGTCTAATTCGGGCCAGATAACATGACAGGCCGGGTATTAGGAAATTCCCTTAAACTTGAATATTCATCAATTTTTATATTACCCTTAATTTAATACAATTAAAAATATATCCAGTAAAAATATTATCTGTCCAATTAGACTATAGAAGAAAAGATATTTCACATGGTGAACCTCCCCGACCTACATGTAGATGTCACATTTTGAATTAACTCGGTCACTTTTTAAAACCAGTACATCTCTTGATGTAATTTTGCACGTAGAATTCAAATAAAATATGGACTTTGAATTCGTTTTAATGACATATAATTAAGAGTATTTCCATTTCATCTACAGGCCCGTAGCCAGAGGGGGAGCTGGGGGCTCCCCCCCCCCGGCCAGAAATTCTTTCAAAATCATGCAGTTTTTCACCATTCTGAGAATTTGTCGCATGATTTTAAGCCAAAATTGTGAAAAAGCTCCCCCCTGGAAAAAAGCTCCCCCTCCTGGTAAAAGCTGGCTACGGGCAAGATCTAGTTTATAACAAAACCGTCTCCCGTCTATAGACATGAAAAATTCTCACCTGTCGCTCAGTTGACCAAACACAAAAACACCAACCAGAAGTCCTGCCATGTAAACACTCTGAGAGGTTGCCACCATCCAGCGCCTGTCACATACTAAATCCCACTTGGAAGAAAAAGATTTGGGATGAACGTGGTTTGTTAATTACAAAGAACTACTATCCTCCGTGCACAGATTTCTAAATTCAAGACAGCGTTTTATTTTTCCAAGGGAGGAGGAGGTATGGATTCTGGACAACTGCTTAGGAGGATGAAAAACCTCATTATTTGGCCTTTTTGGGCCTTTTTAGGACAAATTGTGAATGGGCCCAATTTTAGGAGTTTGGGGAACATTTTTTCTGCGCAAGTGCTGAAATTTTTCCCTTATTTTAAATCTGGGCCCCACCCTCGTTACTTCTGGATACGCCGTGGGACTAGAAGTGTTACGTTTAAGAAAGGTTGGTAATTGTATATGTATATATAATTGTATTATCCTCTATTTCGGTGATTTTAGGCGTTTGTTCTTGTCTAGGAAAGTGTAGGATACTGCAATGGAAAATAAATGTTTCAGTATTTTTCATTTCTACAACTATAGTTGCCGTCATCAACTTCCTTGAAGCCATGTACATCGAACTATTGAACCATAACATTCACTTGGCAGTTTTGGGGAATAGTGGAAACTAAAGAAATTACATCTAGGCCTATAGATAAATTGCAAAGATTGGATTAACATTGACTCAGCCGTTAAAAGTGCCTCATCATTTATATTGCCTTGTCGCTCTTGGCGTTTACCTGTACATGTCTCCCTTACCTGAGTAACGACCGTAGCTTCATAATAGGAGCGATCATAACTCCAGCTACTGCATTGAACTTCTGGTCTGTCGCTTCGATTTAGGAACATGGACGATTCTCCATGCAATAGTTCTGTCCTGTTAAATTGGTGGATTTTACATTGGCTGTACTGGAGTCTTCCATCCCTCATCTCCCTTGGAATTGTCAGGTTCATACGTTCCGACTCTGTAAAGTTACCCCAGTTATATTGAGGTTGGGAGCACGTATGCTCTGGTATCGCTGTGTAATACAAAAGCGTCATCCTGAGTATTGCAATCAACCATGTTGCCATGGTTAATATGGAAATGTGAATCCATTGGAATCTACCACAGCCTCCGGCTGCTTCCATCATTTCTTCCAACTTCATCTTTGTCTTTATGTTCTCCCTCCCTTACTCCGGTCGAATCGATTTTAAAGATGACTTTATAAAAACCGCCTCGCCCTCATTCACAACGTTTGTTCCCAGGGTTAGGCGTCAGTCTCGCGTTTAGTTTACTATATGTCCTAATGACTAACAAAAAGAAAGAACTAAACTGAACGATATACAGACAGGGATTGAGCCTAGTTAAATTTTACCTATTACGCCTACAGATAGTATTTTGACATTAAATTTTTATTATTCTATTGTATTTAAATACTGTCAAACACAATTCGTGAACACATTCATGATTCTATTGTTTTTGAAAGATCATTTAGATCTGTATACATGAATAGAAAAACAGGATTTTAACGAGATGAACATCCACCCCGTGCAGACAGATCGCCTAAAATTACATTCGTATGATGCGAGACTATTCTCATACTTATAGAACTTAATATGACTGTCATTGATCATTTATTAAGCCGTAAACAATTAATTTGCTTCATTGGTTACAAAATGTTTCTATAATGAACAATTCTCATTTTCAAGTCCATCTATCTAAGAATCATTTTCTGATTCGCATCATACGAATGTAATTCATGGCGATCTGTCTGCTATGGGGTGATATCATGTCTATGCTCAGAAACAATAGGAAATACTGATTAGCTCAGGTCATGAGACGATGGACCATTGTGCAATTCATGCCCTCTGAAGACTGTGTACAGAAAATGTATACTATGAAATTGTGAACATGTTTGAAAATTTAACTTTTATAACACTTCTTGTGATATTTTATTTTTTACTAAGTGTTTCAAAAATAATGCTACCCATGGTACTTAACAATGCAGATCTTATTAACCAATGAAGGTTGAGAAAATTTACCCTGCGTGTAGAGTCTAGTTAAACTACAAGACGAAGCTCTTTTTTAAGAAGTGAAGTCAAACGAATGCAAAGGGTAGAGAAAATTAAAAAATAGGATAGTTCTGAAAGAAAGTCAGTTGTTAACCTTTGAATTAGTTTGCATATTTCGGGCTTGTTTGAAGAAGGAAATTAGATGCATTTAGGTTTCAAATAAATTATATTTGTGTTAAAAAAGTCCAAGGGAGTAGTGTGGTACGGGGCAGGTGAAACAACTGTTTCACAAAGATGTTACAGAAAATATACACAGTGCGCACACAAGTCTCTACATGATTACAATAAAAAATATATGTAAATGCAAAGAGACTTATTGACACCAGACGTTTTTCCAAATAAAGCTTTGGAAACAAGGTCCAAAGGTAGTGATATGCCTATTTAAAGAGTTGGGCGTACCGTACATATTGAAGCTTCGAGCTTTGTTGTTTAAATAGCTCTGTGGGTTCTTCATAAAATAATATGGATTGGTCTTGTAATGTAAAAAAGACAAGATTAACACAGAATTAGTATACTCATAAAACTATACTTTATTCCAAGTAAAAGACTAAACATGTACAATTACACTCTTCAGTACAAAATAAAACTGTTCAAAGATAAAGAAAGAATGAAAATGAGATTAATAAGATGAAAAGAAATGATGTGTGATGTTCCCCCCGATCTAACTCTCTACTGAATGAAGCCCAAAATTTCTCTTAAATACCCCCAAGTTATAGGAAATGAAAGGCAATTTCTTACCCTACAAAACCTATAAGAAACCCATTGAAAGATGGCAGCACAATACGGTGAATCAACATGAAAAATGCTATAATATCATGAGATAGATATGCCACATTGCCAATCATTTTGAGTGGATATATAAGGGTTATGTACTGGGAGGTTTTGGATATGGGGTTTATCCAGAGGGAGATATGCATATCTACCTGAGGGACCGTAGACTTATCAGGAGTTGGAAATGCAGTAATGATTGGTGGATATGCCATAATGATCATGAGGTGCATATGCCATAATAATCAGAGACATATAAAAGTCTCTGTAAAAATCAAGAGGAAGGTATGCAATGATGATTATGAGGTGGATATCACCGTACCCGGGACGGCCGTACAGATCATAAGGAGTATGTCCCAGACTTAGAGTTCGATATGCCATAATGATTGTGAAGTGAATGTATCATACTTATCATGGGGTGGATATATAATGTCGTAATTGTTATGATCATGACCTGGATGGCCTAGATACACACTATCTAACACCTAGAAATGCATAAAATACTTTGTTTGTCTAACTTGTACATGTGTTTAGTATTGAAAGTGCTAGTAACATCTATCATTCAAACGATAACCATTAATAAGGAACAGACAAATAAAAACAAATACATAATCATTACTAATTAAGCCAAATGGGTTGCTCCTGAACACCAAATGCAAGGTAGCTATAGTATGAGAGTGATATCAAAGTCGTTATACGTTACCCCGGGGATTAGGTGTTTTGTAAAAATATACTGAACGAAATTGAAAAGTAAACTTCCTGTCGGAATTTTGCAAGGTAATTTTCTTCTTTACATTTTTACATTCTTTGCTTTTCTATGCGGCAATTCACAACGTATCTACCTCATAATTGCGATAGTTATAATTGTTGCTATTTGGAATTGTTTCTAAACTTTTCATCTGTAGGAAACGTCCAGATATAGGTAAAATCTAAAACCAATTTTTGCATGATTTTTGATTTTTTTACTATTTTTTTCATGGCCTGAGTTCGTCGCTAACATGCTAAATATAAGAGTCAGCTGACGTTTGGGAGTCTGACTTACCTTCTAAAGGTTAGAACCCGAATCTTAATGAAACCATATCACCTTTGTTCCGTCAACCATGGAGCATTTGCCACAACATCCAAGAGGTAAATCATGGACCGAGAAAATGAATCATTTCCTTGTAAGTTCCGGAAGTTTCAATACGAAAAATTACCGAACATATGTGAAAACCGAATATTTGTTCGTTGTTTTCACGATTTACAGGTTCGTTTGTTCTCCGATGTTTTGGTCTAAATTATAAAGCATCACCAACAGGTCTTACTCTATTAATCGACTAATACAGCAGACGGCTCATATTTCTACGTAGCATTTCGTTCAGACCAATAGTGGGAGTGCAGATCACGCAGTTTCGTTCGTTGCGTACTTCACTTGAAATTGGTAATTTTAAATATTGGCTACTTCATTTAGCTTGGCGGATGTAGAACATTGCTTATATTCTTTTAATTTTCACACCAGACATGCTTGGTTGACACGTCAACAAAGTAAAGTTCAAGGGTCAATGCGTTATTTCGTGACAACTACAACGCCTTCCCGGAAGTCAACATTGATGAAAAATGAAAAAGTCGGAAAAGCATTTACACTAATTTCTATCAAATGCTGTGTTTATGCATCATCATCGACGCAACAAAGGTGATATGGATTCATTAAGATTCGGGTTCTAACCTTTAGAAGGTAAGTCAGACTCCCAAACGTCAGCTAACTCTTATATTTAGCATGTTAGCGACGAACTCAGGCCATGAAAAAAATAGTATGAATCATCATGATTTTCATTTTGCTTGACTGTGTACTTATTATACAGTAGATATACTTCACATTCAGTTGATCCAGGTTTTCTTTTTCTCAACTGTTCAGAGGTTACTTTGAAACTATACAGGGCGTCAAATAAGTCTGTTCTCCCCCCTTAACTTTTTTAATTCAGAAATAACATAGGGTTGGTACAGGGTGTCCGGAAAGTAAAGATACAAATACTCTTATTTTTAAAAAAATGGGTTTTATGAAATGAAATTGCTACAGATTGTAGAGGAACAATATTACAATATATCTACCAACTGTCATCACATACAGTCTAAATGTGTTCAAGATAGGGTTGTTATGGTTACGGATGTGAGAGGTATGCGGAGCAGTTCCAGAACAACGCTAAAAAGTGAAAAATTGCTAAAAGACAACCATTTGAAACAGCTTTTTCTGTTCCTTTTTTCTATCTATGTTTTGTTTTGTTCATCATTGTATTATTGCTACCATAGTGTTTTCTTTTATATAATGATGCCATTGCTACATATCAGAACTATGTTATGTCATTATCCAGTATACATAATGAAAGAAATATTATACAAGTGCCTAGAAGAATGGTCCCTGGCCATTAGTAGGTAAGTCAATATTGCATCTCCACAATGCACCAATTCACAAAGCAAAAAACAAATCCTACAATTAAGTGTCTTGACATTAAACCTTTTTATAAAATGCCCCATATTCACCTGATGGAGCCTCTTTAGACTTCTACCTTAATGTCCATTTGAAAGCAATATTTGTAAAAAGTTCAACATACAAATGAGACTCAGCTGGAAGCCAATGTTATCAGCAATCTGAGAGATGGACAGCGGCGGTTTTGTCAGGTCTTTGAATCGCCGATCAAGATGCACCAAGAATGTATAGAATAATGGGGAAAATACTGAATATTCAATGATAGTAGTACAAATGTAGTAATACATGTAATATGAAATGATCAAATAATGTTAAATTACTAATCCCTATGCTGTTGTGGTACATAATTTGATATGATATAGGAATAGATTGTGGAGTGCCAAGATCATATGAGCAGGAAAGAGATTTGTAGAACACAGTTTTGACGTTGCTCCACTTACCCCCGAACCCCGTTACCATAGCAACCATAACTTTTTCATTTTGAAATTGAAAGTCATGACAGTTGCAGGATATATTATTATAATGTCATTCTACATTCTGGAACAATTTCATCTCATAACAGGCAAATCTCTTGAAATTAGAGCATTTGTATCTTTACTTTCCGGACACCCTGTATATACCTCCCCCTGCAGCCCGGATGGCCTCAATTCTACGAGGATATGATCCCATATAAATCATTCAGAACGTTTAAATTTGGCTGTTATCAACTATTTTGTGATGAAAGATGACCCTGCTTCAAAAGCTCCCCTGAATGTAACACATTTTACTCTGTAGCGATATTCAGAAATAACATAGGGTTGGTACAGGGTGTCCGGAAAGTAAAGATACAAATACTCTTATTTTTAAAAAAATGGGTTTTATGAAATGAAATTGCTACAGATTGTAGAGGAACAATATTACAATATATCTACCAACTGTCATCACATACAGTCTAAATGTGTTCAAGATAGGGTTGTTATGGTTACGGATGTGAGAGGTATGCGGAGCAGTTCCAGAACAACGCTAAAAAGTGAAAAATTGCTAAAAGACAACCATTTGAAACAGCTTTTTCTGTTCCTTTTTTCTATCTATGTTTTGTTTTGTTCATCATTGTATTATTGCTACCATAGTGTTTTCTTTTATATAATGATGCCATTGCTACATATCAGAACTATGTTATGTCATTATCCAGTATACATAATGAAAGAAATATTATACAAGTGCCTAGAAGAATGGTCCCTGGCCATTAGTAGGTAAGTCAATATTGCATCTCCACAATGCACCAATTCACAAAGCAAAAAACAAATCCTACAATTAAGTGTCTTGACATTAAACCTTTTTATAAAATGCCCCATATTCACCTGATGGAGCCTCTTTAGACTTCTACCTTAATGTCCATTTGAAAGCAATATTTGTAAAAAGTTCAACATACAAATGAGACTCAGCTGGAAGCCAATGTTATCAGCAATCTGAGAGATGGACAGCGGCGGTTTTGTCAGGTCTTTGAATCGCCGATCAAGATGCACCAAGAATGTATAGAATAATGGGGAAAATACTGAATATTCAATGATAGTAGTACAAATGTAGTAATACATGTAATATGAAATGATCAAATAATGTTAAATTACTAATCCCTATGCTGTTGTGGTACATAATTTGATATGATATAGGAATAGATTGTGGAGTGCCAAGATCATATGAGCAGGAAAGAGATTTGTAGAACACAGTTTTGACGTTGCTCCACTTACCCCCGAACCCCGTTACCATAGCAACCATAACTTTTTCATTTTGAAATTGAAAGTCATGACAGTTGCAGGATATATTATTATAATGTCATTCTACATTCTGGAACAATTTCATCTCATAACAGGCAAATCTCTTGAAATTAGAGCATTTGTATCTTTACTTTCCGGACACCCTGTATATACCTCCCCCTGCAGCCCGGATGGCCTCAATTCTACGAGGATATGATCCCATATAAATCATTCAGAACGTTTAAATTTGGCTGTTATCAACTATTTTGTGATGAAAGATGACCCTGCTTCAAAAGCTCCCCTGAATGTAACACATTTTACTCTGTAGCGATATTGAGAAACATCGAAATCACCCAATGTTGGCATTGTCACTGCAGTATCATTTTCACTTTTCAATCACTATACCTGGTAATTTGACTTGTTTTGTCGTAATCAAAGGTCAACTACAACCTTACAAGAAACATTGTAGCAATTTTATTAGAAGGAGTTTATGATTGATTTTTTGAGGGTGATCAACATTTCCATGAGCTTCAAAATGATATATGGGAAAGTATGATAAATTTAAGGATAAAAAAGTTAAGGGGGGAGAACAGACTTATTTGACACCCTGTATGTAACCTCTGCATCGACTCTGTTAGGTCTCACTGGACACTGGTCCCAAACTGGTTATAAAGATGTTACATCCTATACCAAAGTTGATGAACTTCTGTTTGACGAAATTTTTATTTTCATTATTTTCATCAAGAAGGGGGTCATTTCGTATCCAAATAATATTCCCTCTGTAAATATAACACCCGATTACTGAGAAGCGTGTCAGTCAAGAGCAACTATATCCAGCAGCTCCAATAATCTTGAGTGAGAATTCCTCACCTTGAAGGTACAGCTAACATACATTTATTTATGTATACTTTGCAGATTTGCCACAAGTTTTTGAGTAGCAACTAGCCAACTAAGGCGGTCAAATTACAAGACTAGGAAAAGTATAATGTTTCCAAAAGACGAGACACAACAGAAAATCATCAGACACATCAATAGCTACATCCCTGCCTTCACCGACTTATTTGATGAAGAGACATTTTATATCTTTGTTTTTGTCACAATAATGTGTTGTATTGTGCTGGCATTCATGATGTCTCGGTTTATAAAGCTGGAGGATATGGGTGACCCTCATCTTGACTGATCTCAATTATACTCTAGGTAAGGTTCATAAGATTCCAGCAGGTTTCAGCTGATATCACTATGAGCAACCATCATGTATCTAAACCTATAGGGTTCGACTCAATTTGATTTGACACCCATGTTATTTTGGCAAATCATGTTAATTGAAACATTACATTTATCTCCCTGCAGAAATCACAAAATGTGCCCCAAGTCTAAATATAAATTAAATAGCTAACATAAATCAGAAAATTTGCCAAATCAAATACATGTAGTATCAATTTTACCAAATGGTAGCATGTGTTCATTGTGATAACTGCTTTATTCTGCACTTCTGTACTCTTTATTTTTTTATTTATTTATTAAAATCTTATAATCATATATAGATATCACAGTGCTTTCAGTAGGCTTGTCCAAAAGTGCGTCCCTGGGACGGATTGATTTTCCAAAATTGCGTCCCCCCTCAAAAAAGTGCGTCCGCATGAAAAAAGGTTCCCGGGAATTCAATGTCACATTTTTGCACTGAACGAAAAAAAATTGATGAAACGTTTGCATCAGTTTTGTTATTTTTTGGCCCAGATCAGTGTTCTGCACATGTCTAGTAGGTCATTAAATGATGCAGATACCTTCATTTGAAAGAGGTTACTAATATTCAACCATTAAATACCGTTTTTCTTCGCGTATTTCAAAGCAATTTGCTATTGATTTTGATCGCTCAGAAAGTTTGATTAGGAGCAATCTCCGTGAGGTTCAATTCTTTGGTTCAGTTTTTTGCGCATGCGCAACAAATCCAGCAATTTGATTAGTCAAAATTATCAAGACGCATGCGCGATTAATAATCACGGCCAATCATAGGACTCGTACCGATTACCGCTCGGAAATCAACTACTAGTGATTGTCCTATCACATACCTCATACTATATTGATCGGAAATCAACTTCCGGGAAAGAAAGTCCAAAAGATAATTTTATTTCTTTTAGAAATAGAATATCCTTCGTTTATTTAGCGGATTTTGACCAAATAAAAGACTGAAGGTAAGATCTTTATCAATCCATTCATCCAGAGATGATTTTTTGATATGACCTGCACTGCGTCCAAGTGACCCCTCATTTTCATTGTTTGGGGTCCCTATAATAAAAACAGGGTCCTCTCCATTATGGGACGGCGTTAATGAAAGCACAGTATCAGTGATAATAACACCCTAGCGGATGTTGTCTTGTGCTTGGTGTGCTCTCGTCTGTCTGTCATAACCCTTTATTTATACCATTCCCATACTAACATACATCCTGTCATGCACCTCAGTGACACCTTTTTAAAGACTTCTTGTTTAGGAAATATTATAAAGAGGGAGAACCAATGACAAATGTCAAGTATAATGTTATATTGTTTTATGCAGGTGGGTTTACTGTAGTAAACCCACCTGCATAAAACAACCAGGTGCAGCACCCTGTGAAACATTCTAAAGACTTCTTGTTAAGGAAATATTATAAGGGTGAACCAACGAAAGATGTCAAGTATAACTGTGAACCAACCTGCATCAAAACAACGAGGTGCTGCACCCTGTGACACATTCTTAAGACTTCTTGTTTTAAATATCATAAAGGGGGTAAGTCAAGTATAACAGTGAACTCACCTGCATTAAAACAACCAGGTGTTGCACCCTGTTGTATATTTGAAAATTACATGCAACCCTGCTTAAAAACAGTAAATGCACTGCACCCTGTCAAAAAGATGAAAATATACTTTGACTAAAGCAGGTAAAATTATGGTTTAGCACTCAGTTGAGAGTTAGTAAAATCTAGTGATTTCGTAAAATGTATTATTTGAGGAACATTTAAGAACTTCTTTGATTTATCTTTTGTTGTACATGAATCATATGTATGTCCTTGTAATATTGTCTCACTCATAGTTATTAGTGCTGACCATTTTGGCTTGCAGAAAGAACCTGAACTACTTATGCCTCATCTGGGAGAACATCTAACCTAAGACCATATCAAGAACAACAAACCAAAATACTGACCCAGCCAAGTGGCCTATTTTACTTCTGGAAATAAGTTTCTCACTGACTTGACAAAATTTGCAGTTTCTAGAACAATCTAACCTAGCGTGAAAGACTTGAAGATTTTAGAAAATTATTCGAATATTCTTGTCCAGATGAACTCTAGTAAGTTGTCCAAGCATTTTCATTTTCAACAATTTCTAGAATTCATACAGCTTTCTAGTAATAGGAGTTTGTAATGGCACAAAGAGATATCGAAATTCTTAAGATGGACCAAAATGACACAATACATTTGTCAGATGACCATATGGCAGAAAGTGAAGAAATTGAACAACTCAAAGCAGTTCCCCAAGCAAAGGATCTTCCCTCAGATGAGTTGGAAACAAATGAAGAAAATGATTTAGAGAAAGATAGACTTGAAAATGAGAATCTTCTAGTAGGTCCAAAATTTGATCCTCCTGTCTATAAACAAAGATACTCCAGAGTGGCTGCAATATTGGATTCAGAGAACGTTAAATCTGTTATAGACTTTGGTTGCGCAGAATGTAAATTCATCCAACATTTAAAACAATGTAACATTGAAGTTGTATCTGGCGTTGACATTGATAAATCGCTTCTCGAAAGGAGTAAATATTCCCTGAAGCCTCTAATTACGGACTATATTATACGGCGGAAGGATCCACTTGTGATGAGGACTTATCAAGGTAGCGTAATAGATTATGACGCTAGGTGTATTGGATATGAAGCCATCACAATGATTGAGATCATTGAGCACTTAGAGTCAGATGTTCTAAATAAAGTTCCCCAGAATGTGTTTGGTACTTTACACCCTAGAATCGTTATTGTAACTACGCCAAATTCAGATTTCAATGTTTTGTTTCCTGATTTGGAAGGATTTCGTCACTGGGATCACAAGTTTGAGTGGTCTAGGGATGAATTTAGAAACTGGTGCGAGGAAATCATTGCCATATATCCTTATATGGTGAGGTATGAAGGAATCGGGAGTGGACCAGAGGGGACTGATCATTTAGGTTCTTGTTCTCAAATGGCAATTTTTACTCACCTTGAAGATCCAAGCGCAGTCGACCAAAGTCAGCCATTATACCTCAATATGCTAAAAACTCAGAGTGTTGTAAGTTCTAGTCCCCAAAGTCCCCCTTCAATGGACCAACCCTACCAGCTTATATGTGAGGAAGTTCATCCCCATAATGAAAGCAATCTCAGTGAAAATGAAACCTTTATGTTGGACCTTGAATACACCATACGTCAAATAGCTTATAGGATGCAGCAAGATGAAGACGATGATGACAACAATAATGGTGATGTTGACAACAATGATGAGAATGATGACAACAATGATGGGGATGATGACAACAATGATGGGGATGATGACAACAATGATGGGGATGATGACAACAATGATGATTATGACACAACCACAGAAGATGAATCATCGGTTAAAATACCTCTAACCATCCTCCTTAGCTTCACTAAAATCAAACAGTCAAATAAAACTGCCTCAGAGGTCAAGGAATCACTGCTCCAAGCTGGTTACAAAATTGAAAAGAACTCTGTCATATTCCCTATAGATGGCTCTGGGAGTGATACCGATCAAAGTTTCAACGTAGATGATGAAAATTTAGGTGGTCAGTTTTCCGATGCTGAGGATGATTTATCGATCGAGAACAGATATTATGGGATGTATAAAGGGGAAACCACCGAAGATTGGGACTAAAAATTAATGTAAATCATAAATTTAACATGGAAAAGTTGAAAAGTCCCTTAAAACAACAGGCGATTTTGTGAAAACAACTGGTGAAAATCGCCTGTTATGTGTACAATGTACTTTTCTTTCAAATTCTATATTGCTATTAAAATCTCAAATGCATCCGACTAAATATACTCAGAAAGGAAGACAAGGGATGATGGAGTTTTCTGTGGTAATTCATATTTATTAATCTATAGCTAAGCGTTGTCATACAGTATTCAGAATCATTTCCCTCATTTTTTTCTTATTATTTCAACGCCACTATTAAAATGGTGCAATTCGCAGTGTTAGTTACATTTTCCATTTGTTTTTTGTTTTTTCAAAGCTTAGTTAAACTGAATTTCAACATGTTGTTGAAATAAGATAAAACTCATTTACTCTGAATGGACTATTATGGCGTACTGTAAAACATGTTTCATTGCTCATGAATTTTTACCAGTTCTTTATAAATGGGTAGTATTCTAAATATTGATTAATTATTCTTGACGGTAACTAAAATATTTAACAGTGAAGTTAAAGAACTGTTAATGTGTTGTTTCAATGCCTTTCATGGCATATATACATGTACCACATTGTATTTTTACAGCTTTATTCAACAGCAAATTCAATTCAACCTCAATTACAATTTGACCTCAACTACAAATCAACCCAACTACTTTTCAACCTCAGGTACAATTTAACTATAATTCAACCTCAACTTAATTCAAACCCAACTACAATTCAACCTCAACTACAATTTAACATCAACTACAATTCAACTTTAATTCAACCTCCTTCAAATGGAATTGCACTTGTGTTTCTGTGAAAATAAAAATAAAAAATATTTGCATAAAAATTAGCCAAATGGCATTTTAAAACACCTATCGTTTTATTTGTTATGTTACCACCAAAAGTGGTGACATATTGATATAGTCTCCAACTTTTTTGTGGACTGTGGTTTTTTTTGGCACTCGGTTCATGTTTAGTGGTTGGTGTCTGTAGCAAATGGCAGGTGGTGACATTTTGCATGGCATGGCAGTTGGTGTTTGGCAGTCAGTGTTCAGTGTCTGTAACAAATGACAGGTGGTGACATTTTGCATGTTAATGCCTTGTTCTGGTTACACTTTTCTCACATCAATTGTAAAAACACCTTAACCTTTTAAAACATTTCCTTATTCAGTTGAATCACACATTTTCACATAAACATCGGTCATGAATAAATATCCAACATAAAACATCGCTTACAGTACTCGTGAAACAGATTAGCATATATTGCACCACTGGTGTGAAATGTGTCAGGTAGGCCTACTAGTACAATTTCTACAAGTCAAATCAAGATTCATCAGTTCATTTAGGTCAATTGTACCTGAAGTTTAGGAGTGACGAGATAACAATGCACTTAACATGATGAAGAATAAAATAACTTTTTAATATTAATTCACTATCAGTATATGCAGTATCTGTTCATATAACTATCTAGATTATAGCTGACTGTTACAGTATATCAGGTATGGTATTAAACATGCATATGTCTTGGTATTTAATATAGTCGATTTAATGATCACAATTTTTTTAATTCACATTCGGTATCTACATTTATATCAGTACAGTGTGTTACATGCTAGATGAGCTGATGCTTGAAATAGGTATTTACGTTTATTCAGTAAATTTAAGTATTTGTTTATCTGTATAATTGTTACATTGAACTGAAGTTAGTTGATCAAAACATTAGGGAGTTTAAGCTTGCAGTGTTTTTCACAATCTAAACGTGAATGGAAAATATTTAAGCGATGCATTTGTATTGGCTAATGATCATACCTATAGATTGGCGTTTCGATTTTATATGCAAGCTTAAGCTCCTTATTATACACACTATGGCCTTGTTACTGTTATATCAGAAGAAATGTAGGTATGTATAATGCATTATTAATACAGTTGGTTATCATGTTTGATTTATTTGTCTGCTAAAGCTACAGTATATTCAACTGATAGGTATTTCATCAAAAAGTTCATTAGAATTAAATAGAATTGTGTCTTTTACTATTTAGTGTTTGTATTAGTAGTCTATAAGGAAAACATGCACTTTATATTGTAATTAAACAGATTTAATGAATATAATCCTGTGTTTTCACTGTACCTGAGGTTTCACTGTATCTCTGGTTTCATTGTACATGTGGTTTCACTGTATCTGAGGTTTCACTGTACCTGAGGTTTCACTGTACCTGAGGTTTCACTATACCTGTGGTTTCACTATACCTGTGGTTTCACTGTACCTGTGATTTCACTGTATCTGAGGTTTCACTGTATCTGAGGTTTTAATGTACCCTGGGTTTCACTGTACCTGAGGTTTCACTGTACCTAAGGTTTCACTGTATCTGAGATTTCACTATACCTGTGGTTTCACTATACCTGTGGTTTCACTGTACCTAATGTTTCACTGTATCTGAGGTTTCACTGTACCTGAGGTTTCAATGTACCTGTGGTTTCACTGTACTTGAGGTTTCACTGTACCTAAGGTTTCACTGTACATGAGGTTTCACTGTACCCAAGGTTTCACTGTACCCTTGGCTTAACTGTACCCATGGTTTCAATGTACCTGTGGTTGCACTGTACCTGAGGTTTCACTGTTCATGAAGTTTCACTGTACCCAAGGTTTCACTGTACCTGTGGATTGCTTAATATGGTATCAATGTACCTTACATTTACTTTTATTTAGGTGGAGTAAAATGTATTCCCTGGTGTTCATCATAATCTTGTTTCATTGTACTTTTTTCTTACCATTATAAATTGTTGTACTCTTTTCTCAAATAACAGTTACTTTTCAGTTTTAGAATTAAATATACAGATATATGTACTCCTCAAAATATTGTGCCAATGTTTGCATACCTGCCAACCTACCGTATTTTAACGGGAATCTACCGTAAATTTTTCGTTTTTCCGTAAAAAATGACAAACTACCGTAAAGAAATACCATTTTTTTCCCGTAAAAACGCCCGTAAAAAAATCTACCGTATTTTTTTCGAAATCTACCGTAAATTTTTAAAAAAAAACTCGTTTATTCCATGAGAACACCCGTAAAATCTACCGTAAATTTTTGAAAATCTTCCGTATTTCTGCTAAAATCAACAGTATTTTTGTTCAAACTACCGTAAAATTTCTGGAAATGCTGAAAATTGAAGTCTTCCTGTACTGTCCTTGTAATAATCCTTCACCAACCCGAATATAAATAGGTATCGGCAGGTCTGTGGTTATCAGGTTATTGCGCATTTATCTAAGTAAGCTTGCGTGTAATCAGCCCAAACACCAACTACCACTAGCTAGAAAGAATTCTTTGATTTTTGTAGTTTAACCAAACCCTTTTGTAGATCTTTATTCCGAATGCAACAAAAATATGATTTTAGTTGCTCTTCATCTAAATAAATGAGTGGAAATGACAAAAACTACTTGTTTTAGCGTATGAAATATGCGTAGTTTGATTTGTTATGATCAGTAATGAACGCCAAATATACATTATACATAGTTTAATCAATTTGTTTACAGTACGATAAAATGTTGTATTTTTTATCATAACACATTATATCAGTAACAAATACATAATTAAAAAATAAAGCATTGAGTTTTGGTTTATTATAAAAGTATTGTGATATCCGAATCTGAACGATGTCTCAGGGGAAAGGTTTCAGCAAATGCTCATAACAGATTATTTTTGAAAGACAATTGATCTGTACTTATTTTCTATTTGTGCCAGACAAACACATTGATATCATTAGAGACTTGCAAGTGAAAAAATCAATATTTAATACCATATGATTCCAATGTTATATGAACATTATGTCTGTCATTTCAATTCGTTAAAGTGATAGATCATCTAAGATGGTGAGTAAAAACGTGTAAAATCCATATTTTGTATTTCAGTAAATGTTTCATTGGTATTTCCAAACATCCTGATATCTGAAAAAACTGGTTAGAAGGTGAATAAAAGTGGAGATATGAATATTGTGTTCGTATTTTGAATCAATCTAGATTTATTGTAAAAGAGTTGTAAAAGAGTTGTATTCATATACATGTACATTTTGCTGAAACATTAAAATCCAAAGTTGCTGTCAGTCCAGTGTAGGCATGGTAAATGAAGAATAAAAAGTGTTAAGTCTCTATTTATTCTTGAAAATAGTATCTATTTTTCTTGAAAATAATAGTTTCGTATAATTCTCAGGTGGTAGTTCTACTTTACAAACTGTAATTATCAAAAGCACTCTTGCAGTAAAATATGTATTCACAATAACAAAAACAATATGACCACGTAAACATTGTATTAATATAGAAAACAGCATTGTATAAAGGTTTAACTACCGCATTTTTCAAAATCTACCGAAAAATACCGCATTTTGGCAAATTTTCCGCAAAAGTACCAGTTTTTCAAAAAATTACCGTAAAAACTACCACAATTTTCAAAATCTACCGTAAAACTACCGCATTTTTTCAAAATCTTCTGCAATAGTATCGGTTTTTCAAAATATTACCGTAAAAGCTACCGCAATTTTCAAAATCTACCGTAAAACTACCGCATTTTTTCAAAATCTTCCGCAAAACTACCGGTTTTTCAAAAAATTACCGTAAAAACTACCGCACTTTTTCAAAATCTACCGTAAAACTACCACATTTTTTCAGAATCTTTCGCAAAACTACCGGTTTTTCAAAAAACTACTGTAAAACCTACCGCATTTTTTAAATCTACCGTAAAACTACCGCATTTTTTCTAAATCTTCCGCAAAACTACCGCTTTTTTCAAATTTTTACCGCAAAATTACACTATTTTCAAAAATCTACCCCAAAACCTCTGAAACTAAAGTATTTTTTAAAAATCTACCGCAAAAACTACCATATTTTTTTAAACCTACCGCAAAAACTACAGTTTTTTTTAAATCTACCGCAAAAACTACCGTTTTTTTCTAAAATCTACCGAAAAAACTACCGCAATTTTGTTGAAAAATACCGCAAAAACTACCGTATTTTGAAAAAATCTACCGCAAAAATACAGCAATTTTAAAAAAATCTACCGCAAAATTTTGGTCTTAGGTTGGCAGGTATGGTTTGGTTAAATACAAAAGAATGTGCTGTGGAAAAATAATGCAATTTATGCAAACATACCTAAAAATATATATGTTTGGTAGAATTATTGATTAATGTTGATGTATGAATTACTGAAGTGCATTGTTCACATAGCTCTATGCAAATGCATGATAATTTACTGCATTATTGACAAGTGTAGAATAAAGATAAAAGGAATGATTAATTTTGTTTGATATCCACTGACATTGATCTCCCCAGGATTTTGTCTCAGGTGGGTGAGAAATTTTCATTTTCAGACCAAAATTGGTCATATTTGCCAATTTTTCATGTTTTCGAGTGGGTGCAAATTGATTTTCAGATGGTTGCAAGCCTACTCAGGTGGGTGCTGCGCCCACCTTCTTTAATGCTGGGGAGATCACTGACTGATGTTTCAGTTGAAGCAATGCTTCCTCTATCTTCTGTGTGTGTTAGATCTACTTTAATTTGCCTACTTGTATGAAAATAATATTATGTAATGATGTTTAAATTTTGAAATAAAAATACCTTCAAAATAAAATCATGTCTGTTTGTATATTTCCAGATAATATTGCTGGTATCCATAGCAACAAAGACATAATATTCAAGCCATAGCAACAAAAAAAATCAAAAATGGTTGAATCTTGTAAGAAAACGTGTACTGTGGGAACGATCATCTTAACAAATTTTGCCGATTTGGCCATAGCAACAGTCCTTTTTTGCCATGGGAATGAATTTTATAAACATTTCATCAATGGTTTCTATGGTTACCAGTTTGGAACGTCCATGTTTGACTTATGGGTATATAGTCTTGTGAGAGTTACGATATTGTTAGGCACATGCCTTGCTATTATATACAATGCTAAAAGTTCTATAGAACGTATACAAAAAGTGCAATACAAGGGCTTAATTGCCATCATCGCAGTGTTGATGTGGTCAGTGACACTGATCAAAATGCTAGTCCATTCTGAGATTAAAAATGAGATGAAGGATCCATGGTTTTGGAGCATGTTCGGCTTCACCTTATTTGGCACAGTTATGTTCTACACCCAATGGGTCATATTAGGAAATATAACACTCCCTCAAACAATACCAACCCCAGGGGCTAAAATAAATGAGACTGATGCAGAGCGACAACCATTGCTAGGTAATAACACCAGTAACCATAGTGACAGTAAATCACCGAGTAAAAGTGATGAGAAAGAGGTTAAAGGGAGTTTCAGCGCAGTAAGGAGGTTGCTGTCTATGTCTAAGACAGACTGGTTCATCATCTTACCAGCATTTACCTTTCTTTGTGTAGCAGCAGTGTGTAAGTTACTTCATATTATTGAAAGGTTAATATTGCACTATTCGAGAGAACATGTACGTGAAACGTGTAAAATTATGGTCCATTATGGGCAACTTTTAATTCACTGGCCTTTCTTCGCCCGATTCAGTATGATGATGTGAGGAAAATAGTTGCATTAATGTCCCCGTTTTTAAACCACTTGAGAGGTTGACACCAATTCCAAGGGGTCTTAATATTATATGACGTTAATATGTTCAAGTTCTCCCAAATGTGTGTAACTTAACCTCTATATTTTCCTTATATATCTGTAGAAGTAAAAGTGTTGGACATTCATAATGCTTATTTTCTGTGCATAGATATTTTAATTTCTAACAAGTTTTATTTTCATTATTCTATTGTGTAATATGACCAGATATGTATACCTCATATTAAAAGAACCTGTAATATATGCAAAATTTTATAAATATTTTATTCCAAGTACTGAACTTGACCAACTGACCAAAAGAAACAAACTTATTTGCAGCTGAAATATTTGTGCCGTTTTATACTGGGAAAGTTATAGATGGCATTGCGATTGAAAAAGATCAACAGAAGTTTACGTCAGCAATCATTAAGATGTCACTTCTCAGTATCTCAAGGTATGTGTATTTGTGGGAGCTATACTTATCCCCCTCCATAGGTGTTTATCAGTAGCAGGCATAAGGCTATTCTTGTCAGTTGTTTTTTAAAAAATTTCTAGTGTTCTATTAGCCTCTGTCTCAAATATTCTGTATTTAGGAATTGTAATTAATTTCTTATAAAATCTTTGTGGTGCTTTTTATGTCAACACCACAAGTGGTGACATATTGTATAGTCTCCAACTTTATTCTGGACTGTGTTCGGCAGTTGGTACATGGTGTTCAGTGTTTGGAGTGCAGTGTAGCAAATGGCAGGTGGAGACATTTTGCATGTTAATGGCTTGTTTCCTATATGCCATCCTCAAGATTGACTTCATCCTTTTTATGTAATCGTATGTAATGAAATACTGTTTTATCCAGATTACAAATTAGAAAGAAACCTTGATCAGTTATTGAAATTCTCTAACCTTGCAGAAAAAAACACAGATTTTCTTATTATTAATTTGTTATTTTCATGCCTGTCAACATTACAGGACTATTCAGAAAAAATCTCAATTAAGACACTTCTTTTCTCATGATATAATGTTGACTAATTAATAAATTCTCCCTCAGAGGGATGGGTGTAAGTCAATGTTTTCTTTTAGGAATAATTCACCATTATGGATTCAAACACAAACTTTTTATGACATTTTTATTTATTTCTTTAGTGCCATAGCAACTGGTTGTCGAGGAGGGTTATTCTCTCTTGCTATAGCGAGGCTAGATATTCGAGTACGTAATTTCCTGTTTAGCTCTCTGCTGAAACAAGATGTTGGCTTTTTTGACTCAACAAGAACCGGTAAGTAATGAAAAAAGAAGAGTACTATCATTCACGTAGAAGTTATTTCTTAACTTTCTGATTGATACTACACTTATGTGTCTTGATTTTTTCACTGTTTTGGTTTTTATGACATTACTTTCTGTCACATCTTAATTGTATTATTTACAAGTACACTTTATTGAAATTAAAAAAAAAAAATTTTTTTAAACTTTAATGATGATCTTACTGCTTGACATTACATGTAAATTAATTAATTTGATGTATCAATTGTGGGTGATACAAAATGTAATCATTTTGAAACAGGACATTACAATAAGTGAATGGCATTATTATTTAATGGATATGACATCATTTTCCATGATGATACCATTGCAGGTGAGATGACATCAAGGCTGACATCAGATACATCCACAATGAGTGACACGCTGGGACTGAACATGAACATTTTTCTACGTAGTTTTGTCAAAGGAAGTAAGTTTAAATTTACTCTATGATTTAATTAGTTTAAGTTTAAGTGTAAAGTTTAAATAGTTAAGTTTAAATGAACTGTGTAAAGTTTGAAAATATATTCACGCATAGGCAAGGTGTGTCCGATTCCAACAAACCGGAACACAGTATTTAATATAACTGCACTGCATTATATAAGCAATCACCACATCTAAGGTCATTCGTTGAATAGTTGTCACGGTGACAACTTGACTACAGATTGAAATTGATGCTTTGCCAACTTGTTCTTTAAGAGATTTCGTATGATTTAGGTAATTTCATAGAAAATATTTTGCAATATGTGAAAAGAATTTAAGCTCAAGACTTAATGCACTGTGGCTGATTCATTCCACTCTGGCATTGTTTCCTAAACTTTGCATTCCTGCTGTGTGGTCATGCAAAGGTTTGGAAACAACACCTTCAGAGTAATCGATTCAGTCCACAATGCACCGAGTCCAGTTGAAATTTCCTTACAATGACTCATGCCCGGTGATCGTTCAAAAATAATACTAGAAGACCTAACATATTTTGCCATGCACATCGCCTAATCATTTGGCAATTCAGTTGTAAATTTTCTCTTTAATTTCCAAATTTGTTGAGTTTTCTTGCAGAAATCACCTACTCCCCCCTCCATCCATTTTGTACGATCACCGGGCGTGTGACTAAACTATACCAATATACTGCTAAATGTAAGGTACCATGTTGTTCACCTCATGCTTTGTTGGCCTTCATGTATTTACAAAGTACATCTATGTTTTGTCTTTTCTAGTTGGTGTGTGTATCTTCATGTTTAACCTGAGTTGGAGATTAAGTATGATCACATTTATAGGACTACCAATCATTACTGCTGTTTCAGCCGTTTATGGAGATTTTTACGAGGTGAAGTTTTAAAATTACATGTAGATTATTGTGAGGTGAAATTATTAATTATGGGGATTAATAAGAGATAATTTTCATTAATATGGGGGTTATTTTGAGGTTATACTCCTTATGGAATCTCAGACCTGAGAAGATACCTTAAGGTGGGTTTATCCTGACACCCCACATTATACATGCCCTCTGGTTTGGAAATTCAGATCAAATATGAAACGAATAACTATTATACAAGTTTGTATTTCCAGAAACTGTCCAAACAAGTGCAGGAATCTCTGGCTAAAGCCAATGAAGTGGCAGAAGAAACATGCTCTTCAATAAAGACGGTATACTTATAATTTTGAAAATGTTTATAATTATAGAAAAGATTATTTTGCATTCAATGCTTGTACAGATGTGTGATTGAAAAAAGCAAAAGTTCCTTCAAGTCCTCTCCTAAGCACAGTACTGTATACAGATAAAGTATTAATATACCAGGTTGCAAAGATTTAAAGGATACAGATTTCCTATTTTTCCAAGTATTAATATACCATAGGTTGCAAAGATTTAAAGGATACAGATTTCCTATTTTTCCAATATAGGCTTCTCTCCGCAATAGAAGTCTTAATACATGTATATATCAATAGGCAAATTTTTAGAATTTTTGTCATTTTATGAACAATTTCACATACGGTATCTTATTCTGCACCACCAGAAGAGTGACATATCATTATAGTCTCCAACTTTTTCGTGGGTGGACTTTTCAGTGTTTTGTACTCAGCATTTGATGGCAGGTGGTGACATTTTGTTTGTCCTTGTTTTGTTGTATATTCTGAATTCATGTATTTTATTTTTATATTGTGCCCAGGTTCGAAGTTTTGCTAATGAGATGAACGAGATTGACCGATATGCTGTCAAATTGAATGTGACTTACAAAGTCAAACTCAAAGAGTCTGTCACGTATGCTGGCTATGTCTGGATTAATCAGGTATTTTTTTAATTTGTTATGAAACAACCAAAAAATGAATTCTTATATCAAAATTAATAAAAGAATTAGATCACTAAATGAGAAATTTAAATTTTTTTCTTGAAATAGCAAAGCAACTACTGTTCTGGTCATTATTAGTATATTCATAGAACACATTAAAATCTGCACTTTATCACAATTGAATATAAATAGAAAATAAATAATAAAATATATATAAATATAAATCTGCTTAAGATAATTTACCTGTTATTGCGTATGTATATGTACTAGCGAAGCTGCATTAACTCCAGGATCATAGACTTGATTTATGTGTGTTTGCTTTCAATTTCAGCTGTTTGCTCTTGGCCTGGTTGTTGGCACATTATACTATGGCGGCCATCTTGTAGTTAATGATGTCCTCACTGGTGGGACGTTGGTCTCATTCATTCTATACCAGATTGAGCTTGGTGGTGTGATTGAGGTAATATATTTTGATCGCTATACCAATATGTATATTTATGGTATGATCTGTAAAATGAAGCCCTCTGATTGGTCAGTTCTTGTGCTGTACCAATCTGTATTGTTACTGAGATTGTCCCCATTGTTCATCTCCGTAGCAATACGAGAATATTGGTACGGAGGGGACAATCTCAGTAGCAATACAGAGAATACAGAATATTTCTTAGGGATTATCTCCTTAGTAAAATGTATTGGCATAAGGCCACACCATAAAAACGTTATTGAATGATTTGAAGTGCAACACAGGATATATTCTGCTCGAGAAATTCTGTATGGACGAGACAAAGTAACTTATGATATTATGATGGCTATACTTACCTTGAAATCTCTTTTGTGCAGCACCTCAGACATTTACATTTATTTTACTCACATACATTTGCCAGCCTCCAGTAGTTTTCAAAAAACCTACACTGTTTCAATACATTTTTGGAGATAAAATAACATGTTGGGAGGAAAGAAATGCTGGAATAAGCATATTATTCCTTAGCACATCATTTTGTTCATTGTTGCTTAGAGGAGTAAGAATGTAGTTGTAGTTAGAAGGACATTAATTAGAATATTCCGTCATAACTCACAATGTGAGTAAAAATAATAAGAAAAACCTAAGTTTATTTTCAAGGATAACAATCCTGAGAAAAACCTATGTGTATTTTCAATGATAACAATCCTGAGAAAAACCTATGTGTATTTTCAAGGATAACAATCCTGAAAAAAATCTATGTGTATTTTCAAGGATAACAATCCTGAGAAAAACCTGTGTGTATTTTCAAGGATAACAATCCTGAGAAAACCCTATGTGTATTTTCAAGGATAACAATCCTGAGAAAAACCTGTGTGTATTTTCAAGGATAACACTCCTGAGAAAAACCATCGTGTTCTTAGCCCAGATGCAAAATCAATACTACTATTGCCACCTATAATCCACATACCAGTATATAAAAAGTCCTATCTTCTAGGAAATTGGCTGGGTATGGACGGGTCTAATGCAGGCAGCAGGGGCATCAGCAAAGGTGTTTGAGTATGTAGACAGAAAGCCTGAAATTCCAAATACTAAAAATGGCAAGACACCTGAGAAACTAGAAGGTCTCATTGAATTCAAGGATGTGACATTTTCTTACCCATCAAGGCCAGACACTGATGTACTGAAGGTATGTGATAGAATCGTAATCATTCATGAATACGGGGAACTTACATGTAAATGAGACATTGTTACGTTAATTTTGTTGAAGTAAACCATGTTACAATATTATCTGTGTCACTTACATTTTTCTACCATTTATTCAGTCAATGTGTCATGTCAACATGTATTTACCATATACACTGTATTTAGATTTTAGAATGTCTCATTGTGTTTTAGAATGTGTCATTAATAGGCTGTCTCATTATATTTCAGGACATATCATTTAGTTGGAGTTAATTTCCAATTGTTCTAATGGGCCCCAGTGGTAAATCCTCCTGCCCTAAACTCCCATGTTTTACAATTTAGATGGTGTCATTGTATTTCAGGATATATCACCATGTATTCCATACCTACTAAGGTCCTAGGTAAATAACGAGCGGGAATATATACTGTATCTAGGGATCTATCAACGAGGAGCGGGGCGGGATGGATACAGCCTGTATCCATCCCGGTCCCGCTCCTGAACATTTTTTTCCAAATGTTTTTTCAACATTTTTTTCAAATTTTTTTTTCAATTTATTTTCACATTTTATCACATTTTTTTCATTTTTTCAAATTTTTGGGAAATCTCGCAATCTATAAGAACAAGAAAACGTGTACCGTATGTTTTGGAATTTTGGAACTTTATAAGGTATGATGTACCTAAATCCTTAGTAGGTATGAAATACATCTGTTATGTACGGTCGGTTTTGAATACAGGATTTATCCCGCAGGAAATATGTGTATCTCCCTCGGTCCCTGCGGTCCCTCGGGAGATACACATATTTCCCTTGGGATAAACCCTGTATCCAAAACCTCCCAGTACATAACCCTTATGTATTCCATACCTGATGAGGTTTTAGGGACATATCAACCGGGAATATATTCCATATCCGGGCAAATATTTTTCGGATGTCCCGCTCCAACGGAGCTCCGGGACATATAAATCGTATGTCCCGCTCAAAAAAATTTTTGAAAAAAATTTGAAAAATAAATTAGGGAAAAAAATTTGAAAATGAAAATTTGAAAAAAATTGTGGAAAAAATTATGTAAGAAAATTTTGAAAAAAAATTCTGAAAAAGAAATTATGGAAAAAAATGTGAAAAAAAGTTTGAAAAAAATGTGAAAAAAAAATTTGGAAATTTTCAAAAAGTTGCAAAATATATACTTTCAAATTTTCTTCCAAATTTTTTTTCAAGTAAACACACAAGAGCATATGGGATACATGCTTATTATTTCAAACCTCATCAGGTATGGAATACAACAGTTATGCACGGTCGGTTTGGATACAGGAAATATCCCTTGGGATATACAATATATCTTCCCTTGGTCCCTTGGTCCCTCGGGAAGATATATTGTATATCCCTCAGGATATTCCCTGTATCCAAAACCTCCCAGTGCATAACCCCTATATATTCAAGCTTCATTATGTTCTAGAATGTGTCACCAAATATTTAGAATGTGTCATCTTATTTCAGAATGTGTCATTCAGTGTTAACCCAGGGGAGGTAGTTGCCCTAGTGGGTCCCAGTGGAGGAGGGAAATCTTCATGTGTTAACCTTCTGGAACATTTTTACGAAACTAAAGCTGGGAATGTGCTGCTGGATTCAGTGCCTATACAGGATTACGACCATAGTTATCTTCATACAAAAGTAAAGTTTTTAGTAGTTTGATAGGTAGTTTCGGAGGCTGCAATAGATAAAATTGAATTGAATTGAACTTGAATGATTGCTTGACTTCATTGAAATGATGACACTTGTTTGATTTATTGACTCTGTAATCGATTGAAAGGTCATGAACATACAGGGTGTCCCGAAAGTATGCCCCCCCCCCCTAGGCAGACATATACCAGTGTCGTCATAGTTTGTGTCATATATCATTTTAAAGCTTATTCAAAGTTACATTGATTCACCAAGTATCATGGTTCAGTAACTCTCAAATGTGAAAAAATTACAGACATTTCAAAATTTAGTGTTTGGTCAAATTTAAGTTCAATTTTACACCAAATCACTAGTCAATGTGTCCTTACGGGCCATTTTAACAGCAGCAATTTTTTTCGAGTCGGATGGATATTGAGTTGGAAAAAGAGAACGGTGAGGGTAGAAATTCTAAGGAAACTCTTCTAAAGTCCCTTAACAGGTTTTAAGAGGGTTATAAAATTCCACACCCCTATTTGAAGGGCTTTTAAGGTCATATCTGAAAATAATTGCTGCTGTTAACATGGCCAAGGGGGGACTCATTGACTAGTAATGTGGTGTAAAATTGAACTTTATTTTGACAAAACACTAACTTTTAAAATGACTGTAACTTTTCCCATTTGGGAGTTAAACCATGATACTTGGCAAATCAATGTAACTTTGGATAAACTTTAAAATGATATATGACACATACTATGAGGACACTGGAATATGTCTGCCTAGGGGGGGCCCGATAGTTTCGGGACACCCTGTATTTTAATAGCTGACTTTGACCAATCAGCAGATTTGTGTTTTATTGTACAGATTGCATTGGTTGGCCAAGAACCAGTGCTATATGCTAGATCAATAGAGGAGAACATAGCGTATGGCATGGAAAATATTGGAACAGAGAAGATACACCATGCTGCTAAACTGGCCAATGCTCATAACTTCATCATGGACCTCAAAGAGCAGTATAAAGCAGAAACAGGCGAGAAGGGGGCGCAGCTATCAGGTAAGGCTCAGTGCTAATCATGGTCAAATACTGTTCATATATACAAGATACTTCATTTTTGGCTATTCCATCTACTCAAATCAAACTTCAGTAAATACTGGGTATTTGGGAATTTTGTATGTTAGTTTGAACTAATACAGGCAAAATTTTAATTTCAATCCCCAAAATGACAAAAATGGGAATTTTCATTTGTGTAACTGAATTATATATAATGTAATTGTAAAGAGTATTCTTGGTGAATAAATAGTACCCAAATTTATTTTTTAATTTTGTGATATATTTTTTATTTCCAGGAGGTCAAAAGCAAAGAGTGGCAATAGCCAGAGCTTTAATCCGTAATCCAGTCATTCTTCTCTTAGATGAAGCCACTAGTGCTCTAGACTCAGAGTCAGAACATGTAGTACAACAAGCCATATATAACAACATAGCTGGTAAAACTGTTATCATCATCGCCCATAGACTTAGCACAGTAGAACGTGCTGATAGAATCGTTGTCATTGAAAAAGGACAAGTTGTTGAACAAGGAAAACATAGAGACTTATTACAAAATGGTGGAATGTATTCACAACTTGTTCGTCGCCAGTTGCTAGGGTTTGAGAATACTCCAAAAGAGAAAGAATTAACTCAGAGTGATATTCATAGAATTGATAGACAAGAGAGTGAGGATTTGGAATTGAAGAATAGAGGTACAACGAGGGGAGAATCTTCATCATTGGTGGACATTCCCAGAGTGAGAGTTGGCTCTTTAATAGACACAGGAGTGGGATCTATGTAATTGTAATTTCCATAGTACTTTAATACATTTGTTTTCCTCTGAGGGAATTCAATTGTAATTTGTTTTTAAGTAGGCCAACAGTTTTGAATATCACATTGGAGATGTTATTGGGTATCATACCTGCTCTGTGTTGCAGCTGAGTGGTCACCTTAGCAACCAAATCATCACTTAAAGCCCCACTATGCTTACTTCAGAAGAAAAAAGGATAAAATAATCATTGAAACATGTTACTCACACACTGAATCAAAGATTTGCATTAATATTGAACATAGAAAAAAAATTCCAAGCAGAAAAAAGCATTTATAGTTCAGAGATTATTAGTAGTACATGCCCATGTTTGACAAAGTGCATGTTTTAAATAACTCTTGATTTAAAAGATGGCGACACTTCTATAGAAATGAATGGATCCTGTGATACAAACAAATTCGCTATCTTTCATTGACATTGGCAAAAACTTGATATATAAACTTGATAGATCAAAAATATTATTTGATAATTTATTGTAAGCTTTGATGTGGCCCGTTTGAGCTGTTTTTTGGTGTCCAATAAAAGACAAAGTAATGTACTTATCAATCCATTGAAAATACTATGAAGTCAAAAAGTTAATAGAATGTTGAAAATATGCATAGTAGGCCTTTGATTTCATATCCACTTTTTGTATCCTATGTTCGTCTTTCTTTTTGGACACCCTATACTTAATGATATTTTGTGCCAAGATATACATTTTAGAAGTAAATGTAGTTACAGTATTGAGATGAATTTTAAATGTTTACAAATGAATTATCTAGTCTAAAAGAGAATGTACAACTCATACTACTTTTCTTTTTTGACGAATAAATAAATATATGTTGTGGCAACAATAGATGCATCTTCATAAGTTTGTTGAAGTGTTGCTCTTCTTGTCCTTACCTTCCATTGAGTACGAGTATGTGCATAGTATATCTGCTGTTCCTGGTAAAGCTGGAATTGCCCAATGCCTTGTTCGGCTGTTTGAGGTGACGTTCGCCTTTTCCATGCAATAAGTAGCCAAGCTGGAGTCTGTGTATAGTGAATTGATTCGCCTTTTTCAAAAGAATGAATTCTCCATTGACTATTATTGTTTCTCGTACTGTATAACCAGGAGAACATCGCATCGAAATGATCTCCCATATTTTCAATATTAAGCATAATACACAGATTTGTATGCAAGGTTGGAAAGTCAGTTTAACCTAACTAAGCATGTCTAACTACTACTAATATAAACAAAACATGTATTCCAATCTGTACTGAACGCGGAATGCTTTAATACTAATAGTTACCATCATTGGTGTTATACAACGAAGGCAAAAACGAAAAGGATGGTAAATTGGAGACGGCGACATCGATGTATCGCAGGATGAATATGATAGTTTAACACAGGCTTAGGGTGAATGGGGAGGATCAAATACGCACGGTGAATAAGATAGTAACCTGGTAGCTCCTGAGGAACTAATCCACGAGATTTAATGGTGGTCGATGAGGGTTGTCAGGTGACCAGGCCTCATCCTGAGTTGCATGTTAATCTTATGGAGGAGCTGCAAATTTTGTCTCATTATTTCAGTTATTATCATTGGTGATGATGTTACATGTTAAAGTGTCATTGAGAGAACTTTACTATTCTGCCATCTTTATATCAGCCCAAGACATAATGAGTACAACACAGTCATTGGTGGAATAGAGTGCAAAAGCTTATGAATAATTAAACAGGTGGCTTTTGGCAAGTTTGAATTTTTAATGAACACCATGAGACTGCGGAGTAAGAAGGGCCGTGAGGATAGACGGGCCACTAAGTTTATTCTATTGTTTGCAAATATATTTCGTCTGAGAGTTTGCCCTAGGATTCTCTCACGACAGGGGATCATCATGGCACCGACCTCACCAGCTGTTGATTTTGCTTCATTTAGGTGCCAGATTTAACGCAGGGGGCTAACCCCGGGGGGCTAAGAGTGCATGACGCATGGTGATTACGATATAGTTTTAAGGTCTCATGGAAGTTAACAGGAAGTGACAAAACAAAAAATGACAAAGCCATGCTGGATTTTGAAAATCTTTTGAACCAAGATAACAGAGTTCTGTTTGGACCTCCAGTCAGTTTAACTAGTTCCACATATCATTTACATGACCAGGAACACAGTTGAAATGGTCAGAATGACCATAAACATGATAGAATAACCTTTTCAGCCCTCTGAAAATGTGACTAAAAAATAGCTAAGAGTAGGTGCTCAGGAAAGGTCACTGAACAGAATCTTTTGACTTTTTCAGAAAATGTGCCCAATATATTGCTCTAAATGATACAATTCAAAAAAATTTGATATCATTCTTAGAAAAAGAAAAAATTGAAAAAAACTGAATTGAAAATCGATCTATTTTCCTTTTTACTACAGCCATTATTGTTTCAGACGATTTTTTAAAATTTCAAAGATTGTGTCATTTAGAGCAATATATTGGACACATATTCTGAAAAAATCAAAAGATTCTGTTCATTGACCTTTCCTGAGCACCTACTTTTAGCTATTTTTCAGTCACATTTTCAGAGGGCTAAAAAGGTTATTTTATCATGTTTATGGTCATTCTGACCCTTTCAATTGTGTTCCTGGTCATGTAAATGATATTTGGAACTAGTTAAACTGACTGGAGGTCCAAACAGAACTCTGTTATCTTGGTTCAAAAAATTTTCAAAATCCAGCATGGCTTTGTCATTTTTTGTTTTGTCATTTCCTGTTAACTTCCATGAGACCTTAATAAGAGAGAGTGACGCAGATAGAATAGGAAGGTATAAAACAGAATACAATTAAATTTTATTTGATGTGAATGTTTTTACGAATGTAATACAATGTAATGTTTGTTTATTTCCAGATCAGCATTCGATGTTGTGGGTTTCCAAAGCAACAAACTATTCATACTAAAACTTGGAGCAAGTATACAAAAATGGTTGAATCTGTGAAGAAAATTTGCACGATTGGAGCAATTATATTTACAAACTTGGTCGATTTGGGAACAACAACAATACTATTCTGTCATGGCAATGATTGTTATAAATATTACACCAATGATGTCTATGGCTACCAATTCGGGACGTCCATCTTTGACCTGTGGGTGTTTAGTCTGTTTAGAGTCTCGTTGCTATTGGGAACCTGCGTGGCTATTATATATAGTCCTCAAAGTTCCATAGAGCGCATACAAAAAGTACAATACAGGACGACAATAATCCTCATCGCTGTGGCAATGTGGACAGTTACACTTGTGAAACTACTTGTCCATTCTGACTCTAACACTGACTTTCAAAAGCCATGGTTTTGGAGTATTTTTGGTTTTACCTTACTTTGCACAATCATGTTTTACACACAATGGGTTATACTAGGAAATATAGCGCCCCCTCAGAGTAGACTAGCTAAAATAAACAAAACTGATCCAGAGCGACAACCGTTGCTAGGCAATAGCACCAGTACCCATATTGACGATGTATCACCTAACAACAACGATGAGAAAAAGGTGAAGGAAAGTTTCAGTGCTGTGGGAAGATTGCTGTCTATGTCTAAAAAAGACTGGTTCATTCTTTTGCCTGCGTTTATCTTCCTTTGCGTAGCAGCAGTATGTAAGTATTATATTTTTTTGCAATTATGAATCAGATCTGGATATGGCAACAGTTTTTGTGACCAAGATGTATTTTTGAAGTACACTTGGAATGCAAAAGTAAATTCAGATACAAACTTAGCCAGATTTACAACTATTTCTTAAAAGTGCATTTTGAATTAAACTGACGAACAATTTATATTTTATAGTTTTGCAAAGGAGTGGTATCGATATGGTGAACTTTTTGAACACACGTTTCTCTTAAACAAGTCATAAAAATCTAAAAATTTAACACATCGTCAATTTGATGGTGATCTTTTGAATGGTAACAGTATAATTTGAAAAATATGTATATACTTTCATCTATATTGTTTTAGGAAACACATCAAACACTTGTTTTGTTCTTGGTATCATGTTTCCAGAGTGAAATGAAACATCTTTCCGAACCTCATTGGAATAAAACGACATAAACACAATATGTTTAGGTCTCTCAATATTGTAATTGTACAAAGGAAATTTTGGTTGATTTAAAAAAAGTATTTTGTTAATGAAATAAAAGATGTATCTTGATTTTTATCTATTTTGGGGGGATTCTGTTTAAATTTTTTTGAATACTTTTTTTAAAATCAATCAAAAATTCCTTTGTATAACTATAATATTGAGAGGTCTAAAAACATGTTGTATATGCTATTTTGTTCCAACAAGTTTCGGAAAGACATTTTTTCATTCTCAAGAATTGGTAGAAAGGAGCAAAAACAATTGCACTAAAAAAACAAAGAATGTTAACAAAAACAGTTATATAAAATATTTCTAAATGATTTTCGCATTAAATTGTTGTCAATCAGTCAAGATTACATCAAATACCGTGTTTTTACAGAATGTTTTCAATAGTTGGTTGAAGAGAAAAACATTGTTGAATTCAGTTCACCATATTCTATTTCAGCTGAAATATTTGTGCCGTTTTATACCGGCAAGGTTATAGATGGCATTGCAATTGAGAAAGATAAAGAAAAGTTTACTTCAGCAATTGTCACAATGTCACTTCTTAGTGTAGCGAGGTAAGGGCAATACTTTTAATCAACTGAATAGTAAAGTCATCATTATTAGAATTGATGGAAAAATAGTTTGTAATTTGATTAGAAAAGGTTACTATTATTCACATACATGAATGTTTCCAATAGAGAACTTGTTTGTAGACATGGTAGATGGATAATTGATGGCAATAGTGGATTAAGCTAGCTAGAATGTTCCATTTCATAATGGAGAAACTCAAAAAGTTACTTCATTATATTACTATATATAATCTACTAACTAAATGCTTACGCATTTTCTGAGTGTCCTTTTAAACCCTATGGGCATAGTACTATTGATAATATCACTCTTTTATAGTGTCATAACATGTAAGAATATAGCACGAAACCTATATGTATGTATAATTTATTTGCCTCTTAATAACAAGAGAGTTACATTCACAAATTTATACAAAAAAATTAAAAAGTAAAAGCATCAGACAAAGATTAATAAAGAGTAGGTAATGTACAGTAATTAGACATTTTTTAACAGCAGTTGTCTCTGCTTATGCATTATGTACACTTTCTGTGATATGGATAATAGTTTCTCATTGTCACAACATACTATACCAAGTATTACCTTAAGAATAAAATTGTCATCTTGAACATTCAGATTGGTCATTGCAATGTTAATCATGGGTTCCCTGACTCCAGAAAGAGCCGGACACTTTAATAAGAAATGTTTCACAGTTTCATTTTCATTGAGCTCACAGAGCACACATGTCTTACATACAGATGTATCACCCTCGCGACGTCTACTATTTAAATCATACGTTCCAGTTAATAATTTGATCATAATCTTAGTACAGTACACAAAATTGGGGTTATTTTTAGCAATAATCCACCAAACATTTGGCTTAAATTCCAACAAAGAACCTGCCATCATATTTAAACTCTTGTACATCAATGTCGATAGCACAGTGGTACGAGTATTAAAATCTTTGACTCTCTTATAAATAGTATATCTAAAATTCAGTTTACTTGGATATTTAGCATTAAAAACCATTTCATTCACAATGTCAGTAAGGTTATACTTAAGAACCGTTTCCCACATGTAATAAATGGGGGACTTCATGTGTTTACAGGTTACATTTGTGTCAAGTAGCCTGGTTGCTACGGGATCTGGTGTATTCTTAGGTAAAGACTGTATTCGCTTGCCAATCTCTCTATGCGCGCATTCCATCAGTTTGATGTCATCTTCTGAGTATGGTATTACAGCACACCCGTAGGTCATAGTTGGATAAGCGAAGGACCAATATAACTTTGAAGCTAATAATGGGTGAATGCCACCGCACCCATTTCCCAGCCCTAATAGTGAACAGTATTTTCTTCTTGCTGCAGATATTGCACTTTTCACATGATCTTTTGTTTTACCAAGAGGGATTCCAACGTGTTGAGCTGTCTGAACAGTTTTAAGGGATGCTGTCCCGAGTTTGAAATCATACGATGTCCTTTTAGCTGGACCATAAGTCATTATTACACATTTATCTGGGTGGAATTCAAACCGCCAACGTCTGCTGTATTCATGTGCAACCTTAAGTAGTGTATTCATATATTCTGGTTCAGTAGTTATTAGCGCGAGATCATCGGCGTATGCAGGGCAGCCTACAGGGTGTCCCCCAATCTTTGCAATACAATTACTGTCTATTAAGTCATTTAAGAGGTCGGCAATGAAGAATTGGTAGAGATGCATACTGCAGACGCCGCCTTGGTGGACTCCCCTACGCACGTAGAAAGATTCAGAATTCATTACACCATTTACAAGAACTCTACATTTATATTTGCAATATGACTGATATAAGATACGCCAAGCAAGTCCATTAATTCCGGTTTGGTACAGTTTACAGAACAGCCCATCAATCCAGGTACCATCGAAGGCTTTCCGAATGTCCATTAACGCCAAAAATACTCCTTCTTTAACATTATGTGATATGACTTCCTGAAGCAAAAAAGATGTGTGAAGTGAAGAACACTTTTCGACTGAAGCACCCTGAAGTTGAGGGATAGCATTTCTGAGCCTTGGGAGCATCCTAGCAAGTACAATATTATCAAATAGTTTTCTTAAAATACTCATTAACGTTATACCTCTGTGGTGGTCTTTGTTAAGGCAATCTTTGTTACCTGACTTTAAAAGAGGAATAAGAATTCCTGTACAAAAGTTTTCTGGAATATATTCACTAACACGAATAACGTTAAAAAGCAGTGTTAGAAAAGTAGTCATACATGGGCCACCATATTTAATATGTTCAGCATTTAAACCATCGTGACCGGCAGCTCTATTATTATTCAATTTTAGTATACACTTATTAACTTCCTCAGTCGTAAAATCAGTGTCTAAAATACCATCTTTATTAAATACAGAATTCATTTTCATCATATTCATGTCAGAAACAACCTCGTTTTCAAAATGATTATCAAAAATATCCCTATGGTCAAATGAAGCCAACTTACAAAAATATGATTGCCATTCATTACAAACTGCCGAAGGATCCATTATAATTTCCCCATTGTCCGCTCTAACAGCGCCTGTTGATTTACTATTACACTGTCGACTTTTATTCAAAAGATACCAGAATGTTCGTTGGTCCATTTCGTCAAGTTCGTATAAATCATTTAACTTTTTGTGCTCGTACTCGACCTTGTATTTGTTAAAAGCCGCCCGGAATATCCTCTTTGAGTCCTTGTAAATCTTTCTTGTGGTATCCATAACATCCCTCGGTCTCCCTGCATTCACCCAAACATGCCAAGCCCGTTTCTGTTGTTTCTTCAGCCGAGTTAAATGGCTGTTCCAAAATGGTTTCTGATGTTTCATGAATTTTTTAAGTGGAATAACTGTATAACCTGTATATCTGAACACCTGGCTAATACGAACACCTCCCAATCTGAACACTTATTTTCGGTCCCATTTTTTCCTCCCATTGACTCCCATGTTAAAAAAATTAAAATGTGAACACCTCTCAATTTGAACAGTGAACAGTCATATTTGAAAAATTAACCTGTCTAATCTGAACACTTTTCATAAAATTTCACATGTTTCATTCAAAGTTATGATTCAAATTGTTATGATATCAAAACTTTGGGAAAAAAACTTGAATGGTCTTGATTATAATAGGGATTTCCAGCATGACTAGATTCATTTGAATCGAATTTTCAAATTTTTGAAATGCTATAAAGCTATGTGGTCAAATGAACTTTAAATATGTACTGAGAATGTGTTCACATTTCTTCAGATTCCGGAATCTCGCGAATGCAAAAACCTCGAAATGTGAACACCTCCTAATTTGAACTGTTTAAGCAGGTCCAAATGGTGTTCGGATTAGACAGGTTTTACTGTACTAAGCACTTGGTTACTAATGTTGTATTGTGTGATTTTGCAAGAGCAATGCGAATAGATATTGACCAAAAAATCATTACCAATTTGGGTCATTGTCGTGAGTATAGTATATACGTTATATTTTTGCAGCTCGATTGCTGCCGGTCTTCGTGGGGGTTTATTCAAAGTTGCCAAGGCTCGACTGGACATTCGAATTCGTAATTCTCTCTTCAGTTCTTTACTACACCAGGAGGTTGCGTTTTTCGACACTGTTCGAACAGGTACACGGTTTTTCTTCAATAGGGAATTTAAGCTTGCGTATAAAATCGAAACGCCAACCTATATACGTATGACCGATCGCCCATACAAAATGCAACACTTAAATATTTACAGTTCACGTTTAGTTTGCAAGCATTGCAAGCTTAAAGTCCCTATTTTCAATTTGACAACATTATTATAAACACGACTTGACAATACATGAAATGGCAAAGCAGTGATAAATCATATTGAACTATATGATAGTTGTATGACATCATCATTGTAGGTGATATGACATCACGACTGACATCAGATACATCTACAATGACCCTTGCGCTAGGCACCAACACTAATATATTTTTAAGGAATCTTGTCAAAGCAAGTAAGTGTAAAACTTTTAAATCATTCATGTATTTAGACAATAACTAAGTGTCATTCAAATGGTGAAATGCATTATTGTTTTTATTCAACGTTTAAACTTTTTTCATTGAATTTGACATTATTAGGGTCTGAATATTCCTCAGGTATGTCATGTTTAAATGAAAAGAAACGCATATATGCATTTCTCCTGCAGTTGGTGTGTGTATCTTCATGTTTAAGCTGAGTTGGAGACTAAGTATGGTGACGTTTATAGGACTACCAATCATTACTGCTGTTTCAGCAGTATATGGAGATTATTACGAGGTAAGGTTTTAATGATATAAAATGTCCTCAAATGAAGATTAGTATATACAGGGTGGGCCACAAAACGCCACTTTTTCAAGACATTTTGCAGTTATATAGTGCCAGGGGTTCTTAGTAATAATATAATGTAACAAGTCCTTCAACTTGGATCTTATTTAATGATATATTTTACTTGTAGTCGCCTTGCTGTTATAGCATATGTTAGCTTAAGTTTTTTTCAACCTGACTTAATTGCCAGCTTTAGTAGATGTCATGATATGTATTCTATTATGCTAATTATAACATATTCTTGAGTTTTGTTTATTACTTACTTATTAGGCAATTAACTTTGTATTAGATTTTTTGCATACTGTACTAGTTAATAATAATTAGCAAGGTAAAAGGTAGAGACATGAATAAGTGTTAACTAAGTATGAGACGTAAGCCAGTGTGTATGTAGAGTGTGCAGTAGCAAGATGTAGGTGATTTTGTAACCTTGAATAACTTGAATAAAGAACCTTAAAAAGACTTCTTGACAAATGGGGGCTAGTCCGGGAATTGAACTCGGGACCTCTCGCAGTGTGTATGTAGAGTGTGCAGTAGCAAGATGTAGGTGATTTTGTAACCTTGAATAACTTGAATAAAGAACCTTAAAAGACTTCTTGACAGTAGAGCAATTACTCAGATGCGAGTAGGTAGTTACCAGTTTCGCCACCAGGTGGCTGATTCGGGGGGAATAACATGGCAGGGTATTTGCAAAATTCCCTTAAACTTGAATGTTCATCAGTTTTAGTGGTTCACTTTTCATATTACCCTTATGTATCTGATAGTTATACAAATTAAAATATGTCCAGTAAAATAAAATATTATCTGCCCAACACAAGAAAAGATATTTCACTTTTTTTGATTTTACAACATGGGGGCTATGGGGAATCTCCCCGACCTAGAAGTCACATTTTCAAAGAAAAGTAAATTTTCAAAGTTGATAAACTCTTTTCAAAACCATATTTCTAGATGTCATTTTACATGTAGATTCCAAATATGACATCAGTTTGACTGAATTTGCATTTTGAATGACGTAAATCAAGATTATTTCTACTCGCATCTGGGATATTGGGGGCCTTCATTCAATCTCTTGGAGACCTTCCCATACCCTATACTCATTGGGGTTTGTATCAGGGTTATTAGCTTGCCGATCATCAGGCCGTGTCAGTTCAGGAACATTTTGCAAATTATGCTTATTTCTCATGGCACACCACATGTTTAAATGAGACGCTGGTGACATATTTTATTCAAGTAAAAGTGTATAATTCATGATCCATGGCTAGATAGTAACCTCAAGATTTATTTGGTAATGCAAATTATGATTTTGTATAAAAAATTAAAAAAGTTATAGCATTTTGAAAATAAAGTGTCATTTTTTGGCCCATCCTGTACATGTTGGTAAAGTTGTATTTCATTGAGATTATTCAAGTTCCTTATATTCAAGTTCCTTATATTCAAGTTCCTTATATGGAGATTATTTGAGGTAACTTTTCCTAATATGGAGATATATTAAAATATATACCCGACATGCATGTCAGGTGCACACGGTGTCAGTACTTAATTATTGGATTATATTAACCCTTTATGCTTCATTTTTAGATCTAATGGCCAAGTAGCATAACAGAAAACACGTTCTGAATATTTATCTACTAACTACTTGGGTGCATCAAAATGTTTTGCAATTTTGACACTATCTCAAGTTCTACATTTAGCTTTTGAAAGGGGGGTGAGTTGTTTGTAGAATGAATCGGGGGATTTTTTTCATGAATTTCGCTTATGTTTTTCATCCAAAAAACATCAATACACTTTAAAACATTTTGTTTACTTTAAGATTACACCATGTAATCCACAAATATATTTCTCGTTTTCAAAGATAATCCATGGATTAACACCCAGGTATTTTTATTTTTCAAACTTAAGGAATGCATTCAGCTTACATAATTTGAGAAATTATTGCCGTACGTAAAACCTATTTAAAACAGCATTTATCGTATTCAAAAGCGTTGAGCATCATTGATTCCCAGCCCTCTGAAGTTTGAAAAATAAAAATACCTGGGTGTTAATCCATGGATTATCTTTGAAAACGAGAAATATATTTTTGGATTACATGGTGTAATCTTAAAGTAAACAAAATGTTTTAAAGTGTATTGATGTTTTTTGGATGAAAAACATAATCGAAATTCATGAAAGAAAATCCCCCGATTCATTCTACAAACAACTCGCCCCCTTTGGCACAATTATAGATCATATATCTATACATAATGTGGCATAATTTGGTTGCTCATCTGTGATTGGTTAAAAAGATATGGTTGCTATGGTAACGGGACCCGAGGGTACTCGGTTCCACCTAGAATATGTTAATTTTAAATTCTATTATATTCTATTATTATTATGATTCAGTATACGACCATTTAGATACAAAACACTATGACATTTTAAAATCATATTTTTGAAAATATGTCATATAAAAGCATTTAATATGGCTTCATGAATATATGGCCTTTATATGTCGTATTTTACGTATGTCGTATATGTGATCATGTATTTTCAGAAACTGTCCAAGCAAGTGCAGGAATCTCTGGCTAAAGCCAACGAAGTGGCGGAGGAAACATGCTCTTCAATAAAGACGGTAAATTATAAATTGGTGATATGAAGTTTTCTTTCGTAATGGTTTCATCTTCGATAGCAAGGCCAACAAATTATACTATTATACAAAGTAAGAAAAGAAAGACAAAGAGGGGTGTATAAAAAGATATTCCTTCGCATGTCATGAAATGAATTAAGGATGAAGGATTCTAAATATGAAATTCATTCGTAAAACATTCTCCTAAAAGATGAGTTTAGATTTAGACGATGTCTTCTGTAGTTTATTGATGTTTCAAGTTTCGGCTAATGATTGACTGGCGTTGGGCACAGGTGATTTGGCGAAAGATGTAACTCTTTATATGTTCATTCATCATAGACTTGGAATTAGGTTTTGTTTCTTGTAACCGCTTGTTCTTGTGAAATGGCTTTTTTCATCACCATTCACCATCACTCTAATGAAATAAATAAATCATTTGACTTTTTTTTTATTTCTAGATGACGTAATATATTCTGAATCCATGTAAATTATTTATTGCTCAGGTTCGAAGTTTTGCCAACGAGATGAATGAGATTGATCGATATGCTGACAAATTGAAAGTGACATTCAAAATTAGACTGAAAGAAGCTATCACGTATGCTGGTTATGTATGGAATAACAAGGTAAGACCGGTTTACTTGTTCCTGGGAGTGAATATAGATGAATAAATTACACAAATTAATATCTAAAGATAAATTATGGATCCTTGAAATGCAATCTGCCATCTCATTTCATAAATACTGTGTCATGGCCAACAATACAATTCATAGATTTACATTTTAAATCCCAGCTGTTTGCACTTGGACTGGTTGTTGCCACGTTATATTACGGCGGCCATCTTGTCATTGATGACGTCATCACTGGTGGTACCTTGGTGTCATTCATCCTCTACCAGAGTGGAGCTTGGTGCTGTAATTGAGGTACATGGAGTTGTTTTAAAATATGATTTAGAATACATGTATAGTGTAATATTATTGTTGTAAAGCAAACACCCTCACAGAAAACACAATTAAAGAGTTTGCATATTCTAGGATATGGGAAATGTATGGACTGGTCTAATGCAAGCTTCGGGGGCATCTGAGAAAGTGTTTGAGTATGTAGATAGAGAGCCTGAGATCCCAAATACTAAAGATTGCAAGACGCCTGAGAAACTAGAAGGTCTCATTGAATTTAAGGATGTAACATTTTCCTACCCATCAAGAGCAGATACTGATGTACTTAAGGTATGTGATACAATCCAAAAAGAGCTGATAATGGAACATTGCTTGGCTATGTTTGTAGTATTGTTGAAGAGTTATGTGCAACAATACCCGTATCATTTCCTTTGAATTGATTTACCTTTTTCAATACCTTTCACCATTTGTTAAGAATGTTTCATTGTGTTTCATGTTATGTCACCATATATTCAGAATACAGATATGTCATTACATGTCAGAATGCGTCATTTATGTCAACCCAGAGAGGTATTTGCCTTAGTAAGCCCCAGTGGGGGTTAGGAATCATATATTATGTGCTAATCCCCGTGTTTTCAAGATTAAGAATGCGTCATTGTGTTTTTGATGGTGTCATCGCTATAACCAGAATGTTTCATTTTATTTCAGAATGTGTCATTCAGTGTCAACCCAGGGGAGGTAGTTGCCCTAGTGGGCCCTAGTGGAGGAGGGAAATCCACATGTGTTAACCTTCTGGAACATTTTTACGAAACTAAAGCTGGGAATGTGCTCCTGGATTCAGTACCTATACAGGAGTATGATCATAGTTATCTCCATACAAAGGTATCGCTTGATAAGTACTTTGGAAGGTCTTTGATTGATCCATTGCCTCTGTAACCAATTGAACAGTCAGTTATTACTGAACATATTTTAGAAGCTGACTTTGACCAATCGGCAGATTTGTGTTTTATTGTACAGATTGCATTGGTTGGCCAAGAACCAGTGCTATATGCTAGATCAATAGAGGAGAACATAGCGTATGGCATGGAAGATATTGGAATAGAGAAGGTACACCATGCTGCTAAACTGGCCAATGCTCATAACTTTATCATGGACCTCAAAGAGCAATATAAGGCAGAAACAGGCGAAAAAGGGGCACAGCTTTCAGGTAAAGCCCAGGGCTAATCAAGGTTAAATACTGTTCAAAGTAATAGACTGAATCTTTGGGTGATATGTCTTCTCAAATCAAACTTTTATTTAGTTACTACAGGATATTTGGGCATATTGTATATTTAGTTTAAATTGATATTGATATGTTTGCGATTTCAATCAGGATTCTATATTGGCAAGGCCATTCTTGGTAAATAATCCCTAAATTCTTTTAAATTTTGTAATACCGGTATGTTTATATTTCCAGGGGGTCAGAAGCAAAGAGTGGCAATAGCCAGAGCTTTAATCCGTAATCCAGTCATTCTTCTCTTAGACGAGGCCACTAGTGCTCTAGACTCAGATTCAGAACATATAGTACAACAAGCTATATATAACAACATAGCTGGTAAAACTGTAATCATCATCGCCCACAGACTTAGCACAGTAGAACGTGCTGATAGAATCGTTGTCATTGAAAAAGGAGGAGTTGTTGAACAAGGAAAACATAGAGACTTATTACAAAATGGTGGAATGTATTCACAACTTGTTCGTCGCCAGTTGCTAGGGTTTGAGAATGCTCCAAAAGAGAAAGAATTAACTCAGAGTGACATTCATAGAATTGATATACAAGAGAGTGAGGATTTGGAATTGAAGAACAGCAGTACAACCAGAGGTGAATCTTCATCCTTGGAGGATATTCCTAGGGTCAAGGTCGGCTCTTTAATCGACACGGGGGTTGGATCTTTGTAACGGTACCCTTTCAAGAAATACCAAACGGAACTCATGGGTAAAATCTATTTACATGACGTTTCTTGATTTGGTTATTTCTTCCTAATGAAATAGAGGGAATAATGAGGACATAATACAAGACTGAGATATTTCACCTTATATATATTTCAGACATGGTGCATTGGTATGTCATGCATGTTAATTACATGGTGCATTGGTATGTCATGCATGTTAATTATACTTGAACGTATTTTATTTCAGTTACTAATTAACAACATGTATTGTAATGACTTCAGTATGAATGAAATGTCCCTTGGTATTCTGGACTTGGATTGTGATATTGGTTCTTGAATACATTGTAATCATGGTTTTTGGATGTAAGGGATTGTTATTTTTAATGACTGGTATGCACTTAGAGATTGTATTTCTTGCTAGGTTCCATTACAACATTGGTCATTTCCTTTAGATGTTTGTAGTGTTATTAATATTTATGTTATGGCCTAACGAGGAGAGATCTAGATAAAAATAAAAATAAACATGCTTGACTTCCCCAATAATATTCATACGAAGTGTGACTATAATTTCATATTTGCTGAAAACATGAGATGTACATGTTATATATGGCATTCATGTTGTACCTTTCATGTAAACACATATTAATGGATATTAAATACATTCGATAAACATGTAATTCCTTTCATAGTCGATGCCTAAGTGACTGTATGAATGTATTTTATTGTCTGTAGCGTCTACAATTAAAAATTACATATTTGGTTAAACAAAGGAAATTCATTTCACAAATAGCCGTGTGGTGAAAACAACTTTGTCTCTTGCAATGATATTTGGCTCTTTGCATGGAGTTTATCATAATGTCATTTTAGAGGCAGAGCTCAAACTGACTCAAAACTCTCAACGTCCGAGTGAAGACCTGAAACAAAGGTAATGTTGTCAATATTTACCCAGTGGTCAGCTCTCAAATTGTGTGAGTGGTTGTCGGTCATTAGTAAACAAAGTCACATCGAAGAATAAATATGTTTCATAGTCTCTGACGAGGCACAATGGATAGAATGGATTTTCAAATGGATTATACATATCACCCTGTTTGCTGCATTAGCACTTTTGTTTTAAAATAGTCCCCAACCCATGTATTACCTATAAATTTGGCTGCATGTCTGACAAGAGTCCAGGATGATCCAGAAGTAACAAGGTCGAAACTTTTCTCTTTATATTGAGTTTCCCGATCAATATTTTGGGTAAATAAATACATAAGGTCAATGAGAGTCACAGTTCTGATTCAATACCTGGTTTTTGCTTGGCTAAAACGAGAGACGTTGAAATCTCCGGAGATGTAATCACGTGAGTTCTATCTGTCATGTTATCATAATGTATCAGGGGCGGATCTGGGAACCAACAAGGGGGGGGGGGCCAAACTTCTTGTGTGAGAAAAAAAATTTTTGGGCCCCAAAAACCCAAAAGTGGGCCCAAATTTTGAAATTTTGAGGCCCATTTTCTTCAAAATTTAGCCTAAAATTAAAAAACAAGGCCTCAGAAGTACAATTTTTGACCAAAAAGGCCTACTTTTTGGGGCCTTAGGGCCTTTTTTGGCTCAAATTTTTTTTTGGGCACAATTTTTTTTTTCTGGGCCCACCCAAGGGGGGGGGCCGGGCCCCTAGGCCCCCCCCCCCCCAGATCCGCCAGTGTGTATAACTAGTTCAGCAATGCCTTTTGCTTTTGTAATTGACTCTGACTCCTCGTTTTCATACCCCTGGCTTTTTGGCATTACTTTTCTACCGAGAGAAAATCTCCGCTTCAACATTACGCCATTAAAATTGTGTTGCTAAATTATGGTCAGAATGTAATAAAAGTACGATATTGTCCGTCTTGAAATAACTAAAATGTGGGAATTCTCCATTTATCCTCGGGGAAATGGTACATAACTAACCGTCCTCGAAGGGTAAGTGATTATCCACACTACAAAGGCCTCTGACAGATGCCTGGCAGCTTTAATCTAAGCTGACTAATCTTGCTTACATGTATTTTACTTTACGCAATATAAAAGGGTCACTTGGTGCATAAATCTAGACCTGATTTTTTGTCGCTAGCTAATGCTATGTAGTTTGTTTTTGAAGTGTGATTATAATCAATGACTATTGTCTTGTTTTAGGGAGCTCTAGGGGTTTTCAAAATGAGAATGGGTGCTTTTTGTCTTTTCTGGATATGGACCTCCATCATGGTATTTTTAAAACGTTTCTTACCATTGGCTCTAGATTTTATAGTAAGAGGAGTTGGATGCTCAACCTTTAACATGAGACAGGGCCGGTAGTTTAGTTTGATTGAAAATGTATGCGTTTCATATAAATTGGTTCTTTGGTAGTGACACGGTGTCATTACATATTTTCAATGATTAAGTTAGGTGAAGCAGCGTGATTTTTAAAGAATCTGCTAAACTGTAGTTCTGGAAATTTCTTAACACTAGGTAGTGTCTTCTGTCAACATACTGTAGTTTAATCATGTTTAAGTGTTTTTATGCTCATATTCATTGTCCTTCAGAATATTCACTATAGCTGTAATGTACTTCCTTCATCTGTCCACCCAATCAAAAACACATTTTATAAAAATGCCTCCCTTTGATGTTGTAAACGCTGACGGTAACTTTCCAGAACCGGAACTGATTTGAAAATGAAGCTGCTCCAACTAACTTATTCATTGAAAATATATATTGACTCTGTGTCAATTTATATGATGTTCAAGCAAACAAGCTACCCTGTCTCGTGTCAAAGTTTGAGCATTCCACTCCTCTCATTATACAATCTAGAGCCAACGGTAAAAACACTTTTAAACTTTTTGATCGTATGTCAGTCAGACGATTTATTATCAGTTTATATATACGTATATCACGAGGAAAGTATTTGAGTATTTTTTGACAGAGACATATGAAAAGATTTTATGTCGCAAGGAGAATTGTCTCCTGAACAATACATATGAAAATTCCATGAAAATGGTTATGTCATCATTCATACAATTACATTGTATTAACTAATATTTGGGCAAACTGGATAGCTATTTAAAAATCAAAAATTAATAAGTCAACTTTAAGTAAACATAATGCCAGGTAGAATATGAAATAAAATCACTATCGAGCGATTTTTAAAATCATGACAGATATTTATTGTTTGCATGTTTAACAATTAAGCAAACACAATGGCAATCAGACTGGCAGTCAAAATCGTTTGCGCTTTGTTAGATAATACATAAATACAGTGCAACTTGATTGTATTATCTGTTAGGTCAATGTTACATAGTGGCATTCATTAATCAATGCAATTCACAGTGATATCAACTTTCACTGTGCTATGGGTACGTAAGTGATACATACAGGGCACGGGCGGTCGAAAGCTGTCCCGACATCGTCAGAACATCCGCATGATGTATGTGAGATTGCGCAATTAGCAGAAAGGTAATGAACAAAATATATTTGTTTATGAACATTTCGTCTTTATGATAAGGTTAAATATGATGCATCTTGAAACACACTTGATAATATGGGTGTTCATTACAGAATAAACTATTTCATAGCTTCCTATATATTAATTAAAAACAATCGAAGGAGCTTAAGAGTCCCTTGTCGAATGCCGCATGCTTTAGGTTATGTTTATGTGTGGTGAGCTGAATTTAGTGGATACCTCGTATAGGGAGAAGATCAAAAATATGGTATTTTCAAAATTTCATCAAAAGTTCTTTCAAAATCATGCAGTTTCCACCATTTTTGGAGACTTTTCAAGTGAGCCAGGCTAAAATTGTCAAAAGATCCCCCTCCCTTCATTAATTCTCAGTTTGCGCTTTCTCCAGTTTTGGAAATTGGTAAGTTACATACCATTTTTAGAAACACAATACATGATACGCCAGCTTTTGCCAAAGGGCTTCAGTTTTTAAAAACATTCCAATGGGTATTCGACAATTTTGCTGCGGCTCACTTGAAAAGTTCCATAATGATGAAAACTGCATGGTTTTGAAAGAACTTTTGGCCAGGGGGTCGAGTCCCTCCCCCACTGGCTACTAGCCTTCATGAATACAATTATTTGTTCGAGCGGTCTCTCATTGTCACCAATAAATTCTTTGAATAAACTATTCCAGCCATATTCTCAAAGAACACTTTTTACTTTCAATGTCATCAAAACTACTTTTTAGTCCCCGTCTGTTTCTACTGACATATTCCCTCCAAATACACACTTTTCACGAACTTTTTGAAAATACCATATCTTTGATCCTCGATGTCTTTTGAAATCTCTATGGTATCTATCTCGTCATTTGTTCTCTATTTTCACCAACTATTTCCCCACGCTTTCCCCTCAAAATTCTCTCAAAATTTACATTTTAACATGCATGTAGTTATCATTAATGAAAGGTTCACGAGTAAAATGCTTTAGTTTTACTAGGATTAATATCGATATGGTGAACTATTTGAACACAGGTTTCTCTTAACCAGTCATCAAAAAATTCTGATAATTTTACACATCGTCAATTTAATGGTCATCTTTTGAATGTTAGCAATACAATTTGACAAAATACATATACTTTTCTCTATATTGTTTTAGAAAACACACCGGACACTTCTTTTGTTCTTGATATCATATGTTCGGAATGAAATGAAACATCTATCCGAACCTCA